ATCAACTCGCCGGTGACGCCATCGAAGAATCTGCACTCGTTGTCCACTTGATCACTCCGGCTGGCAATTTTATGCGTACATGTCGCCTTTCATGATGCGTTTTGTACTGCCGCATCGTGTTATCCAACAGCCGTGCTCCACCACGCACCTTGTCTCCCCCACGGGCCGTTGCAGGAGAGTTAGCCCCCGAGACACGAACAAGTCTGGATCAAGGAAGTGTGGGTTACAATGACAGTTCTCCTTGGTCATGGAAACGTCGAGGTTTTATGAGTTTGCTACAACAGTTGACGAAGCTTCAATCAAAGATACGCGCGGCTACAGGCCATCAACCACCGGATTTAAATGACATTGCGTGTCGATTCAAGGGTCCAAAGGATCCTTCAAACAACCCGAGGTTCCGTGAACCCAGATCGCCAGGGGACAGGCCGGGGGCACCTTGACGAAGGGTCAATTGAGCATGTCTAATCGCAAACCACAACAGGCGTCTCGAACCGACAATTCTGCATGGACAACACAGTTTTGTGCCATGGTCAAAATACTCCCCAAGAACATTTTCATCGGCCACGGCGTTAACAAGTGCAGAATGGAATGTCCGGGGTAACCAAGGCAAGCGTCGTCGCATCAATGTCAGACACAGGATTACTAACATGATCCATCATGACTGAGGGGAAATGGAGCACTCGACTTTTTTTTTTTCTGCTTCCACCACTTTCCGGGCGATCGCCCGACCCGACAACCGCATCTGCTCGGGGGAACTGCCGCCCTAGTCGGCGGAACCACCCCAGCAACGGCGTCTAGACGCAAGGCTACGGGGGGGACTGACCGGACCGGAAGACCATCCAACATCAGTTAATGAATAAAAAGAATTCAAGTCGTGATCGAGCCAAGACGTAGGCGCCTCGGAGAAGCAGCAGACGTGAGGGTCTAGATTATTGCGTGCCCACGAGCGACTCGACTCGACTCGTCCCTCTGAGCCAGCCGGAGGTGGGTGTGGATGCTCGGACGTGGATGCATGTGGATGGATGGTCGTGCCACATGGAACATGTCCGTGGAATGTCTCGTTCGCTTCTTGCGCAGTGGGATGCGATGCGGGGCTAAAAGAAAAAGGGCACAAGAGGAGAGTCTCCGTCTTGTCGCCACGGCACGGCACCAGGAACCCGGCCGCATGAGGCATGATTCTCAGGGGAGGACGAGGCTTACATCCCACATCACGGCTTTGTGGTTGCAGGGACCATGTCTTGGTAGACGTCCCGAGCCCAGAGCCGCGCAAGCCTTCTACTCCTTGATAGTTCAAAGCTTCAACCATGGCAACTGTGCCTCCTGAAAAACACCCATCATGATCTCCAACAATCAAGGTCGCTTCCAACGCCGCCCGAGAGCGATGCTCCGAGGACCTAGCGCCGCCTTGTCCGGTCTCGCGGGCTCCTGATTGGCCTCTAGGGTCGTCGGCGGCAGGTATAAGCCTCAAGTCCCGAGCACGTCATCGAGAGCTAAAACCACAACCCCATTGTTTTTTTTTCTCTTTCACGGTGAGGATGGGCGTCTGGGAGAAGGACATTGCACGCAGGCCGCCGATTTCGTCCGTTTGTCAATGGCCACGCAATTTTTTCACTCGATTTTCCCACTCGCCGTACACCCCTCCATGTCATAAGCCCCAGCAAGTCATGTTTGAGCCTGGCAGGGACGGGGGAAACTAGTAGACATGACAGGGTGGACGCAACAAGATGGACTGTACCTTTGTCTGTATCCGGACGTGATTTAAAATCAACCGCTCCCTTCCCCTCGGCTGACGGCTCTCGTTCTTGTTCATCCTCTCTCCCGTCCTCCGTTGTCATCCATTCCCCGAGTATCACTCGTGCAATCGTCTTTCCCCCCACGATTGCGTGCTCTGCCCCCGGTTCTCTTGTCTCTTTTTTAAAAGTCTCGAGACCCCTTCTTCTTGAACCTTGATCCTCGACTCGGTTCCTGAAGCTTCAACTCCTTCTCTTCTTCTCCAGAAACACCTCGACCACACATCACATCACAATGGCCAACGCTCCTCACGGCGGTGTCCTGAAGGACCTCTTCGCCCGCGATCTGCCTCGCCAGGCCGAGCTCCAGGCCGAGTCCGAGAAGCTCCCCGCCCTTGTCCTCACTGAGCGTCACCTTTGCGATCTTGAGCTGATCCTCAACGGTGGCTTCTCTCCCATTGAAGGTAAGAGCTGCTGACACCAATGCTGATGCTGATGCTTGGCTTGTTCCCCCGCCGCGATGATGATGGCGTGCACGGGCAATGACCCCGCCCCCGCATCTCCGACCCCTGACCTTTGCGACGAGATCTTTTATGAGGACATCAATTGACGAGCAATTCAACAGGTTTCCTCACTGAGAAGGACTACAACAGGTATGTTTGATCGCTTGATCCAGAACAAGCTCTCAGCAGGGGCTAATTGAGCTTCTAGTGTCGTCGAGACCAACCGCCTCGCTGATGGCGCCCTCTTCTCCATGCCCATCAACCTCGATGTTGACCAGGCCACCATTGACCGGCTGAGCATCAAGCCCGGTGCTCGCATCACCCTCCGCGATCTCCGTGACGACCGAAACCTCGCCATCCTCACTGTTGAGGATGTCTACCGACCCGACAAGTAGGTGGTCTCAATGGCGCATACTGTACATCATACTTACAAGGCATTGCAGGGTCAACGAGGCCAAGAAGGTCTTTGGCAGCGACGACGATACTCACCCCGGTATCAAGTACCTCTTCTCCACCGCCCAGGAGTTCTACGTTGGTGGTAAGCTCGAGGCTATCAACCGTCTTGAGCACTACGACTTCCTCGACCTCCGCTGTAAGTGTCGCTCCTCACTTTAACTTGGCGCATGAGGCTAATGACGATGCAGTCACCCCCTCTGAGCTCCGCTCTCACTTCAACAAGCTCGGCTGGCAAAAGGTCGTCGCTTTCCAGACCCGAAACCCCATGCACCGTGCTCACCGTGAGTTGACGGTCCGCGCCGCCCGCTCCCAGCAGGCCAACGTCCTCATCCAGCCCGTCGTCGGTCTCACCAAGCCCGGTGACATTGACCACTTCACCCGTGTCCGTGTCTACAAGGCTCTCCTGCCCCGATACCCCAACGGCATGGCCGCTCTGGCTCTTCTTCCTCTGGCCATGCGCATGGGTGGTCCCCGTGAGGCCCTCTGGCACGCCATCATCCGCAAGAACCACGGTGCTACTCACTTCATCGTTGGTCGCGACCACGCCGGTCCCGGCAAGAACAAGCAGGGTAAGGACCACTATGGTCCTTATGATGCTCAGTACCTCGTCCAAGAGCACCAGGAGGAGCTTGGCATCAAGATGGTCGAGTTCCAGGAGATGATCTACCTCCCCGACACCGACGAGTACCTCCCCGCCAACGAGATCCCCGAGGGCACCCGCACCACCAACATCTCCGGTACTGAGCTGCGACACCGTCTCCGAACCGGCAAGGAGATCCCCGCCTGGTTCTCCTACCCCGAGGTCGTCAAGGTCCTCCGCGAGCAGAACCCCCTGCCCGCCCAGAAGGGTTTCACCGTCTTCATGACTGGTTACCAAAACAGCGGCAAGGACACCATCGCCCGTGCCCTGCAGGTCACTCTCAACCAGGGTGGTGGCCGCTCCGTGTCCATGCTCCTCGGCGAGAACGTCCGACACGAGCTCTCCCCTGAGCTTGGCTTCAGCCGCAAGGACCGCGACCTCAACATCTCCCGCATTGCCTTTGTCGCCTCTGAGCTCACCAAGGCCGGTGCCGCCGTCATCGCCGCCCCCATCGCTCCCTTCGAGGAGGCTCGCCAGGCTGCCCGTGACCTCATCGAGAAGTCCGGTCCCTTCTTCCTCGTGCACGTCGCCACCCCTCTCGAGTACTGCGAGAAGACCGATCGCCGTGGTGTCTACGCTGCTGCCCGCAAGGGTGAGATTAAGAACTTCACCGGTGTCGACGACCCCTATGAGGCCCCTGCCAAGGCCGACCTCGTTGTCGACCTTGAGAAGCAGACTGTCCGTTCCATTGTGCATGAGATTGTCCTGCTCCTCGAGAGCCGTGGTCTCCTCGACCGCCTGTAAGGGATGACTGGATGGATTGACTACTGGGGAGTCGAAGAGGGAGATACCCACAAGCTGCTTGCCTCGATCGATTTAAGAGGAGGCGGGCTAAACCACAGCGTCGCGGTACGCATGATGCTACGAGACGCTCATGAGATTTTCAAGAGCGCAAGTGAAATACGGGATCGGCGTTATTTTTTATCAAGAGAAGGAAACATTATATAACGGACGGGGAAAAGAAGTGCGAGTGTTATGCTTTGTTGAATCACTTAGACAGCCAAGAGAAGCTCGCAATAGATTATGACGGATACGGGAATGAAAGAAAAAGATGCATGATGCAATAACTTGTCCTATGAGAAGGAAGATTCGAGAATACGCAAGTACTAAACTGGTATTTTTGTCGGCCTATCATGATGGGCAGATGGTGGTGTTGGGCTCCAGTGGTGATGAGTCTCATGTGAGAATGCGCGCTTAACCTATAGTGTTGGAGCGTTGGTGATGGATAGATGGATGGATGTGTACAGTATGCAGTGGAGGATTGGGCAGCACCGCTAACTATACAAGATGGTTTGGGTGAAGCTACGGATGGGGGCAGCGTGAGCGTCGAGAAGTGACCGTGGTGCGCATTGAGTCATTCAAGAGTTGGGGATGTGACTGCATCATCATCATCATCATCATCACGATGGCAGCGTTGGATGATTGCGATACCAAGCCATGAATGCGAACAGTTTAGATCTCATCATGCTTCATCCAACATGCCATGCCAGAAATCCAACGCTTTCTGTCTGGTCAGAGAGCTTGAGGAGTGTGTAACATTCTAAAGCATCCCTCCTATTATTTTCCGAGTAAGTGCTAGGAGTCAACACCCCGACAGAGTAACAAGGGCCTCAAAGGGCTTTTACTAACATAGAACAAGACTATTGCCAACGGTCATTAGCCGTTGCCGTGTTACCTTGGCAACCCATCAAGATCCAGTAGGCTGAAATGACCACAGCGGCGAGTGAATTCAGGTTCCTGAACAGGCCTTGCCCCGCCTTCGCTCTGATCCCATAGCTTCTGTGCTTCTGTGCAGGATTCAAAATGAGACAGGTAACCAGATCTCGAAAACACATGATCCCTCTCATCGCTCCCGACAAGTAGATTCTCCTCCTTGACTTGACATCCTTTACAACAAACACCACTCTCAACCTTGCCGCTGTACGGATCGTACCACGGGAACGCAGTAGACGCCATGAAACGCTGATTTTCATGCTCATTCCATTTTGACAACGCCCCGATTGTGTTTTGGTTGAGAAGGCCGAGTAGTTGTAATCGCGCAATGGCTGGCTGTGAAGCGACCAGGAATGTTGGTCGTCTGACCAGCTTCTCTTCCATAGAGTATATACCAGACACGGTGCGCAGCCCTGATCCCAGTGCCTGGTGTAACCGTTTGGGGGATATCTTGGCCAATCTGGAGAGAGTCGAAGGAGAAATGACGCGCAAATCTGGTGAACTTTTGATGCAGGCAAAGCAGCAGCGAGTGGCGGTGACGAGAAATAAAAAGCCCCCGAATTCACCACACAAGGTGCACTTTTCTGAGACCAAAGGGATATACAAATCCCTAATCGTAAAGGCTTGTCCCAGGCCACCGCGTAAAACACCACGCAAACCTTCCAGCCCATGTCTAACGACTGCTCGATATTCCAAGACGGCAGTAGCTAGAGCACGGGCTCGCCGGTTGATGTGGCGGAACCGAAAAAAAGAGAGCAGGTCGAGGTTGCGAAGAATGATCCATAGTAGCTCCACGGGGAGAGAGTCTAGGACACCGAGCCCTGAAGTCGGCGAGGTTTCGAAAGTTGTTTGGAGAGACTTTGAGACTGATTGAGTTTCATGAAGACGTGACCGCACGAGCACAAGGTCAAAGTCGCGTCGATGATATGCACAAATATCAAGAACCTTGTCAGACGGCATATTCGGGTCTTTTGAATCCGGGAAAATATGTATAGAAGTTTTTGGAGAGAGAGATACAAGGCTGGTGTGAACAGGTTTAGCAATGTGAGATGTTGAGAGTTGTGTTGGGAAATTCTCAGTAGGTAATCTTGCATTGCAAAACAAGCACTCGCTGGAGCAACAAAACCAAGTGGCTTAATCCTCCACACTGACTGGTACACGGCATATCAGATTACAAACATGAGATTGCTACTGTGTCCATACTGGTCTGCTAGGTCGTTCCTCACTAGTATTTCCTCGCTTCCCGTCCTAGTCAAGGCGTTTGGTGTTGTTCCTCCAGGGTTAGACCTCTAGCAACTTCACGACGTCGGTTACTACCTGTTCCTTCACAACCAAACTGTTTCAATGTGGATTTTTTTGGGCTCCCGTTTCCGTGTATCCACTTGTGGGCTTGGATCCATCTGATCTCGACGGCCTTTGTATTCTTAGTTCCTGAATTCGCTACGTCTTGTCTTGGAGAATGTATGCCCCAAACGGGCACCTGTGCCTCGCCACCAACCTCATGGCTTCCGTGTGAATCAAGACTCCCTTTTTCTAATATTGCCTTGGCGGTCAGTCAGGTTGAATTGGGACTCACTTTTGGGTCGAGTGGCTTGTCACGTGCATCTCAAACACACAATTGTGTGTGACAAGGCTGAGGGGGACAAGCCTTTGTTGTTCACTTCCACGAGGAACTGCAGTAGCTTCAAAGTCATTTCCTCAGCGCATACCTATGTTTCGTCTAATAAGTTTGCCTCGCACGCTGAATACTCCCGTTCCTGGAAATCACCATGTGACGGTAAACTTGTCAGCTTCTTCTACCTCTTGGATCAAATCCGCGACCAGTCAACAGCGCAGTGCTTATTCAAACAAGCATGGAGAAGAGGTACGTGCTATACCTCATCTTTTCTTACCGTTTTTTCTAGATTTGTGCCATCTTACTCCCAATTACGTAGATTATTTTTGACGGCCAGTATCCGCCAAGAGGATACATCCTCGTGCCTGCTGGTAGTCCATTTATAACTCGACGCTGTCGCGTTCTCGCTCAAGGGGCAAACAAGAAGATCTACGCATATTACGCAAGTATTAAGCTAATAATACCGACCATTCCCTCTAATCTAATTATTCTCATAGCTCCCCTCGACCAAGTACGAGTTTGCAAGGCACAAGGGTCTCTACGTGCCAAAGGACATCTTTAAAAAGGTTGAATCCGACTATAGTGAAAGAAAAGCAGTTGAGAAAGAAAAGTGGTTGCAAAAACTGGACAAGGCCTACCCCAACATGCCATCAAAGGACAGGGCGGAAATCTGCCGGCTTTGCTCCTCGCAATTCCTCAAGCTCAAGATAGACCAACGAGACATTGCCATCCTGCATCATGTTCAGGATCGGTATACAGCCTTGAAGGGCCTCTCCTGGGATAGGCAAAGTATGGAAGTAGTCGCCAAGGCACGTCAAGAGGCTGACAAGATCCTGTCGGTCTGGCGTGGCAGGGACTGAGGCTTCTAGATTTGCCTTGTGCGGAAGAGGGGCGATGGCCGGGTGTTGTCGATTTGAATGCTCTAGTGGAGAAGTAGGGTGCGAAACGGAAGGATCTTGATGAGGGTATTGGGTGCGGCTTCGGGATGGTCATCACCCTTTGCTCAGTTGTTTGTGAATTTAAAGTGGTGAAATCAGCATGTCCCGGGGGGATCGTGAGGTGGACAAGTCTAGCGACAACTGACAACAAAAGTATTGCGATAATTAGATCCTATAAGCGCCATCTAATCACTAACCTGATTCCTCCCGGGATCCACGGGCACTTTCCGGACTTGGGACTTTGCCAATAGAAGCACTTGCTTCCAATCCCTGCCTCCTATCCTGATCTCCTGCTTTCGCATATTGAGGCAGCAGAGTTTTCCTTTCTTCCAATATATCTGCACCTACAAGGACTTGCCTCTGCTCGCCACTTCTGGTCCTGTAACAGTGGTAGACGACCCGTCCTTCCCTCGGTTACGTGGGCTGCGTCGCAGCTCCGGCCGGCCCTTGTCAAGGCCGGAGCTCGACGCGAAGCTTGCTATGAGGCTCGTTGGTGGATCAATGGCTGACGGGTCCTGTGAATCATCGCCCTCGCAGAGATAACGGGGAGGGGAAAGCGCCAATTCATCAGCTGAGTCTTCTGGAGGCTGTATCTCGGCTGTGGTGCGTTCTTGGCTGGCAACTGTCTCCAGTTGAGACGCTCTGGCATTTGCGGCCCGGACAAAGTCGTCTCGGCGCTGTTCAGCAAAATCCAGCATATTCCTGAGCGCCCCAGCCCCCTTGACGAATGTGTCAAGATCACTGGTCACAGCATAAGCGTTTACCTGAGTCATATGATACTCAGGCCGCCCTCCCTCGGTCGTCGGCGCCGTGACATGATGGGCGAGCAACTTGAGTGCGCCACCGTAGTATATTGAGCTGAAGGTATAGGCCTTGCCATCATATTCTGGCTCCTCCGCCCCGTAGTTTTGTAGACTATGGATGCCGCGAGACCCAACTGCTCCGTGGTAGCGAGCTTGTCGCGCTGCTTCTGCTGGTGTGTCATTCGGTCCTTTGACTTCCAAGAAGGCGTTAGGCACCATCGGCCTGTCCTCCATGATTGACGGGACGACGTGGCCAGCGAGCTCGTTGCGGGCAGATCGAGCCAGCTGATCGGGGTACGCGCCATAGTAGATGTCTGGCTTGGGCGCTACAATGGTGCCATCTGTGAGCGGCTCGAGATTCGCAAACACCGTGTTTCTCGCGCAGTAACGGTTGGCTTGACTTGGACCAAGAATGGTTGGTATGATATTTGCCAGCACGTCGTCCATATCGTCCTCATACTCGGCCCGGCTGTTTCTCTTCCGAAAGGCCTCAAATGCACCGTCAGAGAACTTGGAAGACGAGAGTGACGGCCTCGGGACTACCAGGGCCGCCATTATTTCCTCCAAGTCCGGCTCCCGCGATTTCCATTCTGGATGGATGGCGTTTTCGGTTAAATGCAAATCAAAGTTGCGGTTATAGGGTGTTGACTTCTTTGTCTCCGTCGTCCTCGGGGTGGTAAAAGTCGAGGCTGGATCTGTTGACTTGGTCTTCCGGCTTCGCGAAGATCGGCTTGCGCCAATGTGTCGATTTTCGATTGGTAGGTGGGGGTACTGGATGGACTTGTCAGAAGCTTCGTAGACTAAGCTCCTATTAACTTACTCCTCTGAGATCTCGCAAATCTGGGCCGCCGTGTCTCGCGAACCGAGCCAGCTCTCGAGAGGTTGTGGTGCGTGAGAGGGCTTGTCTGATGGGACTGGCTGGATAAGGAAAGCGCTGCGTTCCGGTCTGTCTGTCGAGTTCCTTCAAGGCCCTGTGGCTCAGGTTGATCTCGGACAGTCTGGCCCAGAACTCGGGGGGGTATTCCCAAGACCACCAAGCGTCAAGCTCGATTTCGCTTCTCGTCTTGGTCTTCCTCGCTGGAGGTTCGATGTCGGCTCGCGAGGTCTGGTCGGCGTGCTGCCGCTTTCGATTCTGCGGTCCTGCCATGAGCGATCTGTTAGAGAGAGAGAGAGTCAATAATGAGAGGGTAGGAAGTTGAGAGGATATTTGAGTCGCTTTTAAGGTCGCCTCGTCATGTTGGTGGTCTTTGTTTGAGCTGGCGCTAGAGGAAGCAGGGTGGTATGAAAGAAACCTTTGTTCGATTAGATGTTTCGTGCATTCACCCAGGTCCAACACCTCTACGAATCTACCGCCAAGGCATAGTCCTCCCTAGTGAAGTTTTGCTTCGGCATCTTGGAACTGGGTGTGGTATAGCCGCCTGGCGAGGGCCTGTCGTGATATATTCTTGTGCGCGAGATGCTGAGGATTATACAAGGTGTTTTTAATCCTCTCGTCCGGCCATGACAGTGGAAAAGGCATCGGGTAGTGATTTACTTGCCAAGGGGCAGTTTGAGCGAACTCCCAATCGATGATGGCCAGGAAGTTTAAATCATCTTCGGTTATAATGTTTTGGGTGTCAGGGTCTATCTGATTAATAAAATATTGTGCGTAAGGCGCTTGAGACTTTTTGCGCTTTATCAGACAACTTGGGGCCTGTAGACCCAGCCTATTGACTTCCGTACCCAGTTGCGAACCTGGTTGTGTTAATACAAACAGCGAGTTCACCCCCGGATAAAGGCCGTGGGTATGGGAGTAACCCGAATACAACTGATGTTCTCTTCAACCTCGCTATCGCGATTTGCGTCTGATGGCACCACCCAGCTTACTGTCGGTTGGGCCCCTTTCTACAGATCACTGTGTGCTGGTTGCGGTTCAGCCAACCAAGATGAAGACTAGGAGACACATGTCACTCAGTGAGACCAGAAATGAGGATTAAATTTACTGAACTTGGCCATGTAATGCTTCGCGATGACAAGCCACAACTTGTACCCGGTCCCGGAATAGGATCGGAAGCCGTAACGACCTACGCGCGTGTGTTTCCGGTCGTGCGTTGTACAGGTTAGGCCCTCATTTGGGCACCAACCTACCGGATCTTTAAAGGTAGAACTTGCGCGCGGATGGACGGGCGAGTCAATCATACGAGACCATAAAAACCAAAGCTACGATCAACCATGGCCAAAACCACTGCAGATGATTTGGTATATGAGCTTAATCCTTACGTATTTTCGAGGCTAATCTATCTTAGGAACGTCTCTGGGTGGACATTACGAACGAGTCGTTTGAGGGTGAGCAACCAAAGAGATTCCACGAGTACGCTGCAGGGTCAATCAGCGTGTTCGATTGCGACGCCAACTGCACGACTGTGTCATTTGTACATGACAGGAAACTGCTTTTGACAAAGAAGGGTCCGGGGCACCTCTCTAATGTGCCAAATGATGTTAATATCTTTGCGCGGAATGGAATAACGAAAGGATCATGACCATATACGTTCCGGCTCGCTGTTTTGCTTGCTCGGGATGGGATGCGGGGTCTGATGATGGCGAAAATTTCCGAGCTGTTGCCGGGCAGGCTGGCCCAGCCTTATCGATAAGCCGGGTCTTGACGGCCTGCGGGGATGTGATACGTTCGGCAGCAGTCATTTAGTGTTGTGGCATCGCGTTGTATGCTAGCCAAGACCCATGTATCAGTCACTGGGGCAAGCCTCCTTGGTTTTCCACAGTGCAACCTGTGATATCTCCCATGTCAACGTGGCGGACTCTCAAGACGCCCTTGGATTCCAACCCAGTCAGCTTTCGGTGAGTGGTTGCTGAAACAGGTGGGCTTGTGCTGCGGGCAAACCAGCACTCATATTCAAAGGACCAGTGCACATTCCTCAACTGGTTGAGAAGATCCCCTTCTAGTTTTGTCCGGTGACGGTGTTGAGCGGGGTTGAGTTTCTCCGGCACGACTTTGACACAAATGGCCACTGTCTACGGAGTACGGGGCCCCGGATCGGAGACGGCGTCAATGCCCCACTTCCGTGATCTACTTGACGGCCATGGGTCCGGGATAGGCTCGGAGCAGGGTTCGTCTACCCACCCCCAGTGGCCGCCTTTTCAGGAAGCTCGAATATAAATGAGAACAGCACCCTGGTTGCTTTGAATTCGGACGCTATTCATTTTAGCTACCGTGACCTCCGCTCGAGCCAATTGGCGTGTGTTGTCTGATTTTGGTGGGCGGGCAGAGGTCATCCATCGCTCATTGCTGCCTTGCCTCAGGCTGCAAGTGATGGCACTGGCTCGCAGTTTCCTACGTCCTTGAACCAAGACTGGAAGACGAAGACGCGCCCTCTACGCAGCTTTCCCCCGACGGATCGGTCGCTGCCTCTCTTCCCGCCTTTCTTCGCGACGCATCTGCCCCGTTCGTCTAGAGGCACACTACCTCTTCTGTCGTGGCCTGCAATTAGCCCGATTTCAGCCTCGTCCGGAGCCTAAAAACGTAGTTTCAAGACGGAAAGACGGAAGGACACTTGGTTATATCCCGCTCGGCATCTGATGACAGTGGTGCCGACGCGGCACATCGCCTTTGACAACCACTTCCAAACAACTTTTCATACGAAAGCCTTGAGACGACTACTCCTTGTGATCGAAGACTCTCGGGTGCCCGGCCAATAGCCTGCTGGACACTAAAGACACTCTATAGCCTTGCTGCGTCGCTCGCTGGTAGGGAAAAACTCAGCAGAGACAGGGTTCATCGCTAATAGTCAAGCTCATTAGCTCCTCCAGGTTGTTCGTCAAATATGGCAGGGATCCTCAATCCTAGCTCAGCGGATGTACGCACTTTAGCGACTAAAGTGACAGGCTCACCATGCCATTTCATTCACAACACCGAAGTCGAGCCTCTTTGCGGCGGAGAATACATTGTCTATGCTCTCGAGAGCTCCGACGATAACCGTGTATCTATTCGCATCCCTAAGAACCGAACGAACCCTCATACGCCCCTTCTTCTCAAGCGAGAGACTGAGATTCGGCAACGAATCGATAACGCCGGGTTACGCTTTTTCCAACCGCTCCTTGCTTTCAGCAGCACGACGGAAAACTCACTCCGCGCGCCGTTCCTAGCGCTCGGCTGGGCTGAGGGTAAACCTTGATGTTGGTCAGATACTCAGCCGGCTGAGAAGGATAAGCGTAGGAGGGTGCTTCGCTCTGTTGCGGATGCAAGTCTAGATTTGATCTGCATTAATGAGAGAAGTAAGCTTCCCTTGCTACGCTTTGGCCTTTTTCTAATTCAGAGAATAGAAGAGACTGCCTTGGACTGGATTGAGTCGAAAATCCATCGCAAGATCACCCGTGCCCAAGCTGGTAGCCTTCCTGGTGGTACAGTCGCTGAGTGCAAGCGACAAATGGAACTCACCAAGAGTTACTGGATACCCGAACTAGATACCGCACCTCACGTGCTAGTTCATGGCGACCTCTCAGGAAATAACATCATTGTTGATGGTAATCATTGTACTGTTCAGGGGTAAGTCAACTGGCTGGCTATCAGTGGGCAGTCTCGTCATTAAATCTGCTTAAACCATGGTAACACATTTCAGCATTATTGACCTCGGATGGGCTGAACTTATGCCGCTTCAGTTTGCGGCAGTCTACCCACGATTCCTTACCCATGAGCCAGTCAAAGGTGAAGGATATGACTGGACAGCGCGCAATACTGAGCAGATGGAACAGGACCGCGCTTTCTACCTGGAATGCGTCAAGGAAAGAGCATTCAGAGAGGAAGGGAACATTATGCTGATGAACTACTACCGAGTTCTCGCTCGCGAGGATGAGATCGCTAGGTATTGGTGGCTCACTGCCGCTAGTCGCATCGACATCCACCGGGCCATGGCAGAGTGTGACTGGAGCCCTCCGGTCAAAGGGCCGAAGCAGAATGGGAGCAAGATATAAAGGCAAGATTGATTCATGGAAGTGTTGATGATGGCGCTTATAGAAGCGCCTAGCTCTATGCTACTTAATTCCCGACAGTGTATCCATGAGAATGATTGTGTGCCGGAGTTGTGAAGCAGTTGCATCTGCAATCACGCTGGATAAAGTCCTCCGTGTAAAACCATGCTGCCTCCCGGGTACCACCGGAAGGGAGATATTTCTGTGCCTGAGAGAACTCAGCTTCACACTCATCGAAAAATATTGGACCCAGGTCAACTTACTTCCTCGGGGGTCAAGTTCACGTTGCTACGACCGGTCGTGAACTCGACACGTCCTGGATAGCCGTCGCCAGGATACCGGCATTAACCTAGGATTTGGCCAGCTCCGAGCTTCGTAAGGAGCTCAGAAAACTCTGCGAGGAATGCCTGTATGTTCGAATTCTGCCAGTTGACATCACAAGGCTCAATGGAAAATTCGAGTGGGACAAGCTGGCGGTCATCGGACTTGCACTTCCAGACGGAGGGGTGTCCAACCTCGAAGGCCAACGGGTTGGATGTTCCCCTGACCTCTGTGAGTCGTTCCCCCTCGCGGAGAAGAGAGTGTTTGTGCAGCAAAGCTAGGCCAAAAACGTTGTCCACTCTGTGGCGGCGGAAGAGTTGCTTCATGACACCGGTAGCGATGGAATCGCCATTGAGCTGGTCGAACCCGGGCAAAAGAAGTCAAAGAGGCTGTTGAACTCATTGACGGAGTAATCTGCAATGCTGACGGCCATGTTTGAAACAAGTTCTGATTGAAGATGGGTCGTAATGAGGTGCCAATGACTGACTGAAAGGAGAGAGAACTTGCTGTAAGATTGGGACTTGATTATATGTTGCGTCAAGTTTGTTGTTGTGAAATGGGGGAATGCAGCGGCGTTTTATCCTTCGGCACCCCCCTCTGTTGTCCTGTACTTTCATCACAGCTCGAACTGGATGGGTGGCTGCCTGGGGTGCAATGGTATCGTGGACCTCGCATTGCGCGGAGATGGTCACAAGGTGTGGGACAACCAGGTTGCATATCACACCATGGGACCTCCATAGGTCTTGCAGTGCGCGACCAGCCTCGTGTTTCTGGAGCATCAAGCACTTTCGGCAGGCCGTGACGGTGACTCCTCAAACTGGCCGAGTAAGTGGTGCGGAAGAGACAAGACAGCTGGCTCGACCGTATAGTCACATAACTGCTCTGAACAGTGCGGCAAAGAGGGGATGAATGATAAAGGAAGCTTGCGCGTGCGTGGCCGAGTAATCACGACGCAGATCAATGGTCCTGCAATCCCAGTGATGCATGATTGTATGTTGAGCAACGCTTCGACCAAGATGTTTGCATAGGATGAGCGCCAATGCTTGTATGTTGAATCAAGAAGGGAATGGCGCGCTTGAGACCTCGGAGGTCATGATATACCATACCGAGATGGGGGACACACTGGAGTTGAAAGGTTATGCTGCAGATTTAAATTGGAAACCAGTCCTCATACACTCGGAACCACGGCGCCGCCAAGTACGTTCAGAACCTCATCGCCTGAGTTAAACTGCTTCGTCCAGCAGCCCGTTTACATCACCTCGGCCATCAGGGAGCCATCCACAATCCAAGTCCGGCTCAGTACATGTAGCTCCCCCAAAGTGGCAGAGTAAAAGATCGAGGTTTCCCCCTGTCGCCTCATGAACTAAAAAGTTCCTTTGTCGTAGGTCAGGGTGCACGATATCGCGTTTGTGTATGTAGACGATGGCCTCCTAACTTGACGATGCGTGGGTGCAGTCCCAACTGCAAATGGCCCCTTCACCTCTGCAACAGCTAGGTACTGAGAGCGGCGATGGGGAGGGAGCCTCGATCGGTTCCATAGTTAGTCTATCACGTGGCGGTGTAACACCAGCGGGCCAGGCCGACCCACTTGATCCGGCGCGTCAACTCGCATTCGATCCAGCCTTCTTACATCTTCGCCGCCAAGTGGTCCATATTCATTCACGAAAGACCTCAGCTCAGCGATAAAGCAATAGTCATAGTCCAGTACCGCATTTCTTCCTCGACCTCCTAGTCATCTGTGCATGGCATGCAGATGGCGTCTCCACCGCCGCCTCCAGCACCAGGATGCGCAGTCCGAACACTCATTCTTATGCTTGTCAAAGCAACGCGCCACAAGCTCTTGCGAAGACTCTGGAGAAAACATATTGGCCTTTTTCACATATTCAATATTTGCATCAAGACCAGACAAGGCGGAAACCTTTCCGAAGCCTACGCCATGCAATTCGTCGCCAGCCAAACATCCATCCCGGTGCCCAAGGTATACTACGCTTTCACCCATAAGGGGACATCATACATCGTTATGCGCCACATCAAAGGACAAATGGCGGGATATAACTGGGCACACCGTCCAGAGGAATCAAGACGGATACTAGAGCAGCTGCGGAGCATGGTCGCGGAGCTTCGCTCTGTTACACCCCCAGAAGGGGCACAAGTTGGCAGCATTGATGGCGGGCCTTTCTGGGACTGTCGTCTACCATCACGGGACTACTGGGGTCCGTATTCTACTGTGCGCGAGTTTCACCAAGCACTAGCCAACGGTATTCCTTGGGACTGCGACTGCACTAAATTCCCCGACCTTGCCGAGCTCCTTACGTTCTATCAGCAAGCAGAAAACAAGCTGGTTCTAACCCACGGCGACCTGAGCAGCCTCAACATCCTTACCCATGGGGACGCCGTGGTGGGAATAGTGGACTGGGAGACGGCAGGGTGGTTCCCGCCATACTGGAAGTATACAACTGCCAAGTATGTCAACCCCCAGAATCCATTCTGGGCGGATCCGGTTGATCAATTTATTACGCCTATGCCAGAGGAGTTGAGGATGGAAACTATCAGGCGTAAATATTTTGGTGACTTCTGACACGCGCCGCGAAGAGGAAGGCGGATGTCTATCTAGCATAAGCGCGCGCTAACTGTGGCAGACCCCTGGAGTCCCCATTCCTAGGGCACCAGACGCAAGCTCAGGCAGTGAAAGCATGTCTAAGTTACGTCGTGTTGTTCGGCGACACTTCTAGACTTTATCCTGTACAGAATCATCAACTACGATGAGCCTCATCTCCAGTTTGCGTCGACAACTGATTGGCGTACAAGAGCGCGCTCTTGTTTCCCTAGGTGCCATCTTTAAACCTCGACCTATTCTTGCTTTCCTTGATCGATGCCACCACCCCACTCACACGCGGACAATGTCAGTCCAACCCAAGACGTTTCTCACGGTCGGTTTCGAGGCTCTCCCGGTGGAACAACCGATAGAAGAAGAAAATCTACCCAACTACAAGGCCGCGCGGTACTATCCTGCTCATATCGGCCAAGTCCTGCAACACAGGTATCAGATTGTCGGCAAAGTAGGATATGGTGGAGGATCAACCGTCTGGGCATGCCGCGATCTCGAGTACGTATCTTTTAACATGGAACCCTTTTGAACCATTCAACTAGCCCAGCGGTCTTCCCTAGGGGAAATACACTGGCGACAATCAAGATATGTACCACGGGCAAACGTGGCACTCAAGACGCTCTGCAGGAGGTGGCTATTTCCCATCATATCAAATCCATCGACGCGCCACACCACCCCGGCAAACAGCGACTCCGTTTAGTGCTGGACAACTTCGTGATTGAGGGCTTGAACGGGAGCTGCCATCAATGTCTCGTTTTTGCCCCGCTCGGTCTTCCTTTGACTCAGTTTAGACGTTTTTTTTTTTCCGGGCAACGCGCTTGAGACAGACGGATTACGATTTACCCTACTTTGGCTCATCACGGGTTTAGATTTCCTCCACCAAGCTGGCGTGGTCCACACTGGTACTCTCTGATCTCTCTGCTTGTCATCGTGCTGGCTGACACGGCAATGCTTGGTGCAGACCTGTCCCCGAATAACATACTTGTCAGCTTCAATCCTGGCGAGGAGCGTGCATTCAGTCAAATCGAAGACCTCGAGCTGACAACTCCGACGCCTCGCAAGGTACTGCCGGACCGCTGCATCTACCTTTCCTACAAGCTTGGCATCACCCATGGACCAGCGGTCATTACTGACTTTGGTGCTGCTCGCCTCGGAAACCCAGAGAAGGACGAAAAGCATACGGGGGATGTTATGCCAGGCCCCTATCGAGCACCAGAGGTCATCATGGGTGCCGAGTGGGATTCCAAAATTGACATGTGGTCTCTCGGAGTCATGGTGAGTTACTCTGCTGAGCCATTACAATCGAGACGGCTAAAGATATTACAGGTATGGGATCTCTTCGAGGGCGGTCCTCTATTCCGCGCCACGAACGCCAACAACCTAGATGACGAACTTCATCTCGCAGAGATGGTTTCGTTGTTAGGCCCGCCGCCCAAGATATTTCTCGAGAGGCATGAAAAGTCCCGGCAGTGCTGGGACCTTGAAGGTGTGTTGTGGTCTCCATTTGAAAATATTGCCTTGGATTGAAAGAGATGCACATGCTGATCAAGTCTTCCTCCAGGAAATTGGATTGCCTCAACCCCCATTCCAAGCCAGTCTCTTGAGAGCCGTGAGACGAAATTGGATGGTCAAGAAAAGCAGCAGCTCTTGGCTTTCCTGCGAAAGGTCTTGTGTTGGCTGCCCGAAGATCGCAGTTCGGCTTGCCAACTGTACGATGACCGGTTTCTGAAAGGCTGAACTCTGGAGGGCGCTCCTCTCGTCCGTGAGCTTCGGGGGCGAACAGTACCGCTTCGTCATCTCAAAGTCTACCAAACCCATGGCGTACCTGTCCCGCACAAGCAAGTTGTCTTTGTCAATATCGCCAAGCTTGATACCGAGTTTATGCAACCGTCCCAAAGCCTTCTTGCCGCCGTCCACGTCCCTGGTCATGCGGTTCCGGCAAATTACACTGTCTCAGTCCTCACGAAGGTGGCCTTCCCTATCTCGGGGTCCCTGGCTACGTGGCCGTGGAGGAATCATTGCAGAGAAGCGGTGCTGAGACGACAGGAGACGGCTGCGAGATCAGTAAAGGTGTGTTCTGGATGTGAACGGCGGTTGCGTAGCATGATTCTTAGAAACGGTGTGATTAGAAAGTGTGCTGAGCTGGAAGATGAGAGCCTGGGACGGCCAGGAGCGCGAGACAATAAAATTGTCCAAGGGCTATGTGATGCTGTGCTCTGGCTGGCGGAGTAGACCCTGGGACGGAGAAGTGTGAGTATACGCGCTGTGACAGTTGCTCTGATGGCCGGATCAAGATGAGCTCGATCTCCCCGTCAGACTTGCGTGACATGCATGAACCTGCCGGGTATCCTTGGCGTCTCCTTCACAGGTCCATACTTCGCAATGTGCTCCGATACCTCTTCTCTTGTGTATTTGATCCTGAAGTGCTTCGTTTTCTCCTCCTTCTCCTCCTTGCAGCCAAGGCAGAAGTATCCCCAGTCGGCCCGCGGGCCAGAATCGAATAGATGCGGTGCGGTGATGATGGCCATGAACCGCAGAGGTTCCCGAGTGGTCTTGTCCACCTTTGGAAGACCAGAACCCGCAAGGTCCTGGATCACTGCCCCCCGGTCAAAGAGTTGAAGCCGCTTTCGCACCAAATTCCCCCCCCCACTGGCCCAGGCGGTGCAGTACCGCCCAGGCAGGCTCAGGACACTTGGGGGATTCGCCGCACGTAGATGTTGGCGGCTGGTGATGGCATTGCGCCGCTGTGTCCCGTTGGGAGCGAAGAAACTCGATGCGCGGCCGATTGTGAGGGGGAAGTATTCCAGCCGCCGGGTGAAGCAGAAGTAGCAGACTCGGCGGCAGTCGATGAGGTAGAGAGGATCGCCAAAGCGCTCGCACGTGAAGCATCGGGTTGTGCTTAGGGTTGTGTACAGTACATGGCAGTTGAATGAGTCTGCCTGGATGCTTAGAATGGCGCGGATGATGTTGGGGCAATGCTTGATGATGGCGGCGTACTGGGGGACCGAGTCGACGAGATCCATCGCGCGACGATTGACGCGGCGGAAACGAGTCAGCGACGGAAGGTCAGTGTACAGCAGGACCTAGATGAGAAGTTCTACTAGGAGTTGGTCGAGTTGGCCAGCGGAATAACGCGGGGGGTTGGATGCGTTGGTGTATCGCCCATTGTCAAGCGGACACCGTGTCGCCAGCCGCGCATCGTCTAAAGTGTTGTCACAGATGTGTTGCTTCGTATAGATGGTGAAATCGGGCAGATCAGGGTATGTTTTCTCCATCGCGGGCGCACCTTGAGCCCAAGTCTCTCCACGATGAGAGCAAGAGTGGATATATATCAACTGACAGGTCCCCTACCAGCGCGGCTATTTCTGGGTTTCCTCCGCCGGACAGCCTTTCAGGAACGCACAAACCAATGGAATAGACCAGTTTTAAACCCGTTTATAAAGATGGAGAAAGAGCAATACTTGCGAGTTTCATCTAAGGGCTTGATAGGTTGTTGTTTGCGCCTGATCCGCCCCCGCCTGGTCGAGTCGTCGGCATCTGAGTGATACGTGGATAGACCAACCATGATATTGTGAAAGGCTGTGATGCCGTTTGAAAGCGGTCTCGTATTGTTAAAGAGCAAGATGGATATTCTAGGTGGTGACAGGCAGTTTCTGGAAAGAAAGCTGCGCCGTATCTCTCCAGTAATCTACCGGTTTTCCGGTCGTTGCCGTCGCGGGACATGGGCAAGGCCGTGGAACGAGGACGGCGTTCGTGGCATGGCGGTGTCCAACAATGCGCCTCGTTGAATGCAGTCTCTTCTCCAACAGCTGTCTGTAGGGTGTATTCCACTCGCAACATTGGGCGGCAACGGCCTCTCTGAGTTGCACCCACGCCACCCATGCTACTCCCGCAACGGCACCATCCTAGGTGCTGTAGCCATGATTGGGTTCAATGGCGAGTCGTCTATGCACGAGATTGGTTTTGCGTGGCATTTTCCTGTCCTTTGGAAGGGAGGGCCACCATGACATGACGCGTATTGGCTGGGCGTGTGGATTGCTGGCATCGTCAGTCACTGTTTTCTAGCGTGAGTTTTATCCTCCATCAATTATCAATCAGTCTTGAGAGGAAGGAATGAACTAATATGACCTCAAAGAGCAACAATGGTCACATATTGTGTGCTCGCGGTCAAGGCTATCAATAGGGAGATGACGGAAGCGAATATCGGCGAGATGAGAGAGACGGATGGATTGCTTGGGGGCCAAACACAAGATGAAAGCCCGGAAATCATCTCGCATGCTTAACAGCGCGCAGTGGAAGAGGAAGGGCGACGAAAGGCGACGGGAGCAAGTAGTCGGAATTAAATTTCTATGTGATATGGTCTATAACTGATTTACAAGAGACCCGACAAGCGCGCAGTGCGCAGAAGAGACTAGCCCTGCCTTGGTGCCTGAAGTCTCCATGACCTGAGACACAGTGATTCAGGGCAGGCAGGTACCAACCAAAGCCGAGACTGCCCAACAGCTCTTCCGGCAGCGATTCACTGCCTCTGCACTGCCAACCCGACCTGATCTCCGATCCCCTCACCCTCACCTCATTCCTCTTCGCGGCTACGGAACCTGCCTAATTTTTTATTATTACTTGATCAGGCTTCCTAACGGCCTGAAACTTTAACTGCTTCTTGACCTCCATTTTTCCCTTTTCTGACACGCACGCACTCCCCCCAACATACGCGCTTCCTCCCCTCTTGACCGCTTTCTTGATCCAGAACTTCACCTCCCTTTGCTACTACTCGAACGACAGCGATCAACTCTCGGTTAATACTCGACGACTCACCCGATAATCTCCCCATCCCCTCCATGGTCCACCATGTCCACCATGTCCTCCAAGGACCGTGACGTCGAGGTCGCCGACGCCGACCGGTCACCGCGCGAAAAGCCCAGACGCTCCAAGTCGGAGCGAAAAGATCGCAAGGAGCGCAAGGATCGCGACCGAGACCGTGACCGAGAACGAGACAAGGACTACGACCGCGAGCGACGCCGTCACCGCACTTCGCGCTCTTCCAGGAGCAAGCTGAGCGAAGTGGGCAGCGATACCATCTCCCACACCTCTAGCCGCCGACACCGACATCGCAGGGATAGAGACGACGATGATCACCACCGTCACCACCACCGCGATCGTGCCGCTTCGACCAGTGACTTGGCCAGCTCGGACATGGCTAGAACCTCGACAGCTGCCACTTCTATCCTCTCGGAGCGCATATCGAGGCCTTATCCCAGTTTCAGCAAGGCACACAGCAAGGAGGCGATCGTTAGCCGCGATTCACTAGCCATTCCTCGCTACCCAAGCCCAAGCCCCAGTCCTAGTCCTTCTCCTGAACCAGCCGAACCTGGCGACGCTGCGCCTGAATCTCCAAAGTCGCCAGTATCAGCCGGCAAGGCAGATTCGCCTCCCAGCCCACCCCGGACGGAGAACCCTTTTGATGATGACAAGAGGCTCGATGAAGGCACATTGAAGGAAGATATTATAGAGGAGGAACCGGCTGAGGAGGAACATCCAGCAGAAGAAGCCCCGGAAGAGACACCGGGGGCAGAGACGCCCAAGGTCGAAATGCCAAGGGTCGACACACCAACAGAAGGGATTCCTGCCGAAGAGGATGGTCTACATCGCTCCAAGTCAAGATCCTCAACCCTTTCCCGGTCAGCCTCACGCAACGAGGAACGCTCCCGAGTTAGTCGCCGATCCGCATCCTCGAGCCAAGCTACTTATGTCAAATCCTCCGCTATCCGCTCCCGAGACAAGCTCCGACCTGAATCGAGGACTTCCAGCTCATCTCGCCCCTCAGCCAAGCGCACATCGTCAACTCGAAGTGTCAAGAGACCCGAGGTGGAAGGGGCCGAGTCCTCGCCCTCGAGTGCTCAAGATTCATCTCCCAAGACGCCCACTCAGACGCCTTTCCCTAGCGTCTATCCCGAAACTAAATCTGGTACACCCTCCGTCATTGACGTCCAAGATATCTCAAACTTGCACTCGAAAACGGCGACTCCGGCGTCTACTTTCGCGGCACCTCCTCCACCTCCCCCTCCGCCTGGTCTGGACATCCAGGATGTCCCACGTGTGGACTACCTCCTCCAGAATGGCGGCCTTGCTTATCCCGCCCCCAAGAACTTCTTGTCTGTGCTACCTCGACAAAACGGAACCCGACCATCCAACCCTCCTCTGACCGGCACTGATACCCTATTCGCCCCGTTCTTCAACCTTTTGGAACAGTACAACACCGTCCTCAACAAACAGGGATCAATTGCTGTTGCCACAGGGCATCGATCCGTTGCCCGCAGACTCCTGGACCGTCTGGAGAATGTCTTTTCCCGGGATCTGCCCCCTCATGGCTGCACTTGTATCATGTGTGACAACTCACACGAGATTCACCAGGGCCTGAACTGGGGTGATGTCCTTGAGTGGGTGAGTGGACGCATCGAGCTCCCGCAGTGGCCTCCGTTCGACCTTGCCGAGATTGGAACCAAAGCTGCCGAGGTCTCTGCCGATGTCCCCCCTCGACCTGCATCTCCTGTGAAGCTCGACCCCGATATCGCTGAGGAATTCAGAGAGCACTACCTCCGGCAGTCGAAGAAGGTCCGATCTGCCGTGGATCGATGGCTATCCAACACCGGAGAGACACCGGTGCCACCACCTTCGGAAGTGGACGATGAGACGCTCTCTTTCGCCATTCTCACAAACCTCGATCCCGATGATCGCCCATACTTCAATGCTATCATGTCGGGATCGAAGGAGCTGCGGACATCTGTCCGTGCACCTACTCCTGGTCATCGACCTCGCACTGATTTCCTCATCAAGACTGGTCTTGCGTTGCAACGCCTGTACCGATTGCCTCAGGTCCCTCGTGATGCTGAGTCGGCCACATATCTCATCAAGAACTCACACACTCATGATCTACTTGTCGCCCTCTCAAACATCAACAACTCGGAATGGGAAATTCTCATCTCGGGACGGTTCGATGGCTTCCTCTGGTCTGGTGCTGACGACGACACGATGCACACACCAAACCCCGAGTCACGAGGTCCTACTCCCGCTGGCGGATACTATCACACACGCACCATGAGCCCTGGCCCCCGAGCTTCATCTGTGTATAGCTCCAGAAACACAACTCCCTTCTCTGTCTACTCACGAGGTACTACACCAGCCTCGTTTGTAAGCCTCTCATCTTCAGGGGCGCCATCCAACCGACAGGCAGTCTCCAACGATGAGGAGATGGAGATGGCAGTCATTGCAGAGATTGAGCGAGACATATACAAGGGAATGGAGCAGCTGGAGGATGCCTTCGAGAAGCTGCACCACCGAGCAGAGCTTGTTCGAACAGCACTGCGTCAACGAGGTGCAGGATTGATGCAGAACCTCCAGAACCGCCGACGCATCGACATTCTATCAGGACCCAGCTCCGGCAACTCACAAACATCGGGCTATGAACGTCCACCATGGGCTGGAAGCGATCGTGACCCAGGCAGCGATGAAGACTGGGCATTTGACGAGGCCGATATCATGCCCGACGACTCGGCCAGCAACATCAGTAGCTCGCGACACCGGCGACCTAAGAGGCGCACGGAGCGACGCACACCTGCCCCGATCGACGAGGAGGATGAGGGTTAAAGGCGAGAGGACGATATCAAGGATCTCACGACCGCAAATTACATGACTGACGACCAAAAAAAATTGTTTGAAGGAGCGCATCTTTTTTCCATCATAGAAATGTCAGAATCAACGACCAACCCAGCCTCTTTTTTTTTTCACAACCGAACCCCCTTTGTTTGATTCCAATAACGGCCTGACAGCACGTACCAAGATGTCTGAGAAGAGGGCAAGAACACAGCTGTCGGAATATCACGCTTATATGCTTGACGCTTGGATGTAGCCTCTTTTTTCTTTTGATTCTTTATTTAGGAATCTTGGTTGGCTTTGCTCTTTAGTATTTTACTTTTTCGTTTTCTGTATTTTTTTCTTCTTTTTTTTCATGTTTTCTCGTCTCTTTTTGCGTCAGGGGAGGGAATGGGAACAAGTTCTGATGTTAGAGATATGTGATGAGTCCTGAGAATGTAGGAGGTTGTCGAGAGATAAAGGTCCCTTTCTACCATGTCTTGGGTGGTTGTCTGAATATCTGTCGGTTCTTAGATGTACGGGTCAAGCGAGGGTTCCAGAGCACAGAGGATATTTGTTCCGCTGGGAAGGGGTGGATGATACCTTATGGATAGGGGAAAATGTTAATGAAATGTATGGACTTGATTGTCTACTATGGTTTGCCATTCAAAATCTCGCCTGTGCTGTCTTTGTTCTTGGGTCCATCATTACAGCCTTGACACGAAACATTGATCACTCGTATTCATACATTGCTCAGAAGCTTCTTGTTCGCCACGTATACAAGCTACATCAAGTAACCAACATGGACACCAGTTCTAGTCCTGCACCATTACCCCTTACTTTTGTCCCTTTATCATTCCATCCAATTCATCAGACAGACACCCTCTCCCTGTTTCCAAAAACTCCGCCATTCCCACCAAGCCTTCTTCCTCCATGTCTTCCCTTGCATCACTAGTTGTCCCCTTCTTTACTTTTTGTCTCATTCCATAACCTTTATCTTGCCGAGGGAGCTTTTGCCCTCGCGCCGAAAAGAAGAGAGCTGAGACAATCTCAGCCAGGTGTATTATACAAAAGATCGAACCAGGCCAAGAGAACGCCACCAGAAAGGAGGCTCTCCTCGTGCCAAACGTCTCAAAACTACAGAGCGGCCGTTAAACGTGCATGGTAAGTATTACAATGAATAGGCGTCATGTAGTCAGTCACTTTGTCTCAGATGACGACATATTCGAAACCCTTGTATATTGGAAAAAAGAGAAATGCCGTTCGGGCAGGTATCGTCTTTAGCCGTAGAGAGACTCGAAGAGGTAAAGAACACCAAAGATGAGGAAGGCACCAGCACCGCCGACAGTGACTTGGAAATGTTAGCCCCCATGATATCAAGCGTAGAGTAGACGTCATAAACTTACCAACTTTGAGACTGACTCGGCCGGCGATGGCCCGGCCACCAATGACAGCAACACCAGTGCAGATGGCATGGCCACAGCTAGCACCAAGAGTAACCCACCAGTAATCCTGTCCGGCAGCCATGGCGATGGTAGCAATCTGGCTTCGGTCACCCCACTCACCCAGGAAGGTCATGATAAAGGTCTGAACCCAAGCCGGGCTAAGCAGCAGAGAGCAGAGGTTGGCTACTCCTTGGAAGATACCAGACGAGCCACCACGGGATTCCCGAACAGGGGACTGAGAAGGCGATCGGGGGGGCGACATCAAGCGGTTGCTGGGTCGAGACCTTCGACCGTTGCCGTTGCCATTGAGACCCATCTCGAGCGTGTAAGCCGACACAGAATCACCTCGCTTGCGGCCCATCTCCTTTTCCTTTTCGGCAAGCTCTTGCTCAACCTCGTGCATCTCAGCAGAGACACCCTCGTTGGGGTCCATCTGGAGACCCTCCCGCATCAGCTTGGCTCCAAAGACAAAGAAGAGAATGGCAGCGAGGAAACCGGTCAGGCGCTTGGGGATCAGGGCAGGAACGGCATGACCCAGGACAGCTGAGAGAACCGTCATGACAAGCAGGGCACCAAAGGCGGCAGTAAAGACCACCATCCGATCATGCTTCATAGCCATCAGAGCAGCAACTAGGAAAGTCTTGTCTCCAACCTCGGAGACCAAAATCATGGTAAAGGATAGAACGAAGGAGTGGAAGGGCTGGCTGAGGTGGTCGTCATCTTGTTGGCCGTGAGTTGATCCTCTGCTCGGCTCGGTAGGTTCCTTCTTGGCGGAATCATGGAAAGGTGCGTTCTGTCCAACAGGTCGTTCGGGAAGATCATCTGGCTTCTATAACAATGTCAGCAATCCTGGCCTCAGATTCTTGGCAGGTGAATCGATACTCACATCCAGTCCAGTATAATCCATATCATCATTGCCCTTGGTGCCTTTAACAAGGGGCTTGACTGCTTCTCCTTCCTTCTCTTTCTCGTACTGTGACCCGACTTCCTTCTCGGTATCCTTACCGGGTTCGTTCACCACACCTCCAGACGCGCGGATCTTTTCTTCCTCGCTGTGTGGTAGAGGAGGCGCCTCCTTAGGAGCTTCAGGCTTCTTGAAACTCGCTCCGTTGAGGTCCTCCTCAAGCTTCTTTGCCTTGTACTTTTCGGTCACGCCGCCTTCGGTCCCAGTGGTACCCTCTTGGGCGTGGACTCGATTCGTGTCGAACATGACGCCGTCGTTGGTCTCGGGGATCTTCTTACCATCCACAACGGTTGGGTCAACGGGTCGGCCCTTGAGCTGAGGGAGGGTATCTGGGTCGCCCTCGACAGATCCAGCGGCCGCCGCGTTTGTCCGCTTGTGGTCATCTGTCGTCTCGATGAAAGGCCCATGGTGAGGCTTTCCATCCTTACCATCGACGGGGGCATCCTTGGTTGGGACATCATGTCGATTCAGACCAGCCTGGGGTATCTCATTTGATGCCTCTGGAACCGCGGCCGGGGCTGGTAGGTCGGCAACGTCATGGGATGACAGCGCATACGCAATGGATGGGAGGAGGAGGAAGAGCAAGGGCGAGTGCTTGGTGCGGATCTTCATGATGGGCGACGAGTCGATGATGTCGAGAGCAAGAGATGATCAGGATAGCCAGTCGCAAAGACTTGCTGTCAGCGGTCACGGCCGCGAGTCGAGAGGACAGACGAAACTCTAGTCGAGAGGAGAATCGACAGATAGGTTCAAAGCCGCAAACCTTGTAGGAGTCGAGGTCGCGTGCAACGTAGGATGCGGTCGGTTCACGGCGATGACGGGGCGTAGAGGACGGAGGATCAATTGGACTCGAGTCCGTCTGACGCGCAAGGGACAACGTGACAGTGGAAGAAATAAAAGAAAGGTGTCCCAAAGACAAAATTAATGAGGGCGCAATGCGTGGGCACCGACTACAAGAGAGACAAGAAGGGAGTTGAAGAACGAAGCTGGAATGGAATTGGTTGGGGTTGGATATTGGATGGCTTGGATTGGATTTAGGGGCAAGGAAGGTCCGGCCGGTCACAGGAGGTCCCGTCTGGTCAGGCAGGCGCAAGTCAGGTCAACCTTGAGGTTTCATGTGGAGATGCCAACTTCCCTCTTTCCCCAGGCCCAAGGTCCCGTCCCAAAGCCAAAGTGCAGGAGCGACAGGGCAAATTCGAGCTTGCAGGGGTGTGGCGAGTCCCGTCAGAGGCAAGAACAGTGGACGACGTGGCCCCAGCCGCGCCACGCTAAGCCTAAATCTGACTAAGGCAACAGTTTAATCACCTATTTTTACACGAGCTTCAGGGGCCGTCGTGGCCACTCTTTCATGATCGTGAACAGGGGGCTCTGTTCATCAAGGGAGCAATTGTCTGCCAATGCCTTGGAGGGGATCCTACCTGCATACGAAAGTAATTTCCTAATATTACGATCATGAACAATCTGTCGCGCTTGTTCAGAAGAATGGTTACCACCGCTTCACCTCCCTCATCTGCTTCACCCTATTTGCAGCAGTCATGGCACCAATTCATTCCATCATCTCAGACTTGGAGCCGTGTTGAAACCTCTGGGCCGCCCCGCCAAGCATCGGAACTCGGCAGAAATCTGGATCCAAAGTTGAGGATCGTCACTTGGAACGTCGACGCTGGTGCTCACTTCACCGAGTCTCGGTTGGAGGCCATTGTCTCTCACATCCTGTGCCAAAAGCCCGTGGCCGACATCATCTTTTTCCAGGAGGTTTCCAGGCCGGCGCTACTGCATCTCTTGAAAGATACTCGCATTCGAGATTCATGGTTCTCAACGGAAGCGGATACGACAAACTGGGGAGGCCACATATTTGCGACCATGATGCTTGTTTCAAAGGCCAGGTTTGGTCCCTCCAACAAATCCATGTCTGTCTCGGCCCTAGGACCAGTGTGGAGGGTCAAGTTTCCCAGTCGCTTCGGCAGAGATGCCCTGTGCAGCGATATCTTTGTTTCTTCCCCAACAGATAACTCGTCCCAGATATCACGACTTAGACTGATCAACGTTCATCTCGACTCACTCGCCCTTGAACGTTCAAGGCGCCCTGAGCAACTGTCAATCGCTGCAGAAATGTTGAGAGAGACTGGAAAGGGTCTGATCGCTGGTGATTTTAATCCTGTCCTTCCTGAGGATAATACTCTTGTCGCATATAATGGTCTTGTGGATGCTTGGACTAAGGTGCACGACTCTGAGCCGGGGTTCACTTGGGGTGTTGATGGAAAGCAGGCCTTCCCGCCAGGTCGGCTCGACAAGATTGCTATATTGGGCTTGCAACCGCACGAGATCGAGGTCATGCATCCTGGTGTAATTGAGAAGGAGGAGTTTGGTGTTGGACAAGTGCCTTGGAGCGACCACTCTGGCTTGAGATGTACCTTTGAGGTCTGAAAACAACAAGGGAGGTATTAATAATAATTTCAACATGGGATCCTGGGCTGTCACAGCATGCACTGTACCGTAACTTGGCCCCCGATTTCGGTCAGCTTGTTCGATAAGCAAACTCGGACGTATCTGCGCCATCTCAGTACATTAAGCTGCATCTATCCGATGTGGTGTTGCGCTTGGACGCCGTGATGGTGTCGTACCGATTGGTCGCTCTTGGCTGCACAAAGGAACGGTCCGAGTGAGTACTAGGATCCAGGGCGCAGAGCATCTCTAAAACAAAGGAGTATTCCTTCAAGACACTCACGTGTTGCCATTTCGATGTAATTGACACAGAGGTGCTTAACTCCGTCGCTGAAGCTGGCTTGTTCAGGGTAGCCTATGTTATCGCGGCTTGCCTTATCTAATCTCCGGGGATAGATGTCGTCACAAGCTCGGGAAGCTTAACCGTCAACTTCAGCTTGAACATCTCGTTCACGTCGCATCGTCGATAATTCATCAAACTCATGATTCCCCAAGCTCCTTACCGAGTCTTCATAATCCTCCATATCCTGTAATAAATCTCTTGACAATCTATTCCGTCTATCCCGCCAGTCGGCCGCCCTGTCCCCTCCCAGCGGTCTCGCTTAGCAAGCAACACTAGGTCCAATCGTGAGCTGCCATCTCACTCACGACACCTCACACCCAGAACTCAATATGGCTCCTCTTAACGAAGGAAGGAGCTCGGAATCACAGCAGGGGAATGAAAATGACCGAGAAGCTCATGAGGAGCAAAGCGATCGAGAACCTTCGGCAGGTCCGGCATGGTACTACGAAGTAGAACAGGATGATGAGGACGACGACGAAGATCCCGATTACCAGGACGAGCCGGATGAAGATGACGACGATGGTTTTCAAGGTATGCTTGAGATAAGCATGAGGATTTGCCGAGCTTTATCTGACAAGATGTATAGACGCCAACGGTGGCCTCCAGTTTGAGGTCTTGTTAACCAACGATGACGGTGAAGAAGGCGCCAACGAAGACCAGAACGATCAAGACGAGGATGATGACGAAAGTGCACAGCGCATTCTGAATCTCATACGATGTAAGTATTGTTCTTTACTCTCAACTGAGAAGAGAACTGACTTTACCAAGCCGGTGCCAGAACAGGCCTACTGACCAGAGGACAACTTGTTGCACTGATGCGCAATCGGGAACTCACCAACGTCCTGTTCCAAGATGACCCCGAAAGCGATATTGAATTCTTGCAGTGGCCTCTGGGAAGACGGCGCACACCCAAAGACCCGAATCGTTTCCCGAAGGTGCCGAGCGAGGAGGGCATCAAGCTCATGCGGTCGGGGGTGTTTGGTGCCAACGACTACAACTTCCAGGCCAAGAAGCGTCTAGCTACGAGAATGTTGGAGCGTGAGTTGGCGTTGGGTGACCGAGAGGATCGGTTAAGAAACAACGCTCTCATCACACAGGTATGAGCTTCACCGACATGACCTAGCAAACTCAACTAATATGACATGTTAGAGTATGTTGCCACGGAGCAGAGCGGAACAGATCATTCACTTTGATGACCCTGTATACTCGGGACAGTTCTCCGATGATGGAAACTTCTTCTTCGCTTGCTCCCAAGACTTCAAGGTCAGGATGTACGACACATCTAACCCATACAACTGGAAGCATTACAAGACAGTCAGCTATCCCTGGGGTCAGTGGACACTTACAGACGCCTCGCTAAGCCCTGACAACAAATGGCTCGCCTACACCTCGATCCAAACCATGGTCTCGATTGCTCCTACTGACCCAAACGATACCGGGGACCCATACACCTTGGATCTCGACGATGGGACTAGGCATGGATGGCACGGGCGACGTGGCTTCGGCATCTGGTCTGTTCGGTTTTCTGGCGATGGGAGAGAGCTGGTTGCAGGAACTAGCGCGGCGTCTCTCGTTGTATACGACATTGAGTCACGGACGGTTCTGCACCACGTTCGTGGGCATCAGGACGATGTCAATGCCGTTTGTTTCGCTGACAAGATGTCTCCTCACATTCTCTACTCGGGATCTGATGACACAACAATCAAGGTCTGGGATCGGCGAAGTATGGGCGACAACCGAGAAGCTGGAGCATTCGTGGGCCATATCGAAGGTTTGACGTACATCGACAGCAAGGGTGACGGGCGGTACATTCTCAGCAATGGCAAGGACCAAAGCATGAAGCTCTGGGATCTCCGAATGGCCATGTCTACCAACCGATTCAAGGAGTTGAACCCTACCCGACACACGCAGAATAGCGACTTTGACTACCGCGGAGGAGTCTATGACGACGAGGACTGGGACGTACACCCCAACGACAACTCATTGGTAACGTTCCGAGGCCACAAGGTACTCCGAACTCTAATCAGATGCCACTTTTCACCTCCTTCGGCGACCAACTCGAGGTATGTGTATTCTGGCAGCACAGACGGAAAGGTGTATATCTGGAATATGGACGCTACATTGGCTGGCATTGTCGATGTCAAGAAGGCGACGATGCGCACACGACCAATGAACCACCGGTATCGCCTTTACCACTTCGATGAGCGCGGCGACTGGGGAACCTGTGTTCGTGATGCCAGCTGGCATCCCAACGCCCCTGTTCTTGTTGGTAAGTTAACTTCTAAGTTACTTTGTTCCACCCAACTGACAACTCTCCAGCATCTGCTTGGAATGGACACAACATGGCGCAGGGAACTTGCTCAGTACACTCGTTCAATGAGAACGTTGACGACGAGGGAGATACACCCATGGGCCGGAGCGTCAGCAACGTGCTCAAGGAAGACCCAGACTTGTACTACAACTCGACGTATGCTATTCATTAGAGCGAGACAAGATTGCAGAAAAGACTTTGGATATATTTTTGTACAATTGATCGTCTTCCCCAGCTGCCTCCATGGGGTGTCGTCTCAACCCCATTTGCACAGCTCCCCCTGCACGCAAAAAAGGACACCATCGTCCTCACGGCGCTCGACCGAATTCCGGCGTAGTATGATGTCGCGTTCCCGCCATGATTCCGTTAAACTCCGCCCCATTGAAGGTACTCGCAACAAGAAAGGTTGTGTGTGACGCCCCAGCCGCGCCATCTGCTAGCTGGGGATTATCGTAGAGTCGCCACCATCAGATTTCCACCCGTCGGTTGGCCGTTTATGCGCTGCCCACGAGAGCATGGTTGAGGGGGATGTGCACTGCATTCGGGTTAGAGTAGAGTCGCATTGGGTGGTGATTGAGAACGTACCCAGCTTGACAACGTAGCCGACAGCGCCCATGATGAGGAAGCCAACGCCAACAGCCTGGCAGAGTCGGAGGAACTCCTGCTGGTCGGCTAGAAGATCAAGTTAGTAAGAAACCGAAATAAGCGCAAAGGGAGGCGTACGCTTAGTGCATCGTCGCATGAACTGAACACCATCCTTGACGAACTCGGAGGGAACCTCGAGAAGCTCTTGAACCTGGTCGGACATTTTGGCGGGTGTTAAGGAGAGGAGGTCGAAAAGACGATATTAAAGTAAGTTGGACGAAGAAGAATAGAGGGACGACAGGTTCGTCAGTAGAAAAAGGGTCGTTGATGGGTCGCGTGAGTGGATGGGAGAAAGGAGAGTCAAAAAGGTCGAGGATGCGCAAAGGGGGCCTCTTTTGGTGATCCAGTAATGACAGCTGCCCACCCCGTGCGTGCGAACGACGTGTTAACAATAATTTCCAATTGGGGGAAGGCCAGATTTCCGAAAGGGCGGACGGGCCGTCGGATGTTCCGGGAATGAGAGTCTGGACCTCACCAGCCACAGCCAGAGCAACGGTTTCTCTCCCCTGATGCCACCGCTTCAGCCCCAGAGAGTGGAGAGTCGCGGAAGCATGGAAAGTGGGGTCGAGCTGGTTGCCTGCGGCTTTCCCAGGCTATTTCCCCCAGACGCGAGCCGCTAGACGCCAGCTGCCGCCGGGGGGAGGCAGGAGGGAAGCCCTGTGCAGGTGTTGCCGTGCCGTTTGGCTTTTGCTTGCGAAGCTCCTTCCCCGGAAAGAAGGCGCGAAGCTCTTTCTCCTCGCAACCTTGGGTTCTCGTAAAACCTCAACGTCCATCATCTCTTGCAACGCGAATCTCGGGCCCATCTTCAAACGTTCTCTATCCTTTTTTCTTTTTATTTCGAGTTTGCTTACCGGCGCTTTGATTCATTAAGCTAGCTACTTCTTCCCGGTTCGACCTGCGTGAGCGTGCGCCGCGAGAGCCTGATTCAGAACGGTGACGGAAGGGCCGACAACCAACGAACCACGCGCCGCCGATTGAATAATCGGACAGCCAGACGTTGACGGATCTCTAAGCGCAGTTTTCGACGTCGAATCTGCCAGCGACCGAATCGCGATTGATCACCGACCGAAGGAAGCGCTCGCAGAAGGAAAGGAGGAAGGTTGATCGGGCTAGACGGCATCCTCTATTCCACTGCTCCCCGCCTGTACCTGTGCCTTTGCCCAGGAGCTAGATATCGAGGATTGCGAGCATAGAGCTTCGTCCTCAAGATTGTCTCCTTGTCGAGGATCGTCTTGTCTGGAGGTATCATCTGGACCTCAATCCATCCTGTCCTGTCACCCGAGGAGTGTACGTATTGCAAGCTTCCAGTCCTGTTCATCTTTCATCATCACACTGGTGTTTCAAGGCCTCTAAGTCTTTGGGGTGCGGTTTTTGGAAACGGAGCGATCAGTGGCTGATGACCAAGTGTAAAGACCAGAGGCCGTCTCGTGTATCTCGCAGACTAATTATCACTTTTGACCAACCTCATCCTCGTTGACTTTTAGATCGCTTGCACGGCACTAACCTGTGCCTCGTGCATCGAACCGGCTAAAATGGCCGAAGAGGACTTTGAGATCGACTTTTACGGCGATGCCAACAACGAGCAGCAGCAGGATGACCAGCGCGGCGATGGTGGTCACCACCACCACCACCAGGATCACCACCATGACGACCACCGACGGGATAGCCACGATGATCAGAACATGGATGAACACCACCCGCAAAACAGCCATCGGGGTCAAAGCCACGATTCTGGCCATCACGGTTCTGGCTCTCAACAAGGGACCAAGCGGAAGCAGGAAGAAGATGGTCGGCCAGTTGACCAGGCTGCTACCACTTCAGTCATGATCTCCGAGTTGAATTGGTGGACCACGGATGACGACATTCGAGGATGGGCACGACAAGCTGAGTGTGAAGAAGAGCTCAAGGACATTACATTTAGCGAGCACAAGGTCAACGGCAAGAGCAAGGGGTACGATTCTCAAGGATTTGATGAGCTGGATGGAGTAACTGACCGTTTTCTAGCCAAGCATACGTTGAGTACTACTCACCTCAGGCGGCGACCGCATTCAAGCACACCGTCGAACAGATCATGGCCGAGAACCAAGCTGGTCACAAGAAGATCAACTTGAGCTACTGGAACCCCAATGTCAACCCCTTCAAGACACTGCCCAAGGACGCTCCAGCCCGGGCCAAGGACCAGAACCGCTCATCGTCAGGTTCTTATAACGACCGCGGCAACAACATGGGAGGAAACTTTGGCGGTGGCTTCCGAGGTGGACGCGGCGGATACAACCGTGGCGGTATGAACCAGGGCAACTACAACAACCGCAACTATAACAATAACAACATGGGCGGCTTCAACCCCAACATGGGAGGTGGATTCAACGGACCCATGGGCGGCGGCAACTTTGGCGGCTTCAACAACCGAGGCGGCATGATGGGTGGAGGCATGCGTGGTGGCCCTGGTGGAATGCGAGGAGGTCGAGGAGGCATGATGGGTATGAACCCTATGGGCGGAATGCCTATGGGTATGCCCGGGAACATGGGGATGGGCATGATGGGCCCCAATGGGATGCCTGGTATGTTGAAACTCATCGACTGTGATGGAGTACAGCTAACCCCCTCAGGCTTCCAAGGCATGCCTCCCAACTTTAACCCCGGCTTTGGCTTCAACCAGAACCAAGGCGGAGGCGGCGATTGGGGCAACCCGCACGGTGCTAAGCGACCACGCCCAGAATAGAGCTAGGCGGGCGTTTGGTACGTTGATAATTTCTTCACTACGCATACTGTGGTGAAACATGGCTAATTCTTCTAGGTCACGCAGTTAGAAGCTTCGATCCAGGTAGCGACCTAACTATCGTTCAGCCAGACCTCTGGCGACGACCCGGGCGGTGCCCAAGGCGTGAGCAACTCGGACGACGGTAGGAAACCAGGACCAAAGAGCCTCGTCCGGGCTGCTCACCTGCCTCAAGATTGCTATAATGGCATCCTGGACCAGGATGCAGTGAAGGTTCCTCGTTTAATGCAACAACTAGTGGCGTCTTGATTCCGGGAAAGGATGTGGCATGCGCATGGACAAGTGTCAGGAGGAAGCGATTCAGAAAGGAAAACTGGAGACGCGGCCTCTCTCAATTGTATCAATAGATTTAGGCATGTAAGGTTAGGCACAGGCGTAACAGAGCGATTATTGACTTTGAATGAGTGTGTTTATGGTTTTGTGTCTCCTGTGTATCTACCAAGGTTGTGAAGCATTCACAGAGTGTCACTCGAGCTGGAAGATGGCTTCTACCATGTTATGGATGAGACTGAGCCTCGCTTGGTGTCCGGCATTTGGAACTCTACCTGGACATGTTCGGATGAGGACTGAGCAGGCATCTCATGCCTCTTGCGTCTGATGGAGGCCAAATCGACTATGAGCTCTTGCCAAGGTTACATCACGACACTTGGTTGGAGGATTCGCCGGATTGAAATGGGGTCACTAGGCTGTGAGGGGAGCAAACAGGAGGTCTATGGACAGCTGAGACTGAAGCTAGATTTATGGTTTCTTCTCAAAACTCCTGAATGCGTGTCCATGGTAAAGTGTGCCTAGATCACCCGGTCTTGGTGAGACTTCCCGTCCGCCGACTTGAACAGGTGGATTAAGAGCTATAAAATGCTTTGGAGTACTTTCTCCTGAGACTTATAGTATTGTATTACTAGTTCATCGAGATTCTAGTGAGTTTACGATGAGAAGTCTGGTGGAATGCCGAATCGTTGGTGTGTCAGACTCCCTTGTTCTTGAACCACAACCCAAATACGCATCCAGACTCATCTAGTTAAGATGCCAAGAGAAGACGAGTTGTTTATTACCGCAATCATCATTGTTGCCTGCCACTGTAGCCTGTGACTGCTGCCTGAGGCTGGATTTATGCTGGGCATGTAAGCACCAAAACCTCGCTTCGACAACCGTCTGACATGCCCAACTCTGTGCCCCCGTGATTGATTTGAGGCGCAGGTCTCTTGTGTTGACATTTTGCTAGAGAAAGACAAATGCCATTCAAAGTCCCAATTCGAACACTCTCAAGGATTGTCCCTCGGCATCGCCTCTGTGGAACAATTGATCGTTTGGGGGCTGAGGCATTGAGTCGCCGTGTGAGTCAGGCCGTGAATCCCTGACGGCTTATTCGCTACTATCAGATTACTGACATTGAGGCAGCCTTTATCTCCTGCAAGACCTTCTATACATCCATCGCGCTGTTCTACTCTTTTCGCCGTTGAATCTCAGACGTTTACCATCCTCAGACGACACTCCACCATGGCTACAGAAGACGTCAACAAGGCCAACATCCTCGAGGAGGCTCAAATCGAAGAGACCAAGGATGCTCAAGAATCTGAGGAAGATTCCGACCCAGGTCCTATCTTCGAAAAATGGCGGCCGATGATTGATGCCATTACTGATGCCACCAAGGAGGCCTTCCCAGCCAGCCCACCCTTTGACCCCTCTGTGCCTTCGACATTCCAGACATACTGGCGAGGGGTCTTTACAAACCTCAAGGATTCAATTTTGAAAAACGAAGAGATTCCTCACTACCTGACTGAGCCGCCCGTTTCTACGTGTTCCGTCACCTTGTTCGACGACATGCACGTGATGGGATGTCCCTGCTGCCAGTCCCCCTCGGAGCCCGCCATCCAGCTGAAGAACGAAACTGGCGTGACAAAGGAGGATTTTATGAATGCAATCATTGACACGATGTACGGCGAGGAGCTTCCCAAGGTGTTTGTCGAGGCGGACCCCATGTACCAAAGCGACGACGAGACAGACGACGCTGATGATGATGTCGAGAGTGAAGCTGGAAGTGAGGACGATGAACCAGAGACAGCGGGTTTCGAGAACGACTCGGGTGTACTTGTGTACACTTATGGCTGGATGAGTGCTGGCGGCGGCAATGAGTGGGGGACGGTCATGTATGGGGATGAACCTGATATTATCTTGTACTGCTGTCCGCCGGCTGAGTTTGAGGAGTTGAAGAAGAAGGTTGAGAAGAGGACGAGCAAGGACGGGGAAGACTCCAAGGATGAGAAGGAACCTGAAGAACCTAAGGAAGCTAGAGAATCTAAGCTCTAGGGGTGTCAATGACACTGGAAAGGAGGATGGTCTAGACATTTGCAGGAAACTCTCAACTCGAAGCTGCACCGTCGACGATTGCCTCTACTAATAATACTATGACTTGAGGATCAATCCACTTGATGCCTAATCTATCTTCGACCCTTGGACACTGATTGACTGAGTTGGAGTTGTGAGTGATCGAAAGTGTCTTGTAAATGTCTGATACGAGTGATGTTGGGGGCGGACTAGAACTAGAGCCCCTGGATTGTAACAAGTCTCTCGACGATGAAACCACACGGGATTTGAAGAGTAAGAAAACTTGCTAGTCTAGCATCTGGATTGCAATGTCATGAACTCTTTTTGAGTAGATCGAGAATGATTGGTCCCAGTGTCGTTGGCGGTCCAAGAAAAAGATGAGACACCAAAAGAGCAAAACACCTCTTGAGTCTGAGGGAAGACTCTTGATTTACGAGGAAATAATCCTGCTAAAAGAGAAAAGGAGATGATAAAACATGCAATTATAATAATTATTACTCTATAAATACTCTCTAAATATTTGGTATTAGTGGCTTGCTTTCTCCTTGGACTGCGTGGCGCCATCACATTGTTGGTGTATACTCACTCTCATTACGAGGCAACTCGAAGCCGTCGTGATGACGACTTATCAACACACACCGTCAAACTTGGCCCTGACGTTGCAAGCTTTATCGGCCGTTGACCATGTCAATCGAAGCATATGTGTCATGAGCTTCATCATCTGATGAGCCTCGTCAGACATCTATTCAGGACCACGACACACATGGAAGCAACCACCTTCCAACTCCTGGCTCGCTCCACGGACAAGTACTCAGACATCACCAGGATCACAAATATGTTACACTATAGTACAACTACACAAAGATAATCAAGGGGGCGACGGGTACAAAAGGGTATCAAAACCCCCCCTCTCTCAGCTCCTTCAACCTCTTCTTCTCCTCCCTCTCCCTCTTACGAATACTCCTCATGTCCGGCGGCCTCTCGATCCCCAGCTCCCTCCGCAGGTCATCCACATCATCCTCCAACCTCTCCTCCCAAAAGACGTTGATCACCTCCTTTGCCCGGGCGCCGTTCTTGATCGCCCAAGGGAGGTAGATGCTCGCGAAGCGCTGCCTCTCGCTGCGCTTCATGGTCGCTGCTGCAAAGATGCTTAGACCCGTCATGGGGAGGAGCGTGTTTGCGAATTCAAACGCTTTGAGCGCGACTTCACCCTCCCTCACGATCGGCAAGCCCGTGAGGGCATGGTAAAAGTCGTGACACTCGCGGTACCGCTGCATGACGTATGCACACTCCTCATCGTCAATGTATCGCACCGAGGAGCGGGTATCGGGCGATACGCCCTCGCGGTCGAGCCATCCGACATAGGCGCGGCCGACTGTGTTCTCCGGGAGGGCGCGTAGGGCTGGGAGGGAGAGGGTCTTGGACGAGATGCGGGGTCGGGCGCGGAGGATGCGGCGACCGGTCGGGTCGGCGAGCATGGCGTCGCGGAGGCGGTAGATGAAGTATGGGGTTGCGGTGGCCTCACCGGTGGCAGCGATGAGGTCTGTGACGAGTTAGCTATAGCGAACAGAAGGGTGTAGAGTGCATACCATGACGATACGGGTCGAAAAAGGACCACAGACTGGCCCCAATGGCCATTCCAGCCCGCTCAACCCTCGTCAGAGGCACATGGCCGGGATAATTTGGCGGGGGTCGGTTCAAGCTCGAGAAGCCGCGGTGAGAGCAAGAAACACAAGCTGTAGCACGCAGAAGGGTGTAGCCCTGTCGGGCAGACCCAATTGACCGCAGCCGTGGCAGAGCAGCCTCCATTGCGACGGACAATCCGGCAACAGGTTGGTGATGGTACGATGTTGAGGAATGGTGGTGTTGATGGAGACATGGGCATCCGCCATGACTAAGCTCCCAACCCAAAACAGCAAACCATACGAACGTCACGCGAGAATAGCTTCACAAGGCAGCTGGTGAGTAATTGTTTATTTTGTTCTGGTGATTAGATTTCATCATGAGTCAAAGGATCTTGCTAGCTGATTGTTCTTGTGATCTGTTGAACACAGTCAGGGACTGATGAGCACCTCCTCCAGCATCCTGAGACGACGCCTCTCTCACTGAGATTGATATTCATTCACCACAAGACCCAATCCTGATCTGCCAAACGAGTGTAATGTATTAATCAAGGTTCCCAAAGTCATATCTCATGTCAATTTACCCAATCCAATACCAATCCGCTTCATAACACTACCCAAGTAGATCGTCAATCGTGCGCCCAAGATCAAGCCGAGATCGCAACATCCGGCCCAAATGTCCTTTTCCGAGTAAGATATGTATTGAGGTGCATCAGTTTCTTGGGATTATACCCCGGTTCAATCTGTATCGTTTCAACGAGGTCCCAGCCCTCGACAGCGCCGCCAAACTCACCACCTCTGACCTTTTCCTCCGTGCTGAATCGTAATATGGTAACCTCTCGTAAGTCGGGGTAGTCGCCGCCTACCAGCACACCGCAAACTTCGTCGTTGACCTCCTGGTAGAGGTCGGGATAGTCGGCATCCGGGGAAACGTAATATTCGGAGTAGAGGCACAGCGTCTCCAGTGTAAAGGGTAGGGCCTCGTTGAGTTGCAGCGTTCCCTCCCACCCGTGGACGCCCACGAGGTGTTCCTTCGTGACACAGAGATGCTTCAGTTTTGTCATGCTTTCCAGAGAGCCAATTCTCCCATAACAATGACGGTGCTCTTCATAGCCGTCGGTGTGTAAACCAAACTCGACTAGGTTCCGGCCTAGTTGCCTCAGCGAGTGGCCAACGCTGGTCAGGTTGAATTCCCAGTTGATATCAAATCCCGACTTGCGGACATTCCCGAGTGTGATGTAGAGGCTACGGAGATCCTTGCAGATGGCCAAGATGTGTCTGACTGTTGGAGCATCAATGATGGCTTCGGAGAGGTCCAGACGCTGGAGACGAATGGGAAAACTGGCCCAGAGTCTCGTCTCCTTCTCAAAGCCCAGCCAGTGGAAGCCTTGGGCTCGTAGTGTCTTGAGGTTGGGGTGAAGCAGGACGCGCCTGAAGTCGGTGATGGGTGGGCTTGGTTCAATGGCCGAGTTGTAACCGACACCTCTCAGGCGTAACTCTTGCAGGTTTGGGAGATGGTTGGCATAGGTTTCTGCCATGGTGCCGAAGGGCGTCTGCACATCCTCGTTGCCAAAGAACTCGCTACTTTCGGTGTAAGCAAGCTCTTTCCGCTTGCCCAAACTTCCACCTAGCAGCCAGAACAAGGCTTGGGACGGGCAACTGTACGTGATGTCGACCAGTTTCACGTAGGGTGTCAGGGCCAGAATGAAACTTGTCAGGTTGTTTCTGTCGCGAGGGGTCATGTTGCCGCAGGTACTGTCCATCTTCTTATCCCAGAGTCTCTGGAAGGATTGAGGCATGCTGAGAGAGTCAATGCGCTGCTCGAGCATGTTGGAGAGACCGGCATCGCTTGGCCATTCGATATCGTCGATGGCGATGGCCCTAGTGTTGAGACCGACGTCGGGGTGAGCAGCTAGGGTACGGGCGAGCTTGACCTGGCGCTCGTGCTCATCGTCTCTAACGCCGGCCACGATAACTTGGAAGAGCAGACCCTGAGCTACACGGTGAAACTGGCGAGATACGAGAGACAGAATCAACAGGACTTTGAGAGGATCGCGATTGAGCCTGTCCCGAAGCAGAATCCATTGTACGTTGGGTATGTCGCATAGGTACCGAGAGAAGATGGAATGCCAGATCTCGTCCGGGAGGCGAATCATGGTAGGCAGCTTGTTGAAAGAGGCCGGGATCACTGGAGGTAGGTAGGTTGGCTACCGTTGGTAGAAGAAGGCAAGGCAAGGCAAGGCAATAAGAGCCAAGCAGAGACAGAAGATGAAGATGTAGAAGAAGTAGAAGAGACAAAAGCGAGAGGACTCGAGTCTGGTGTACGAGACGAGAAGAGATGAGATGGAGTCAATTGTCTATCATAGACATATTCACCCCACGGTCTCGAGAGTCTGAATGGTGATCTTGTAATGGATGTCGTGATGTTGGAGGAGATGAGAAGGAAAAAAGCCTCGATTTGGCGGCGGGCAACAAGGATTAAAATATTATGAGCTTACCTCGAGCTGAGCTGTCAGTCACGTGGTGTGATTCTGCGAGAGATAGAAAGGGGATGGAAAGATGGATGGAGGGAAGGAAGGAAGGAAGGAGAGGTCGGCTCATGGTCTGGTTCGCTCGTTGGTCCGCCTCAACTGGCAAACACGTAGGTCAGGCAGAGCAAGGTGCAGTGCAGTGCAGGTCAGGTCGCGGGGGCGGCTCCCGCGGGCGTCGGGACTGAGACTGAGATGGATGGATGGGTGTTTGATTGGGACAATTCTGTCATAATATGCGTGTCTTATAACGGGTTACGTCCCAGTATTGGTCTGTACAGTATCCGTCTGTATGTAGGTTACATGCCAGCCAGCCTACATGCGTGAGTGCGAGAAGAGAGATTGTGAATTCAAGTGAGGAGAAGTGCAGAAACAACAGCTGCATCTGCATGAAGAGCCAGAACCTTCTGATATCCCACGGATGGAGGGGGCCTGGGTACATCTGCCGATGGTACGGTATCAAGTACCCCGGACTGGCTGTCAGACGGGACGGGCGGGATGGGAACGGATGCAGAACTAAAACCGGCTGAATGGTTCAAGCATCCAATTATTGTTGTTGGGGCTTGAGTACGCCTGAGCTGCGAGACCAAAAGCTGGCGTTATACCCTTGCAAGAGGGGAACCGGAGGAACAATGCCGGTGGATGGAGGGTGGCAGTGGCAATAGCAGTGACAGAGACAGAGCCTGAAGATACCCTCCATGTTTAATGCGGTGGAAACAAAAGAAAAGAATCACAACAATCTGATTTATCGTTTATCGGGTGCAGCTGGGCTGGTGTCAGGCTGACTGAGAGGAGGAGGAGCTGCTGCTGCTGTTTCACCCTGCAACCATCCTTTCAATGAATGGCATGACTCCTCCCTCACACTGCCATTCATTCCCCCTTGCTCCCCGCTCCAGCATCACACCCAATATGTATCCCGCCTATATGGATGGATGGATGGATGGCATCGCATCGCATCGCATCCCATGGCTGAAATCACCTCCTCTTCTTCCTGCGAGACTGCGCCCTTCCAACAGAAAAAAAGAAAGGAATGGCGACCGGGTCCCCGGACGCCGGCCATGATCCAGATTCCACCCCGACAATGCTTCCCGCCTCCGCCGAGTCCAACAAACGCCCGCCTCCGACGACGTGTACGTGCGTGTGCGTTATGTGTGTGTGTGTGTGCACACCGAATCAGCCGCTTGGATGGCTGATGTACCGTAGCATTTGGCCACTTGGAAAGGCGTCGAGATGGTCAGCCGCATGCCTGGGCAGGTTGATCGGTTGGGGATGCGGCTTGACATCCTTGGAAGCCCGTCGGGCAGTGCGTGAGACGAGGGATACATGTTGGAATTACCGCTCGCAGCCTTAAACAATGACTCTCATGTGTGAGGAAAGTACACAATGAGGAAACAACAAGAGACATCAATCTCTGTTTGTATCTTTGAGCCATTCACCCGAGTACCCTGTCCCGTGGCGTCTGTTTGATGGCTGGCTGTGACTGTGAGGTACTGTGGCTCAACGTACAAACGAGGCTCTCACCAACCATGCCCAAATTTCTCCCTAACATCTTGATAAATTCAAAATTCAATTACAAAGGGTTGAAGTAAACGGGCCGCGTGTTTGATTGGCTTCCAAATGACACCGGATACTTGCAGGTCGAGGCCTCGAGTGGCATGTGGTTCTACGGCTGACTACATATCCGCGGCTCTTTGGGCCCTTGTGCTACACCGGGTGGTTGCACGATTCCGAGAATAGACTTTGAATGCCTAGACGGGAAGTCAATGCAAAACCTTGTGCCTCGTCAAGGTTTAGGCACAATGGTGTTGTTGTTGGATGTGGTCAATTCACCGATGCTAGGGAGCCCCGTGAAGAGAAGAAAGGCAACACACAAGCCTATTCTTGGTTCACCGAAAGTATAACTGTAGGGTCAACATGCAATGACAAAGTTTCAAATGAAAATAGGATAAACTTTGAGGTCTCGCCAACAAAGGCTTCCTCTGACGCTCTTGCCCTCATCAGGTACTTAAAGACGAGGGCGACCATCTCAACTAGTTGATCTCAACCATCCATCCCAGACTTTGAACCAACTCAATCGGGGATTTCTTGAGCGAGAATATGACCTTCTGCTTGAAGACAGGCCGCTGAGCCCCGTTCTTCGAGTCATAAAGGGAACCGACCCTCGTTTCGGCGACACTTCTCCACGCAGGCCGCACTTGACACGGTTGATTGGCATCATGCTTTGGCCACCTTGAGGAAGAACAAGATTGGGATGGGCCTGGGCCTGACTCTAGCTCATGGTAAAATGACGTCCCAGCCCGGAAACCCTCTGCTTGCCAGTGAATTCTGGCCCCAATCCTTTGACGACGTCAACTTCGACCTCATACTTTTGTACTCCCATGGCAACCAAGAATGGGGAACGAATCAACATTGCACATAAAATGAGAAAAGGCTTTGAGGGCCTAGTCTTCGATTGACGTGAGTGAGCCTGGGAACCCAAGATCTTCCAGCCCTTATGAGCTCGGAGAATTGTGCTAGGGGGGGGAAGCTTTCTTGAGCGCGTTTACAAGACAAGCCTGGACGCATGTACCAACACCTCCGACTTACATGGACAAACTTCGACTACTGCTGGAGCTCGAGGATCGCTGTCCTCGCTGCCCCCGTCAGTCATGGCATCAGTAGCTCCCCGGATCTCTCCTCTAGCCACCTTTCTTCTCCTCCTGGAGACACCCGCTACGGCATACCTGCGATGTATAACCGCAACCAAAGCCAGCACCAAAACCCTCAAGACATCCCCATCTTTGTGGATAATACAGCAACGCCAGCAGGGCCAGGAGCCCATTGCTTCCCAGGCTACGATGCCATCGACGCAGCTTCAGACCTGACTATCTGCCAGGTTTGGTGAGCTTGCTGCATGCGAAGAAGGGCCGTGACGATATTCATCAGGAACCCCACCTCCGAAAGAAAGTATCTGAGATGGCTGCATCTTGGCCGGCATCCATTGACACGAATCGTGAGGCAGGTTGAGTGCCTGGATGTCACATTTCGATCTGAGGCTGTTCGATGGATCCATTTCCCGGATAGAATGGCATTGAAGGGAGCGGAACTGACAATTCGTACGGTCGATCTTCTGATAGACCCAAGAAGGGGTGTGCTCGTACATGTAGACTGTAACAAACAGACACTCAAATTCTTGGAAGCTCTGGATCAACTCTAGTCCATCCCAGACTTGATTACATCAAGTTTGGGTTAAGCCCACAAGACCTTGGCAGCCTTCAAATGTTCATACTTCAAATCTAATCTACAACACCCAATGCTAGGAAACATTTTGTACCGCGACTATTGGGACGACATGCACTTGGCAGACTGGATGAGTCGACAACCAAAGGAGCCCGAATGTAATCTTCTGACTCAGTTAACCCATCAAGGGCCAGGCTTCAACTATAAAAAAAGAATACAGTAGAGCCCGAATATGCATATTGTGATCGAGTACAGGTTTGTCTACTCTATCCACCACTGAGCCCCAGGAGGAAACCAGCCTGACTGTTCGCCAAAGAGTCGCTGTCGAGACCACGGGAAAATATGTTGTAGCATTCAAGAATGCCATTACCACTAAGCGAAAGGAGCGAACCCAACTTGAATTGTAGATGGCAGACTTTGCTGAGATCTTTGACCTTTCAAGAAAGAGCGCTGGAGGGAAATTTGACCATCTGGAGAGGTAATGCGGATTCTCAAGCCGGCATGGTCGCGTTCAGTTTGAATCAGGCGGCCAATGGATCCGGCTTCTCAACTCGGGCTGCGCCGACTATATCGACCGGACTCTTGATGATGGCGATGACCAGATCATCAGTCCCAGCGTAATAAATATAGATCTTGTCCGTCTAGGAAATAATCGCAAAAAAAACCCTTCAGTGTCTTCCAATGGCACTTCCAGTAAGTGTTGTCGTCAATCACCTATCGATGAGCTCCCGCCACGTCCGCCCACCTACCCTGAATCCTTTGGTAGGCACTTGGGTATAACTTGCAACCATACCTGTACTTCTTATATCTAATGTGGTGAATCGACCATTAGTTATTCTTATTATTAGTGTGTAAGTATATTACGATAGACCCAATTTAAGAAGCTTCCATCCTCATACTGGATGATATGGACATAGATGCTCACGACCAACGGGTTGTTGTTTTGTAGCCACTGAGTAGGACGTCTAATGACTGTGAGCCCTGATGGACGTGAAACTGTTCGAAATGTATAACTATATTACAATCTGATGTCCCCGCGAACGCATTCAAAAAGCATACGCTAGCACGTTATATGAATTAGGGCGATCTGGAATATGATGAAGCTCTCGCCTTCATAAACCCCTTCCAGATCCTGGAACAAAACTTCCCGTGAAAGATGCCTGTAGAGCTCATAGCCTCAAGTCTTACCCGTGGATGACAGTGACCATCATGATCGGCCTGGATAAGCTACAGGATTTCTTTAAAGTTGCAGATGTTGATGGCCCCTGTTGTGACAACTGAGAAAATTTCACCGGTTAGCCTTGGTAACAGGCCGTGTCTCGTCGTGTGCCCCGATCAGTGTTGATCTTCTTAGACCTCGAAGCTCTTTGTCTGCGCATGGCTCCAACCCAGGGAAGCATCATGTTATTAAGTCTCGCCGTAGCATTTATTCTCTTGTCACTACCGCTCAAAGTTGTTCATCAACCCTTGAACTACCGAGAACCACCAGAATTTTACGCAGAAGGAGTATATCCTCCCTCAAAGATCCAGGTCATCATCGTCGTCGTCCCAAGCCTTGCGCCTGCTCACGACAATCTTTTCCTCCTCCTTCTTGTCGGCCATGGCATTCAGCAACTCCTTGAGCTGCGCCTCTGTGACCTTTTGCCGCAGCTGGCCCGTCTGCGCGAGCATGATGAGTCTGTTCTCGACGTCGGTGGCTCGTTCCTCTTTGACGAGGCGGATACGGCCCAGTCGGTCGGCCGCTTCGGGGTGGAGGATCTGGTTGAGGATGCTCTGGCGCGCGTCTTCGTTTTGTCTGTTTCAGAGAGGTTTGTTAGCATGGGTCGTTGGTGTAGAGAGGATATTACTGACTGTCGCTGCTGCTCTTGCTGCCCAGAGGAACCGCCGCCGCCGCCGCCGCCGCCGCCGCCGCCTTGGGCCTTGAGCTGCTCAAGACGAGCCTTTCTGATCTGGAACCGATGTGAGTTGTGCGCTTGAGCTTGTAGGAAGAGAATCGAATACCTGCTCTAGCTCTGCGTCATCCATGATTTCTGAGGTATCGCGACGTCAACAGTGTGTAAGTCGATGTTAATCAGCCCAGCCAAACGCCGACCGCGGGGTTGCTTCGGTTGTCTCGCCTGTTCTGTGGAGGGGCATTTAAAAACGTCACATGACCCCGCAGAGCATCAAGGTTGATGCTGGACATCAGGTAGCAAGACAAGGTCAAGTGCCTTACTCACAAGGTTACTTTGAGTTACGAGAGAAATTCGTTTTTGCAACGTTAAATAAAATTTAGTGGACGCTCTAGAGATGCTGCGCCTTCAATGCTTGTGTACATGAACTCCCCAGACGCCGAATGACCCAGTTCATGATGCTTACTCCAAAAGACTCCCACCCCCTGAAAGAGATCGCGTCCTCTGCCTGATGCTCTCTATCGATGCTTCCTGCATAGGAATATATGCATTCCTCTTCTCCATCGCCTCTGCCCGCCTGGCCTTGACCATCTGCACCATCAGCTTATTGGTCGGCATCTCAAGGCCCAATGTCTTTGCCCGCTTCAAAAAGTAGCCGTTCTGGTAGTTCATGTCCGTCTGCAAGCCCTTCTCGATCCGTTTTACAAGCTCGCTGGGGGCCATGGCCTTTCCTGTGATTCTGCGATAGCAAAACCTCTTGAGACCTTCTCCTTGGAGAAAGTTAATTAGCTCAGTAGAGCCTTGGACCTCAGGAAGGTTTTCCACGACCCTAGCCATCTCATCCAAAAGCTTGTTCATCATGCTCTGTGCTGACCGGTTGTGCAAAAGGCCATTATACGGTAAATCCAGGAGCACGCATACCGGCTCAACGGCAGCTGTAAACATCATCGACGGGAGCTTGAACTTCAGCCATTGGTCGTACAGACTTGTGGATGCCTTAAGTGAAGGGGCTAGCTGTAATTTTCGCACGAGGGTTCGATCGGGTGACGCGCGCAGGCCCTTGAGAGACCGCAAAGCTGTGTCGGCCATTGTGAGAACTGTTCGTCCACCCTTGAGCTCCTTGACAGAGCCACGGTTCCGGTTGAAGACCAAGGCATGGCTCATGTGGCCCAGCATGAAGGTGGGCCCGGAGTATGTTCCGTTAAATATCGTTTCACGGACCTCCTCGAGCACTCCCATGCCGTCGTTCATAAGACAGATGGTTGTGTTTTCGTCCACTCGGTCTTTGACGGAGGCAATGGCTTTGACAGCCTCAAATCCTCGACCCGTTACTAGTAACTGATTAATGCGCGAGGTGCTGGGTGTGTCTGGCTCCTCAACCAAAGCCGTATTCTTTTCGGCGTATGCGCTGCTTCTTGTCCTGTCAGGTTGGACCTTTTCGACATTTTGGTATCGTGATTTGGGCATGTCTCGGAAGGACAGCATTTCGACGGAATCGTAGACACTGCAGAGAGCATGGGCGATGAATCTTGATCGCTCATCATCGCCTAAAATATGGATCTTATGGACCGGCCCAGCTCTGGCTTTTCCGGCCGGCAGGACAACCGAAGGGACGTAGAATCGTGACGAAGGAGATGTTGATGTCGGTGTGACTGATCTGGCCTTGACCTCTGAGCCCTGCCATGGTCGTAATGAAGGCGAGCTTGCTAGCTCTGGGGGAATAGCCTCGGGCTTTTTGTGATGTGTGGTCGGAGTCGTGGCGGAAGCAAAGTGTCGCGTGAGAGCCCCGCGGCTCACGCCGACACTATGATGAAGCCATCGGTTCGATCTATGGGCTATTCGTGCGGTGGCCCGCGCCTGCGGTAGGCTCGCCACTTTGACGGCTGTAATCGGGGTCGTGAAGGAGGAGGAATTGGGTGGCCACGAGGTAGCCGGAAGCCCTGGAGACTAGAGGGCGGATGCGCGCATGGAGGCGCGTACGGTTGAAGAACGATGCGACGTTATTCGAGTCGCTTTCAAGGATGGCAAAGTAGTCGGTATATATCCAATATCGTCGAGTTCGTCTTGAGTGGCGGATTAAGAAAAGTGGTGATGTCGATAAGTAAAGTGAATGCGTGGGAGAGATTATCGTTCAGCCGGAAGGCGAGTCCGTTTTTTCCCTCCAAGTTGAAAATGGAGCGTGGCCAATCAGAGGCTGCGGCCCAAGGGGACTTTTTGGGGTTTCTGAGCTGGTTTTTGGAGGAGGCGCTATTGGTCAATTCGAGCTCCGATATCGTTCAAGAATTGATAGACAGTCAAACCGTGTTAGAGAGCAGTTGTCAACGGCTTGATTCAATGCTTCATGTGATATTTGAAAACTAGTTTTTCTATTTCGTACGATCAAGAGCTCTGTTATTTCCTGCCTCAGAAGCCCACAGCAGCAGCTGGTGACGTCCAAGGATCCAGCGTTTTACAGAGACGGGAACTACGGGAAGCCTAGAAAATTTTCGATTTACTCAATAACACACGCCTTACTTGCCAGTTCAATATCTACCTATCAAGTCAAATTTTAGTTAAACTTGCTGCAAGTAGACGAGTCAAGCCGTTGAGCTTCAAAAGACAGCATCACACCGCCAAGAACAAGAGCCCCGATAAGTAAATATCCAAACGCTAGTCCAAATTAGGTTCCAGGTCCATCAAGTTTCTGCACTGGCCCTTGAAGTCTTTGAGACGACGTGAACATTTCATCTTTGCGCTTTTCATCTGCATTGTTTGCCCAGAACCGATACAGAGATGGCAGACGTCAAGGATATCACGCCGGATCTCGACCGGCTGGATGGTCAGCTGGATGACCTCGAAGAGAAGCTGCAGCCCTTGATCGGCAACTTGGAGGGTATGGCGTCTGAGCTGCCCCTGCTGGACAAGGCCAAGCTGTTTTCACTGACCGCCTACGCGATTGAGTCTCTTCTTTTCTGTGAGTATATGCGACCAGAAATCTCCAAGTTGTTCCGATATTTGTGTGAGCAATAGCTGATCATCTTCATAGCATCACTCAAGCTCGAGGGCACTGACGCGCAGAACCATGCCGTCTTCACTGAGCTCAAGCGAGTGCAGCAGTACTTTGGAAAGATCAAGGCCATCGAGGAGCCTGCGGTGGAGGAGACGCGAAACTTGACAGTCAACCAAGAAGCTGCGGCGCGTATCCTGAAGGCTGATTTGGTATGCCATACCCTCATGATGTTTACAGACAAAAATGCTGACCATATAAACAGGCTGATAACAAGACCATCAGCAACAAGCTTGCTGAAAAGATTGCTGAGGAGCGTGCTAAGGCCTTGCTCAAGTCTGTCGAGAACAGAAAGCGACCAGCGGAGGATACGGCAGGTTCTTCGGGTTCTGCGGCTGAGACGCCTGATACCAAGGGCAAGAAGAAGCAGAAGAAGAGCAAGAAGAGCAAGCCAAAGAAGTGAGGGGCCGAGAATGGAGCACCTCGACGGTTGACGGGGTGGATATCGAAGATGGACAGAGACTTGTCAAGATACCCCAGGAGGTGCAAGTCTGCGAGGGATCAGGCAGCATGTTTTGGCTTTTAGAAAAGGAATGGTGTTTGGGAGTCTAACATTTTCATTTCAGGGATAGAACTCTTCGGCCTCAAAAAACAAGATCGTCTTGCCGATATATCCGTACAGCCTGATTAGCTGGTCTCGCTTCCATCCATCTCTGGATGATCACGGCAAGGCTGTTACCTCGGGGTGAATCTTTGCAGACCCGCACTGCATACATGATTCTCATGGCGCGCATGAGTCCTCAATCACGGGCTGTCAGGCGGAGTGGCATATTTGCAGCATGTGCATGTGTCCTCGCGTACAACCGTCCAACCTGTCGCGTCCAGGTCCTTGCAGGACTTTCCGCAGTTTTTCTCAATGTACCTGCTGAACTCGGTCTGGCATGTTCCTCCTTTTCCTTCGCACAGAGTCTTCTTCCAGGTGCACATCTGCAGAGCCTGAATCAGCATTGCCGAGGAGACCGGGTGGACGGCGACGCAGTTGACAGTCCATTGTCTGACAGTACGTCTGGGGCATCTGGGGCTGCGTACCTATCTGGCATCAAACCAGGCCTCCTGTAGAGAGAAGCAGGAAACCAGATTCGTGTTGGCTTTGAGGTAGAACATGTGGCAGCCTCGCTGCCCGAATCGGAAATAGAAGTCTCACGGCAGACAGCCCCGCCATGCTCGACCAACTGATTGCATTTCACACAGTGAAAGATTCAGTTTGGTATCGCCTCGTCATTGAATGAAAGGGATAACCCGTCAAGACTAGGAATATCTTGAGTTTAGAAGACTATGCGTTTAGCTCTTTTATATACTCGCCTAGTTAACAAGGTTAGTCCAAGTCAACGACCAAGCGTCTGATCTCCAGGATCCATTGGAACCTTTGAAGCTCCCATACCCCGGCAACTTCTTATCGGGGCAGATTAGGAATGACTAATATTTCCTCCCCCACTATCGGCTCATGAATTGGCTGTGAGTCAAGGCCCAAGGCGATCGCGGGGCACTAAACCCCTCCATCCCGTATCTATCTCGTGGCGCCCAAATTCTTTTTCCTCGTCTTCGCAGAGATAGAACGAATAGACGACGAAAAATCATGGCGGTCATCTACATTGACGAAGAGGCCGGCAGCGACCTTCCCGAGGTCCAGGGAACCGAATCAGCCCCCTACAAGACCATCTTTGAGGCCTTCTTCCGCCACGGCGCCGAGTCAGAGTACCAGGTCAAGAAGAAGGACGATGAGGAGTACAAGCCTGCTGCAAAGTCGGCTTTGAAGAAGGCTACCAACTACGCTGCGCAGCAAAAGAAGAAGCTCGAAGCTGCTGCTAAGCGAGCTGAGAAGGAGGCACAAGAGGAAGCCGCTCGTGAGGCTGTCCTTGAGGAGGCCAAGAAGATCCAGATTGTCAACGACCCTTCCCTTCCTGAACCCGTCCGGATCAACCTTGGCGAGACCGATGCCGCTGTCATTGGAGTGCTCCGAAAGAGCAAGGATGAGCCCGCCGAGGGAGTGAAGCGTGTTTCGGTCCAGGGCCGCGTCCAGCGCGTTGCCAAGCAGGGTGGTCTTATCTTTGTGACACTCCGCCGAGGACTCAACCAGATGCAGTGTCTTTTCTCTGGCGACCTCTCCAAGACATACGATGCCCTGACCCTCATGCGAGAGACGTCGATGGAGATCATCGGTGAGCTCTGGGAGGTCCCCGCCGGTGCCCACGCCCCCCTCGACCGCGAGCTGCGCGCCGACTTCTTCAAGATCATTGCCCGAGCCCCTGGAGGCGACGATGCCTTTACCAACCAGGTGCCCCTAGACGGCGACACCCAGACCCTCCTCAACATGCGACACCTTACCCTCCGTCACGAGAAGCCCGCCGCCATCATGTTCGTTCGCGACGTCATTGAGTCGGCTTTCCACACTGCGTACAAGGAGTTGGATGTCAAGAAGGTCAGCCCTCCTGCTCTTGTGCAGACCCAGGTTGAGGGTGGTGCCACTCTTTTCAAGTTTGACTACTACGGTGAGACTTCGTACTTGACTCAGTCGAGTCAGCTCTATCTTGAGACTGTCCTGCCCGTCCTGGGTGATGTGTACTGTATCGAGAAGTCTTTCCGAGCTGAGAAGTCTCTTACACGCCGTCATGTAAGTGCCTTACTTTTATACCAATTAGCTCGATCCATTGGATACTAATCATCGACAGCTTTCCGAGTACACTCACGTCGAGGCTGAGCTGGACTTTATCACATTCGACGACCTCCTGGCCCACCTCGAGCATGTCATCTGCCGGGTTATTGACCTGGCTCTGGAGAACCCCATCGCTGCTGAGGCCATCAAGAAGTACAACCCCGAGTTCAAGAAGCCTGAGCGGCCATTCATGCGAATGCGCTACTCGGATGCCATCGACTGGCTCCGGGAACGGGGTATCAAGAACGAAGAGGGCAACGACCACACCTTTGGTGATGATATGTATGTGCATGTTTGGAGTTTAACGTATCGCATTTGCTAATTCGTATCTAGTGCCGAGGCTGCTGAGCGCAAGATGACTGACGAGATCAACCGTCCCATCTTCCTCACTCACTTCCCTGTCGAGATCAAGTCCTTCTACATGCAAAAAGCCGAGGACGACCCTCGCGTGACCGAGTCAGTCGACTGCCTGATGCCCGGCGTTGGAGAGATCGTCGGAGGCAGCATGAGAATCTGGGACTGGGAGGAGCTCATGGCTGGATACAAGCGTGAAGGAATTGACCCCTCGGGCTACTTCTGGTACACGGACCAGCGCAAGTACGGCTCTACGCCCCACGGAGGATACGGTCTCGGAGCAGAACGGTGCGTATTTTGCTTGCATGATGAATGAATGTGTTGCTGACTGTTGTTTGCAGATTTTTGGCGTGGCTTCTCAAGCTCTGGACAGTACGAGAGGCATGCCTGTATCCCCGTTTCATGGGCAGATGCACGCCCTAGATGGCTATTGTAGAAAGTAAGGAGGAGAAAAAGAAGCAAAAATTCATGATAGAGTATACAGAAGAAGAGCCCGTCTAGAATTTCCTTCTAGAAATAAACAAGCACAACTGTTTTACTCGTTAATTATCCCGTTCCTTAACTCCGTGATGCATCCAGCGGCTGTCAACGGAAGAAGGCCCTGGATCCCTCTGGACCCCTGCTTTTGCCCGCCGCAGCTCATGCCTATACCGAGGGGCAAATCCCTCCACCCTCCATGGAAACCCGTGATCTCCCATTGGTCGCGGTCCTTGCAGGCTTGGAACCACCGAAATCCGAGTCCCCGGCATTCTTTCTTTCCCCATCTTCCACGCCGCCGGGAAACTTGATCACATTCTTTTTCCTCAGCATTCAATTCAACCCTCACCAACTACACCCGTACCCTCTCTCTAACAACCACATCGACAATGCCTCGTCAACGATCCGTCGGCCGCGCTCCTTCGCGCCCTACCGCTTCGGCGCCCGCTCCTAAGCCTCAGCAGGCTCGTCCTGCCGCCACCATGGCTGCTCCTCCCGCAGCTGCTCACCCTCCTCCCCAGGCCATGCCTCCTCAGGCTGCCGCTCCCGTCTCCCAGGGCCCAGGTCTCTTTGGCCAGATGGCCAGCACTGCTGCGTGAGTCATTCTCGCCCTCAATTCGTGGTCCGGGATCGAGTCCCGAACTGCGCTCTTCTTCATGTGGAGCATGATATACACATCATGGCCCTGTCACAGCCTCTCCTCCAGACACGTGTAGCTAACCTCGATCCTTACAGCGGTGTCGCTATCGGCTCCTCGGTCGGCCACGCCATCGGCGGCCTCTTCTCCGGCGGCTCCTCCGAGCCCGCTCCCGCCGCCGTCCAGGCCCAAGCCGCTCCCCAGGAGCAGTCGTACAACAACTGCGCCGGCGCTGCCCAGAACTTTACAAAGTGCATGGACGACAACAACGGCAACATGCAGATCTGCAACTGGTACCTTGAGCAGCTCAAGGCCTGCCAGGCTGCCGGCACCAACTAAGTGTTGACTCGCCATATGTCCGTTACGATTTAGACACGAGGGAACAAAAAAAAAAAAAGACTTTGATATCAAACCTGGGGATTAAGAGCATAGGGAATTGGTTTTCCCCTTGACTAGCGTGCGTTATTACGGGATCTGTTGGGAAAATACTACTGTTACAACTCTCGGCATAACCATCCATTGTATAATACCAAAAGAACAAAAAAAGATCTCCATCCCACTCCACTGGGAAACACTACGCATCCTTCTCTTCCTCATCTGGCCGTGGCTCGAAATTCAACTGCCAATGTTAGTAAACATGTGATGATGTGTTAGGACGCAACTCACAGAATTCCCATTGTACAGTTGTTGGTCCCTCTGCTGGTTCTGGAAGGCCCGGATTCGGGACTCATCCCGAGGGCTGGTTGGTGCATCGTCGTCATGCGCTGGTGCCTGCGGTGCTCCACGGTCTTCCCTCGACCCAAAGAGCCCAAAGAACCAGGTAAAAAGGCCCAGGATAAAGTAGATGAACCTCGTAAAGATGTTCCCTGAGTCATTGTACGCAGATACGTACTTCTTGACGGGAATCAACACCAGCGTTGACGACGGGGAGAGGCCGAGATCTCCGATGGCCTTGTCCTCCTCCGTCTCGTCAATGTTCTTGTTAGGTAGCGGTGTAAGCACTTGCTTGAACGTGTACGGCTGCTTTCCATCCGTCCTGCTCTCGTCTACCCAGTCGCGCACCTCCTTGAGAGTCGTCTCCGACTTGAACCGCGACCGGAGCGTCGACCCATCAAAGAGCCGCACCTGGAGCGCTGTCATGCTGCCGACCTTGGTCATGGAAGGCAGCTTGGTCACTGCCTCGAGGGGGGTTTCAGTCGTCTCAGTACGCTGTTTCTGGCGCTCTTCGGCACGCATCCGCCGCTCTGCCTTATCATCGGCAATGCGCTTGAGGATCCTCGCACGCTCCTCCTGGTCCTGCTGCTTGCGCTTCCTCACTGCATCAGCGGCTTTGTGCGCAGCCGCATTGTCCTTATCCATGGCGGCCGCCTTTGCCTTTTCCCTTTCGGCCTTTGCGCGCTCTTCCTTGGCCTTTTTGTCGGCCTCCCTCTGCTCCTGCAACCTAGCCGCCCGGTCAGCTAATATCCGACGAACATTCTCAGACGTTGAAGTCTGAGGAGCTGCGGCTGGTGGTGCAGCCGCCGGGGGCTCTGGCTGCGCTGGGGCACTGGGTGGTGCCGGGGCCGGTTGGGTGGCAGCTGACGATGACGACGTTGTGGAGTTGAAGACACTCTGGACCCTCCGGATGAAATCCTCTTTGCTGGTGCCAGGCGTAATGTACTCCTTCAGGTCACCATTCTTAATGATAACCACAGTGGGAGTCCGAGGTAGAGGGAAAATCTGCGCCAGGTAGCCAGCCTCCTCAGAGCCTGCTGTTAGGCGGAGTGCGATGGCATGGTCCTTGATGAGGTCGCTCAGCTGCACACTGCGGTTAGCGACAAGAGAACCAGCCCCAGACCATTGATCTGCAGATCCAGAAATCCTACCGTGTCATCGGTCAGAAACTCCGTCTCCCACTGCACGCCCTCTTCGCTCTCATCTGTGGCGCACGTGAGCACATCGTCTTTGTCGATGCTGCAGGGGATGAAAGACATACCTGTCACGAAGCAGAGGACGAGCTTCTGTTGACCGACTGCGGTCGAGATTCCGTCCTGGAGGGATCCTTGGTAGAACATTGTAAAAGAGAAGAAATGGAGTAATCGATATGATCAAATGAAGCGCTTAGAGGACGAAACAAGACCGAGAGATGCTGAGGAGTTGAGAAACTCTCTTCTTGCTGGTAGATGTGAAAAGGTGTCTTCGAGCTGGTCTCTGCGTCTCACGAGGCTGAGAGCTTCCGGCGATGGTCTGGAATGCGCAAAAGAGTATGATTCATCGACAAGCGCATATCAGATGAACAACAGACTCAAGGAGAAGAAACAATTCAAATAGAATCAACAAGCATTGGTACGATGAGCGTTCCCAACAGTTTGATCTCATCCAAAGGTCGGTCCAAGTGACCAGGTACAGTAGCTGCTTGGAGCTATGACGCTGGAGGCATCACGTGGCTAACATGCCGAAGCTCGGCTTTGCGCTTACTAACCCAAATTGGAAAGCTCGCCATCCAGTAGAAACTTTGCGATGTGCTTGCATGAAAGGATCCCATGGATGAATGAGTCAACAGCAACTCTTTGTTTGTAGTGATTTTTTACTCTTTTCGGATACTTAAATTCTCACAAGTTTGGAAAGTAGAAGTTGAAGGAATCTACAGGTAGATGTACTGAAAAAATGTCCATCGATGAAGCTTTCCTGCCTTGGGCTGAGGGCAAAGGCGTCAAGTTGAAAGGCATTGAACCTCGAATTCTCCCTGGTAGGGGTATTGGTGTTGTCGCAACTCGCGACATTAGAGTAAGAAACTCCAATCTTCTTAAAACATTTCTAATTAATTTTCTAGGAAAATGAGGCCATCTTGACTGTCCCAATGAAAGCCCTTCGCACCATAGACACCGTGCCAAAGCAGATATCCAAGGCTTTGCACGGCGTCTCAGTTCACGGAATCTTGGCTGCCGAGATTGCTCTTGACAAGAGCGATGACTTTGCCGTCTGGAAGACGGTTCTCCCAACCAAGGAGGACCTAGAATCTGGCATGCCCATGATGTGGCCGAGTGAGCTACAGCTACTACTCCCAAGGCGAGCAAAGAATCTCCTGGACAAACAGACTACTACTTTTCGACGCGAGTGTGAAATTGTCCTAAACGCTTTTCCGAATTTAACTCGAGATGACTATCTATACGCTTGGGTGCTCATCAACACCAGAACCTTCTACAACAGCATGCCCAAGATGAAAGCATACGCCCAGGCTGATCGGCTGGTCTGTATGCCAGCCGCTGACCTTTTCAACCACGCAGATCAGGGTTGTCAACTTTCTTTTTCGCCTTTGGGGTACACCATCAAAGCAGACCGTGTTTATCGTCAAGGTGAGGAAGTGTATGTGTCCTATGGGCCCCATTCGAACGACTTCCTCCTTACCGAGTACGGCTTCATTCTCGGTCCAAATCGCTGGGACGAGGTCTATCTCGATGATGTGATACTCCCGCTACTAAACAAGACTCAACGCGCAGAGCTTGCGAGTGTGGACTTCCTGGGTAGATTCACCCTTGACGACCAGACACTTGGCTGCCACCGCACTCAGGTGGCTCTGCGAATGCTCTGCTGCACCCCTGGGCAATGGCAAAGGTTCTTTGATGCCGTGGATGATGGGCATGCGTCACAAGACGAGGTGAATGAGCTATTACTGATGGCTCTAAAGGATTTTCTGGGAATGATTGCCAAGACCATGGACGAGATAGACGAAACAGAGGGAGGCTTGGGAAACCAGCGAGAACTGCTACGCCAAAGATGGCAACAGATTCAAGCCATGGTGACAAAGACAATAGAGACGCTTGAATGACTTGTTCCGCCGCTAATTTCGCTTTCCCATGTTTGCGATGTTTCTGGGGAGCGGTCGGTCAATCGGGAGGCCAAGGACACGACTCAACTCTTCCAGCACGGCTGAAGGCGCCCTGAGGTTGATGCGATTGTGGTTCACAATCATCCTGCCAGAGTGATTATACCGGCCTGGGTCATCCAATCTGTCGAGGAGCTGTATTGGAACATTTGCCTTGTACACGTGAAAGCCGGGTGCTTCTCTGTAGGTGACGAAAACATGAACCTGGCCCACAAGTCAGCATCATGGTCCTTTGCGTCAGGAAATGTTTGACCAACCAAGAAAGATCTGCTTTGGTAAGATTCACATATTCGATTCGCTGGCATGTATGCGGGCATCTTTCCTTTCGGATCTGGCTTTGGCGGTTGACCGTCAATGAACAGCCTTTGCTGCTGGGCCAGAGCGATCATCACAGCAACAATAAAGGGGTCGCTAAACTTGTCTTCAGGACAAATTCGATCGTATTCCGCCTGCGCGCGACGCTTCATCTCTTCGTCACCAGTACCTGTCCCACAGAGAAATCTGCGATTGTCGTCAAGGTTGCCCAAGTCGAAATGGGCCATTTGAGGGTATTCCCCGGTCGACTCCTTCTAGCTGTACGTGTTATGGATTGGGATATTGAGGATGTCAGCTTTACGATATCGATACGGGATCATCGATCTTGGATGCGTCAGTCAAAGGAGTCTATCGAGAGTGAAGAGGAAAGTTACCTCCAAGCTGCAGGCCAAAGGCCAAACCCACGTAGCAAAGCCGGTATAAGGTACCAACAAGCATAAGTTGTTCCTTGATTCAATTGATCGATGACTCTTGTGGCAGAGGTCAATGGCGATGCAGCAACGCCCTTCCACGGGTTGCGGAATACTGTGGAAGACGTGATATTGCGCTCCCAAGCTGCGTTGTTGGGGAGTTGTCTGGACGCCAACTCGCTCAACATGGTGCAGTTTATAGCCTGAAGTTGCTGGTTTGTCCAGAGCAAGGGGTTTTTGAACATCTGAGTGGTAAAGACCTCATGGGATATGGCGTTGAGTGACAAAAAGTTCATTTGGCGAGGTTGCAGCAAACGTTGCGCAGGGTGCGGTTGGGAAGATTGTTCTGCCTCAGTGGAGGATTGTCCGAAGTTGGTCTGTATGCGTTCATCCCATTGAGGGGGAGGCGGTGTATAATCTGGAGGTCTTCGAGATGGCCCTGCTTCAGCTGGAGGATAGCTGAACCTGACTTGTTTGCGAGGCCGTCGAGGTGGAGAGGGGGTGGGCTCTACTCGACCTGGCTCTGCTTCTTTGACAGGGTCCTCGTACACAACTGGCAGGCTTTCACCGAGTCTGAGCGAGGATCGAGAGGTTTTTGGGTCCGAGTACCAGTCTTCAACGCCAACCCGAGAAGAAGAAGAAGAAGGTATTGCTTCCGTGGATGGATGCTTATTCCGCCGGGAGGGTTGTCGCGTTAGGGGAACGAACTCGTCCTCCTCATCTTTAAGAGGCTACCACAGGTCAGTTCCTGACTGGTTATATGGCGAGCCAGTGATGAGCCTATGGGGATCTTGTCAAATCCCAGGGTAATGACCTACAGTGCTGTCGTCAGCAGACGGGCTCTCGTTGGGATAATCGCCGGTAAGCGAGTCGCCATCGTCTTCGTCGGTGTCTTTTTTCCCTTTCTGGGCCACTCTTTTACCCAAAGATGTAACAAGAGAACGGAATTTTCCCATTTTAATGACTGCAAGGAGAGATGTTATAGATGAACCCAAAGAATGTGCTTGATGCCGGGTGGAGTGGTGGATGTTGATGAAAGGTGGAGGATGGCCGAGTCGCCAGAGTTTTCAAGTATGGATGAGGGCGCCCGACGCACTTGCCTCGATAACAATCCAAGATTATGGTCATTGTAAAAGAAAGGACGATTCAATTTGGTGTGATGATAGCCTAGAACCCTGTTCAATCCTACTTCCAACCTTGATCCTCCCAAGCCAATGCTCTTTCAGCTTAAACTGTTGACAAATCTGTACTTTTCCCAAGGCCAAGCCAATATGCTCGCGTGTCTAAAGGCGCTGCTACATTGTTTCAAGCACGTTGATCTTCCCTGTTCATCCTTGCCATATGGTCTCTTAAAACCTGCTCGGTTCTTTCCAGCTCTTCATGTTCATCCTCCATCTGGACCAACACTAACAACCTCGGGAACAAACTTGTTCCGTCAACTGTATTTCTATAGATTGCCTCGGCAAGGATTCGAAGCTGAGGAGGGAATCGCGAGTCCATATATTGGAGGGTTGTGCTAGGCTCGTCCAGCGCCATGTGCAAGTCCTGGAACTCGGTTCCGGACATGCCAAACTCTTCGCACTCCCTTTGCTTCTCGGGCGTCCACCACGGCGGAAGCAAGTCCTCTCGGGTTGCCGCTAGTTCGAGGAACTGCCTGAAGGCAGGCAGAGAGTCATCAGCGCCGGCGTAAATGGTGCCCTCTGCGCCCTTTTTGTCGTGTTGGCTCTGTTCCTCCAGGCGGAGGCGGAAGCAGTCGATGAGGATCCGGAAGACATCCCTCTCTGAGCGGTTGTACAGATAGCTGCCGTCCTTCAGACCAGTGAAGGGCGAAGATCTGGCTTCGTCCAGTCCTTGGATTGGTGACGGACCCCTCAGTTCACTGCCACTCGCGGCACTAACTTCTTGGCCCATTGATGCCTGTATTCAAGTCGCCGCAGCGCTCTGTGAAGCTTTCGGAATAGAAGGAATCGGGTTTGTGCTGTGGTAGGGTCCTCGATGAACTGCCCAATCACTCCGCTGGCAGTCTTGGAACAGTACTAAAGCAGGTCAGTAAGTGAACCTCGGGCTCCCTCATGTGGTATTTCTTACAGCCGGGCAGAATTGAAGAGTTGATGTTTATGGAACGGCCTAGATTTGCTCTCGGTGTCGATAAGTCGTAATAGGCATGAGAGGGAGAGGTGAAGAGGTGAAGAAAAGATCAGGCTCCGGGCGACGTTAAGTGTTGGTTGACTCTGGGTTCATCTAGAGCTGAAACGGGGCGGTAACACCCTGCCTACCCGGCAAGCCACCAGCTTACTCGGTCAATTAATGCAGCGGGTATTCAACCGCTTTCACCAATACCGAGTGATATCCCTCGCAGGTGAGACAGTAATGTACTTCTCGTCACCCGAGGCTTGCTTCATCCCACCCTTTGAGAACGGTATCCCGCGCCCAGTCTCTCTCGACCTTCCACTTGCATAGACCCCTGCGGCCTTTCTGTGCCAATCAATCAAGCCATTCGCGGGGTAAACTCACCGCCAATACTTGATTGACATTCTCTTGTTATCTCATGCAAAGAGTTGTTGTTTCAATACCCGGCCTCCATGATACCCGGCAATCTCAGCCTCAATGATACCCGGTCATGCGAACTGCCGAAGATCAGGCTCGGAAATCGAGCGATGTTCTCTTTGATTCTACTCCGTCACCCAGCCCTCGACGAGTTAAGTGAGTCAGAATATCGATTCAACTCAGTCGTAAAGAGCCTTTTAAACAATGTAGTTGAAGAAGATGATGATTGATGACACAGAGAAGCCAATTCTTCAACACACAACACCTTTCACTCCAGTTGAAAATCTCTGGTCACATCTATTCCAAATTGTTTCCGCAAGCGTGGGACAGAACAAACTGCCCGAGTGTAACGATTGCGTGCCTTTCATGGCTTGATCAGGAGGGTCGTGGGTGCATAATGCACTTTCATGTCCTCTTCTCTCCTACTTTGTAGACACATCCCAACTCAACTCAACCCACACCCCTCCTTCACACCAGACAATACTTTGCTGAGCTCCGTCGATGGACGGAGACTGCTTGAGACATATGCATCGGGGATCCGGTGTCAATATCCCTCCTGCACGATAGCGGACTGAAACCTCCAAAGCCACATTCACGATGGTGGTGAGAGCACATCAAATGTGACAAGTGTGTTGTTATTTTGGCGACTCCGAGACAGGCTTCATTCACCGAATGTAAGCCAAGTCTCACATTGTGTAATCAACGAACCAAATTCATTGAGACGCGCGTTCTGAGCGGAGTTCCCAAAGTGCAGTGACGATAGTCTCATTGTTGCTGCGTGGCTGTTCAAAGGGGGCGCTGATGAACCAGGTTGAGGCGGGCTGAACAAGAGTGATCTACATTCTGAACCATGAGAATGCCCTCGGCTAAACAACAGGGCTTGAAAGAAGAAAACACCCTCCATTGCCGGGGGCATGAATATCATCCGCTTCCCCGGTGGTTCAGCCTCATGCAGTGTCTAACTCTGGGATTCGCCCTGCAGAATTTCAACCGCGAAGTACCATCATCTTTGCTCGGATGATGATCTCCCTTGACGAGCCAACTCGGCAATTGGAAACCGTTGAGGTTGCGGGTATCTAGGATGGTCCCTTGTGTTTCGTTTCTCTCTGCCACTTGTCGTTGCAAATGTGAGCTCGAGCCTTTGGTTCTTCTCTCGCACGAAGGCATCAACACCAGCGATTTTGTCTCAAAGGAAGCAATAGCGTAAACTGATCTTCGAAATGAGCTCCTGCGACGTAATTATCTGAATTAAATAGGGAATAGAAAGCCCAAGGTTAAACTGCTGATTGAATGTACTCGCAATGAACGACCACGTGACTTGTGTGTGCTCTGCCCATTCTCAAGTGGATGCCATCACGAATCTCCGGCACTTCTCAACGGCACTCCCAATGGCAATGCTAAAGTCCAAGCTATCCACCAAGCTTCTTGTTCGGCTCCGGCCTTCGGAGAGGCCGCCTGATTCCACTTCTGTCCGCTAGCGCACCGGACGAGTCAGGCTCTCTTCAACCTCTGGATCGCCACAATGCCCCGAGGCTCCAAGATGGAGGCCGCGACAGTTTGAGCCCCATCGAAATGACGACGATCGCTCCTGTAAGCGGCATCCACAGAGCGACCGGGTGTTTTAGACGGTCCACAGAGCTCTTTTTTACAGGCCTTGTAGCGCTTGCGTCGTCACTAGCCAGGGGCTTCCAGGGTTCCTGGATGGGGACTTTGCAGAAATCGAAAGGCTGCCCCGGAAAACGCCTGGTCTTTTGAACCCTTCCCCTGCAATGCGATGGAATGGATTGGATTGCTGGTTCGTGATCTTCCAACGTCCCTTCATTGTCTCTCCTTTCTCTTCATGTCTCGTTGACGGCGGCGGCGATGCCAGCTCCTACCTCTCTTTCTAATTCTCTGACGCAAATGCCCTCCTTCAGGTCATTACTTTTCGCTCTTTTACTTTTCCTCGCGCGTCCTGGTCTGGCTGCGCATGTCCAGGTCCGGGATTGCGTCTCGTCCTCTGGAGAGGCTCTCTCGTCGCATCCCCAGTTCACTCCCCATAGCCTCTCGGCGTCCCTCGACGAACGACACAACGAGACACGACTCCGACTGATCATCTCGGGCGAATATACGGGCCTAAGATCGTGCGAACAATTCCGCCAGCAGAATGTCTCGATAGACCTGAGCTTGGCTGCTCTCGGTGGAACGAGCCGATACCATGGCGAGATTCTAAACTCGACTTGCCAATCAAGACTATTTGGCGCCCAGAAAATTGAAAAGCGAACACAATACTTCGATGTCCTTTTCCGAATCGATCATCCAGCACCTCTGGCGGCTTTCGAGCTGGAGGTGGATATCAGGGGATCCGATGACCTCCCAGTTGGATGCCTGAATGGCTTCCTGACACCAGATATTGGTCCAACTATGCAAGGCATTTCTTTCTGGGGTCCGGTTATTACCTTTGTATTGGTGATTCTTGCTGCTGGCTGGCGAGAGTGGTCAAATCTGGTGCAACCCCTACAAGACGAAGAAGAGTGTTCCGTTCAAAGGGCATCGAACAGGTCGCACCTCACCAGGATCGCCGATTGCCTCTCATATATCCAGTTCATCTTCTTTGCCGGAGCCCTCAGCCTCAATTATCCCGGGTTTCTGCAACCCATTGTCAGCGCTGCCAGTTGGTCAACTCTAATGCTCCAACGAGGCATCGTGATCAGGCATTCCCTCTACTATGGCATCCATGATGGCATCCATGAGATCAATGGCACATTTGGTGGAACTTCGGGCCTCGAGCACATGATACAGGTTATGGGTGCCCCTGTCACCATGGGCACCTGGAGCAACATCGCCACTCTAGCCGTCGTCATTCTCATCTGCCTCTTCATTCTCATCCACATTGGCCAGAGCTTGAGATGGACACGAGATTGGTTTCGACAGGCTGGGCAATGGAGTATGGAGGGCTCTGCTCAAGACAGTCACAAGGCAACCATCTGGGTTGCATTGCGTGTCTTTCTGAGCTACCTCTTGCTTCCTCTTACGGCCTGGGCAACCTACCAGATTGACATGGCTCGCTTCTTGCCATCTTATTACACTGTCTTGACAGTCGTGGCGATCTGCCTATTGATTATAGGATGTTGGTGGGGACTGGCTTCACGGAGCCCCCAGAATATGGGATATCTGCTCATCGACGAACTCCATAGGCAGGAAGCCGATGAAGTGCCATCGCGCACCCAAGACTATTATACGTTGGCTACTTTTGGCTTTCTCGTGCTCCGCGGGTCTATAATTGGAGGGTTGCAACACTTTGGAACGGAGCAGCTGTTTACCCTTATGGCTTGTGAAGTTGGCCAGCTTGGTCTTGCTACCTGGGCTTGGTCGGTGTCTGGCTTGCTCTCCAGAGCTACTGTGGCGACATGCGCTCGGCTGTGCGTCTTGCTTCTTTGCGTGGGCATGGTTCCTGACCTTGCGAGCCACAAGGCCTCCAGTGCTCTCGGATACATCATATTGATGTTCCATGCTCTCTTCATGATTGGCATGTTTCTCGTTCCCTCGGCCTACGACCTCGTCCAATTTGCCATAGCTGCGGCCAACAAAAATGCGAGCCCTGAGCAGCCGGACAGGGACGAGGATCAGGAACGCCCCCAAGTAGGTGAACTTCTGAGTGCAAAGTCACCATCATGCTAATTTAGTACCAGGTGTTTGGCCTTCGACAACTTTCAAGGCGCCCTACGACTATCACCAATCTGTCCGTACGGGGCCTAGTAGTCGATCACGAGAGGAATAGCTCACTAAGCTCGAAAGCGCCGTCAGTCTGCTCGCCTCGCGCTTCGTCCTTCGGCTCAGAGCCAGTATCACCAGAGGTGCTACGTACATACTTCCGATCCCCAAGGCCCGAGAGGTCGTCATCGAGCCTCTACGAGAGGAATCATCAATTCAAGCCTCTAGGAAGATTAACCCCTGAGAGCATCGCCGAGAGCACAAGTGAGAGTTCTAGCTCGGGCAGCTCAGGGGGTGGAGAGAGACTGGAACCTGGAGAGGTGTCACAAGCGTGGCAGATGGCTTCTCCATCAAATCCAAACGTTGACTACTCGTTCAGAGAGGCTGATCTTTACTATGTCAAGCCGCGACGAGTGTCATTCCGCCAAGCAAGTCCTACCAGTTCTGATGACTCTGGTAGGCCGGCGAGTTTCGTGAGCAAGATCAGATTCTGGTCACGGTAAAAGTTTATAGACGGCATTTGCATTTAGATACCATACAAGCGATTTAATTTTGACACCGATACATGAACTTGTCCAGCTATGTAGTCCCGTTCCAAACATCAGCACAGGTCATCCTTCAACAATGCTGTTCCGCCGTCACGCTCGGCACCTCAAGATGCCCTCGAGTGTTGAGCTAGTCAACACGCTCACAGAGGGAAACTCAGCTTTCTCTCGCCCATGTTGTCCCAGTCAAGGTGGAACATGGCCTTCAAGTCAGGATCCTTGAGCAGCTTGCAGTCGTTCTTGTGGCCTTTCTCGCGCCAGCCTTTGACCTGACAATCCTGAACGTCAATCAGCATAACGGCCCCAGGCCGGGGCTAAGCTGGGAATCTCACCTTGTCGCAGTACCAGAACATGTTGCATTTGGCGCACGCCTTGAGCGAGGTTCCTTGACGCTGACAGGCATGGCATGTTCGCAAACCGCCATCGTGCTGGATCGAGAACCGCTGTATGCGCGCACTCAGCTCCATGATGTTGTCCAACCCTGCCGGGAATATCTATGGGCATTGTCAGCATGTCACATCAGGGACAATAACTAGGGAAATACCTTGACAAGGTCCTTCTCCCCTTCTTTAACATAAACCACATGGTAATGAGTCTCCACGATTACATCTCGGAGGGAGAGACACGTCCTCTTGGCATGCAAGATCGCAATAGTCCAACCGACCTGAGGCTTGGGGCTGAGGGCTTTCGAGTTCTGACCTCCCTGCTGGAATACGACTGCGTAGTGTCTGCGATAGCAGTCGTTGACCATGAAATGGACACGCTCGTTCTCGGTCTCGAACCACGTCTCAGTAATCCCCGCGAGAAGACCCCAAGCCTTGCGAGGCTGGTAAGTTTGGCCGTCACCGGAGAGAGCAAAGTAATCTGGACTGCTCTCTGGAAAGATGGGAAGATCTCCGAAGCGAGGAAAGACACGGCAGTTGGCGAGGTCAGTGAAGCCGTTGGAGCAAGCCTTCCAGTCTCTCCAGAGCCAGTCATCCAAGGCTTCAGGAGTGAGTCCCTCAGGAGCAGGGGAGAGATCCATCTTGTACTGCATGACTGGGTTCGTATCCAGGGCTCTGATTATGGCCCGGTCATCTTTGACTACCGGGGAGTCCTCGCCCAGAAACAAGATGCTAAGCTCAATGGCTCGCTCAAGTAGGATCTTTGATCTCGCACGAAAGCGAGTGAACAGCACATGGTGGAAGGCGATGGCGTAGAGCTTGAGGGAGTAGGGGTGAAGCACGCCCTCTTTGGCGAGCAGGTCCATACAAGCCCGAACGGCACGGGGTCTTCGGCACACAGACCCGTTGGAGGCTTCGAGCTCGTCCCCCAGGAGCTCGTAAAGATCAAACGACAACTGTAGTCTCTGGTCACTCTCCTTCAGGCGCTCCCCTTCCAGAGAGCACAGGCTGCAGGTGCAGGTGAAGCCGCAGAGCTTCTTCTGTCGCTCGGCCCTGGTGTTGTAAATGTCGAGGTAGAAGATGGTGATCTCGTCGCCCTCTGCTATGTCCTTGACGGCGTGGAGGGTGAGCTTTCCCAAGGTGGTGTTCCGGGCGTAGTGGGCGTTGGGGACGCAGGAGTGGTTGATACGGGCAGCCGTTGGGTAGAGACCGTACATGCCCTTGACTTCCTTCAAGGCGTTGCTACAAAAGATGCCCCAGGCTGGGTGGTCGGGCTCGTACTTTTGAAGACTGGTCAAGGCAAAAAAAGTGGTCTTGTGAGCTGGGTGAAGGCTGTTGACCTTGTTGAGGAGTTCGGCTTTGACAGCTTGGTCGTCAGTCATGGCGCTTCTGAAGAGGGGAGGTTCGGCCAGGATTCGAGTGCCTCTTGGGATGGCCTTGGTTGCGATGAGGCCCTTTCCCTTGCCGGGAACGTCCCGGATGGCGTACATCGGGGTGTCGACCTTCTGGCCGGTGTCCGAGTTCTTTTTGGTAGCCATCTTCTCGTCGGGAGCCATGATGGAGAGACTTGGCAGGGAAAAGATTTGAGAGGGAGGAGGGGGGAGATTTTAAAGGCGTGGTCAGCCGTGGGTCAAGTGAGCACTGTTCTCGCACCTCTGCAGGTGATCGGCACTGGTCAAATTTCTTCTCTTAAAGCACTGGATGGCCTGCTTGAGTTGGTTGTTGTTCAATCTCGTTTGGTGGCGTAGACGGGATGCAACGACCCGCTCAGGGGGGGTGCTACAAGCTTGATACCAAGCATATCAGCATCAACCGTGGGTTGATCATATATCATTTGGCCAGTCAAAGTTTGTTTGACTGGTCATTGGCACTATACTCACGGCAAGGCCACCGGCAGGGGAAATAAGCCACATGTTGGACGGTCTTGACTAGTCCGGTCAAGCCGTTGAGTTGTGTGTGAGCAACTCGGGTGGCAACAGGTTGATGCCCGATCTGGCGGCAATGATGAACAATCTTGGCAATATGCAGACGGCAACACGCACTCCATGCTTGTCTGTTTCAAGTTTCTTGTGTTCTTGCGTGTTTCAGTGCAACCAAGCTCGTAGCTGCGCGTTGATGCTTGCCCCCATCAACACCCGCATCCCAGACAACAACTCCATACTTTGAGAGTGTTACCAAGGCGATATGTGCGATTACTCTTGTGAGGAAACAGTTGGATATGATAGCGATCACTATATTTATCAAGCCGTTGCCAAAACAATAACGACAGGTCGATGCGTTGACTTCGTGTTTTGTCGATACATGCAATCTTGGTCACTCTGCTCCCAAATCTGCTCGCAGAGACATAAAGATAGATGGCAGTCATTCTCTAAAAAACCATATAAACCCCGATCCGGCCCTAGCTGCTGACTTCATCAATGTTGAGCATACTCTATATATCAGATTCACCACAACATCCCTATATACTAGAATATGACGAGATTAGGGCGCATCGCGCCTCCGGGAGCCCTTTGCCATCATGGAGACCCTACCTGATGTACAAGTCCTGTTGGATCCTTGACTGGCTATATCTCTCCTGTCTAGACGGATGACGATATCACCATACCTATATAGAAATCTTGTCACTCGAGCGGTGAGCCGCACATCTGCAGCTTGGATGACGATGACGCGCCGAGCTGGTCAGACATCGTTCAGGACATAACGGATCTCCGGGCTATAGAAACTACTCATCTCCACACTTTTATTATAATCTCGGGCTATGAGTCAATTCCGTTCACTGGCTGTGGGAGGAACAAGTCGAAGACCCGCCCTCTCCCAGGCGAAGCAATCCATTCATGGACCCTCGAGGCCAACGAAGACGTCGTCGACTGCCCAGTCGAAAACGATGGTCACATAGTCCCTCCGGTACTTCCTCAAGCAGAGACCGTCACCTCGCCATCCGATATTCGCAGAGACTGGAGTTGTCGACACCCTTCGAAGGGCCATGCCAATAGTTCACTGAACAAGATTGGCACGAGACGACTTTGGATCTTGGCCTGAGGTCTTTAGAGGCAGTGATTCACTGCCAGCAAACGCTCGCCCAACTCCACTCCACCAGCCATATCGTGAAACTTTAGGGAAATATTCAGTATGGAATTAGCGAGGTAGTTGAAATTGCATTTAGAGTCGAGATATTCTACCATTCGAGTCCCTCTGGATGAAGCAGTTCATCCACCTAGACGGTAACCAATCAGAGAGGTCTGTGTTCAAGGTCAACTCAATCTCACAAAGGAGGTTCACCATCTACTACAGAGTCTGAAACGGCCTGGGACTTGCATCAAACGCAAGCTGGTTGTTTGCTAGGTCTGCGCAGGTGCTTGAGGCAGTGCTGCACCTTAAGTTGATCTCACACAACGCAACTTGGACTTCCCTTGCGACCAAACTGATTCCTTCCACGATACGACGTCCTACTCTGCAGGTCTCAAAATGCTGCCCGACGATTTTGACAAAGCGGACTGGATGCTGGGCTCATGGGTGCCATCACCCGATCCGCGACGCCCAGATTTCCCCTACCACAACGGCCTCACCCTCACCATCCGGCCTCATGTCCCCCCATCTCCGTTTGGATCGACTGGATACATCAAAGGGTTGGAGCGCCAAGAAGCACCACGGGAAGAGGTCGCCAAACTCCCACAGAGTGAATGGTGCCTACGCAATCCTGTCGCCGAAACCGCACCGCACCCAGACATCACAGAGAAGCAAATGCTGAAGATCGTTGGTGGCATCGCTTGCAAGGACGGCCGTGGTGCACAGGTCGTACGCTGCCAACTATGCCACGATGTGAGCAATGTATACGTCGCGAAGATCTACGATCCCCTTTACTACTCCTTCTCGGACCGAAACTTTGGCACCCCCGTCGACGTGACGTACAGAGCAGACCAAGACTATTCTCGAGAGGCGGCTGCATTCGAAGACCTCAAGGCCGATGGGGCAGATGGCCGCTTCTCTCCCAAATACTATGGCTCCTGGACTTTCGACATGCCTTTGATAGGCACTCCTCCTGTGTTGCGACCAGTTCGCTTGGTGCTCATGGAGTACATCAAGGGGACTGACCTCTGGACCATCATGGAGAGAGACGGAGAGGGTCTCGGGTTCCATACCGTCCCTCCTGAACAAAGACTCGAAATTTTTGCCAAAGCTGCCGAAGCTGAGACGAATTTGAAGTTCCACGGCATCATCCACCGAGACTTCGCGCCCAGAAACGTCATGATCGCAGACCCTGTTACCCGCGAGGGAGTTGACTCCCACACTCCCCGGGTGATACTGATCGACTTCAACAATTCCACCTGCGTCAACCGCCCCAACTTTCGATACGCAGAGTTCCACACAGCAGATCCCCTTCCCATCAGCCCGCGCTATCGCTGGTGGGGAGGATGCCCCAATGCGTTTTCGCAGTGGGTGCCGGAACCGCATCGCTCCCAAGATGCTGTCTTCAATGGCTGGTTGGTGACGCGGTTGCCGGATCCTTCTAGCGGATACCTGCTACTTCCATTCACAATGCCTAGGCATATCCGCACGGCTGGTCTGATTGAGTATGCTTTGCCAGTCCCTGATACTGAGCCCGTCTTTGCGCAAGTGTACCGGCGTGAGTATGACATGCCACCCGTGTCTTGGTAAGTCATTTATGCGTGGATTAATACTGGAAGTGACACGAACAAGCTTGTTAACATTTCTATAGGTCTCCAGCCGACACAGAGTCTCTAAGCGGATCGAGCGAAGTCAAGACTCCAGACGCCAGTACTTCACCAGACGGAAGAAACTCATCTCAAAGCGAACCCGAGGATTTTGAGGACGGGACTAATGTTGCTGAACTACAATACCACGAAGATATTCGAGGTGAAGGCGAGACATGGGCAAGTGGCATCGAGCAAGACGACATGGGCCTACTTGGAAGCGGAATCAAGGAAGCAAAGACATCACACGGATGCACCGAGCCAGAGGACAGCCATCTCACCCAGGGGTAGTCTGGGAGATGGGGGTGTGGTATCAGACACCACGTCAGCGAGACGACACGGAATGAACTCGAGGGCACAGAGACATGAAGATGTGTATGGATGAAGGCGGTTCTGTGACACGGTTTCATTCGCTTGCAAGCAAGCAAAGAGGACATTGTCTTGAGTATTTGGCTAATGATGTAATTAAAAGTAGAAAACTCGGAGAGCACAAAAGTTGTAATCCTTCCTAGCCCTCTTATTTGACGTCGGAAATCTTTGTAGGATGGGATAAGCCTGTATCTTGTGCGTTCTCCTCGTTGAGGGGGGAAAGGATAGGTGAGATATATATACATATAATTGAAGGTCCCCCGATCTTTGGAGAAAGTATTCCTAGGATGGGACAACCTGAAACATGGCGCCAGCGCGGAAGCCTGGCCATAACAGGTCGTCGACGGGACGAAGGCGATGAAATAGCCACAGAGCTTGATCATATCCCATGCCATTGCGACGTGCGATGTCCTAGGGCTCGGGCGAGTTCTCTTTTCGCTTCGATGGACAAGGCTAAATTATATGCCCATCAGGAGAGGAGCAACATTCGACGTAGTGCCATTCGTCTGGTGATTTAAACATGTTCTTGAAAATGACGTTGACGGTAGCGGCGATCCCCAAGGCCAACATCTCACAACCGGGATGCGGCCTAGTCTGCTAGGCTGAACCGTTGCATTTAAACGAACCTCCAAATGTCCTTCCATTTTCGAGATTCTCGATCAAGTTGTAACCCTTGAACGACACCCGAGACAGAGAAGAATGAATCCCTTTCTGCCCATCACCACGGGTTAACGGGACCGAACCCATCGCGAAGAATCATGATGCTCACGTCTCAACCCTGACATCGGAAGCTCCCAGACTCGGACTACGACTACATGATTTCTTTGCCCATCTCTCTGCCAACTTGATCCATGGTCATCTGAAAAACTCCTATTTGGCCACCTGGGAGGAAACGAGAATTCTGCGCGTCGAAGCCGATGTCAGCGATGCCGCCTCCCCCCAGCTAATCAATCCTGTGGACCTCGCCTTGACCGCAAATCACCCAAAAGAGATCTTCCATCTGAACCAAAAGTTTATCAAGAGCTCTATCAGTGCTTCCGCCAGGGCAGACAAAAGTTAGCACCGGCGTCTGCCTGGCGGCGGCTCTGCTCGGCTCGCCACCCTCGACGACAAGAGACCCGGTATCATCCGCCTCAAGGAGTTCACCGAGGCTTGCTGCGCGCCAGATGAATTCCGTCGGCGTAACGCAGGCTTGGGCGGCGACCCTACAGCCTTCAGCGGCAACGCAGAGATCCTGATGAAGCAGGCGGTCAACTACACCCACCAATACAAGAGCAAATACGTCGCCTTCTTCGATTGGGACACGCTCCTTCTCATCTACCTCGATAACGGCGGAAGCTGGTGTCACATCGATATCGTGACGGACCGACGTCAAATGAGGCGGGCTCTCCTTGGCTTTCTCGAGGCGGCGTACCAGTCCTATGGAGGGAGAAGCCGCAGCGGCCTGGTATACCCAATCCCGCAGATCCCTTCGACGCAGTCCAGCCGACAGAGTGGCCGGATAAGATGAGGAGCAGGGGCAATACTTTTGGTGTAGCCCTTGGTTGTATCTTGCTCAAGGGTGCGTGCCTGCAGGCTTCATCTGCGCCATTCCAATGCGCAAGTGGGCGGTTCTGATCACTCTCATCCTCGTCCTCGCCCTTACCCTGCTCGCCTCGTGGCATTACCCTCACCCATCTTAACCCTTTGCCTCTTCCCTTCTTCATCTTTCTGTCCATCCTGAGGGCTCCCCTGTCCGTGATCTCTTTTCTCTTTCAAGTCAACATTCACTATGGGCGTGTAAGTCAATCAGTTTTCCTACTAGTGAAACACCTGTGTCTGATTCTGCCACACTGATCTGTATAGAATAAAATGAGGATTCTGGCTTGATGATGCGGTTTCTCTCGATCGTGGACACGGATGTCAGGGTGGAATGGAATGCGGTCAAGATCAAGGCGTGGAGAAATACATGGACAAGATTATATTCCTTATGGAACCACCAGCGTTTGGAGGCCAGCGTCTACAGGACGTGCCAACAACACATGAACGGGTGGCTTGGAAGATGGGGAGGCTCTGTATGTTACCCAGTATAGACAAGAGGTAGTACAACACCATGTTGTCAGGGTCGTTGTGCAGGTGAGCAAAACAGAGCATGCTCCCTGCCTGCCTAGCCGCGTCGATCCCGCTTCCGACGAGCATTCCTAGGCTTCCTGGAGGCGGCCTACCAGTCTCGCGGGGGCCATGGCAGTGGGGGTCCGACGTATCCAACCGCAAATGCTGCTCCGGCTCAACCCTCCTAACGCAGCGGACGATCGCGAAGCTGAAGAGACTGACGATAGAACGAAAAGACCAAGAAGATTATAGGCAAAGGGTTAGGATGAGGATGAGGCTTCGATGAGGATGAGGATGAGGATGAGGACAAGGCTTCGATGAGGCAGGCTGCTCCCGTCGCCGGCTACACAGCCAACGTCGTCACTCCCACAGCCAACAATAATCTTCGCCTTCTCACGGCAACACTCCCATTCGTTGGTGCACCCAACTGCAAGAGAATCCGATTCACATCCACTGCTGTGAAAAAAATAAAATTAGATCATCAGTCAGAAGACAGCACGTGTTTACTCACATGTCATGGTTGATATGCCGTCAACAGTCCGTGGAAAGTTCTCAATCACTTCTCCCGTCTCAACACTAAGAAGAGGCGTGATCTCTGACCCCGCCCGCACCGCCGTGCTATTCTCAAGACGAATGATGCCATTCGATTCTCTGCACGGCGTCTCCAGTCAGTCGCCGTATTCCTCACACAATATCAGGGATGACTCACGAGACTGTAACTCTCCTCTGCATACCATCCACCCTTTCGTGGAGCCGGTCCACCCTCTCGTGAAGCCGGTCAAAATCACGACGTGTTTCTCGTCTCAAATCCTGCACCAATGCAGTAAGTGCCTGCACAGCCTCCAGCACATGCACTCCGCCGTCCACGGTGGGCAGGTTCTCGCATCGCTCGACATGGTCAGACATAGTCCTCAAATTGTCTGCCAACAGACGGAAATCAGGTCGATTAAGACGGTCCGCGTCCATGTCGATAGAGTCGTATCCCACGATGAAAGAAAAATGTTGAGAAAGGTGAGTTGACGATCGTCAACCGTACTTGGTACTGTTCTTCTACTTGGTCAAGGGCTCGAAGAAGCGGTGGGTGGTGGACTTCTGAGCGACCCAACACTTGGTACTGTTCAAATGGGTTGGTTGCCTATAGGTTAGGTGGTTTGGTGTCATGACCAAAATAGCAAAGACGCGTATCCCCGCTGTCGAGGCAACAGAAATACCTCACGCTATCACATGACATGGCTGACTAAGTAGGCTTCACCACGGGAACCTGTACAGGCACGGCCGGCCGTGTCAATAAGGTCACGTGATATATATCACGGCCGGCCGTGTAAACAAGATCCATTATATCAGCCCACGGCGCAGTATTATCAATAGCCAATCAGAAGGCTAGTTTATAGTCTAGCCACCCAAGCCACACTTAGCCACAGCAACCTAACCACTATGCCACGTGAGGGCGAGATAAGCTGCCTCTGTAAGCTACCTCTGTAAGCCAATTGCTAGCTGCTATCGCAGGCTGTTGCAAGCCGTTGTTACAGGCTGTTGCAAGCTGCCTTTGGGAGCCATTGCAAGCTGCCTTTGAAGACCGCTGTAAGCTACTGTTGAAGACCGCTGTAAGCTGCACGGTGGGCTGACATAACGGATCTTGTTTACACGGCCGGCCGTGATATATATCACGTGACCTTATTGACACGGCCGGCCGTGCCTGTACTGGTTCCCCTTCACCACCCGGTCGTCGTTGAGTTAGCAGGCAAGGGGGTCACAAAAAACACAGGAATGGCTCCCATACAAAACTGCACGTCAAGGGACTAGCCAGGCACATAATCGAGGATAAAGTAGGCCTGTGTCATGGATCGGGCTCGGATTAGGGGTTCGCCTCGACCGAACGCGTGCACTCTGGGTAGAGGATGTCGAGCATGTAGTTGCGCCAAAAAACCACCTTTGCACATGCCTACCTACCAAGTGCATCGAGCTCACCTCCCTTGTGAAAAACAAACTGATCATATAAAAACAGTAGAAGCCTCCAGTTTGAGCCAAGTACGGGGTTTATCACCAAAAATAAATCAATTTAACGCAAAGCATACACACCCTAGCTCGCCCTTCTCAAAAGGGCTACTGGAAAGCCTCAATATGGTACGCGCATGCTTCTTATAGATAAATGAACAGATTCGACTGTCCTGTTACGAGTGGTCAACTTTTTTGGTTCCCTCCTCTGTCCAAGTGGGCAGCAAATGCGTGTATATAGCTGCACGCCCAAGTCGAAAAAAGAAAAAAGCAAAGATTCCCTTTGAACACACTATATCGTTTCTGATCCTCAACACACTTCGTCGCCCTTGTGGTTTCACCATCCTAGTGGGTACCACGCTTCGTGTTCATAGTTCCATGCGAATGGATATACCCGCCATAGGGGTACTAGCTGGGCCTCGGCCTGCTAGACGTGAGGTCCCAGGTGGGGAGGGAGTTGGTGGTGGTAGGCGAGTGAGGGAAACCCGTGAGGGTATGAGGGGGCCGGCATGTACTGTCGTGGAGGAGGCCCGTTGTTGTACTGCATGCTGTTGGTGGCGAATCCTCGCTGAAAGCCGTTGCCGTTTCCGCCGCCGAAGGGCGACATGCCGTGACCTCCTCGTCCACCGTTGGGGTTGCCATACCCGTTTGAATTGCCTCGCCAGGACATGGCTTGGTTTCCGCCGGGAGCCCAGCCACCGTGAGGGTGTTGGTTGCTCTGGATGTAGGATGCTTCGCCGTTGTAAAACTGTCGATCGCTCTCGGGAGAGGGAGGTCCCCCGTTGTGTCTACCCATGTCAGAGTAGTCCCCTGATCCGCTCGAATGGCCACCACCACCGCCGCGACGACCACCGCGTCCAGGTCCTCGTCTCCAGCGGTAGGGTCTCCGTGGGCCTCGAGGCTTGCGATCGACCTGGAAATCAATCTTCTTGACAGGCTGCGTGACCATGATGTCGTCGACGATGCCGTACTTGAGCAGTTCCTCCTCATCCGTGGTCCAGACTTGAAAAACATTTTCCAGCTTCTCAATGTACTTGACCTCTGGCACCCAGGTTCGCACGTAGGCGCCGTTGTTGTCGTAGTCAAAGGCTTGCTTGACGGGGTTGAAGATGCGAGCGTCACCACGAGGGTCGTTGCCCACGCCTGCCACGTACTGCCAGTTGGCCCAGTTGGAAGACACGTCGTAGTCGACGAGCATCATCTCGTACCACTCTGCTCCATAGCGCCAGTCGATGCCGAGGTGCTTGGAGAAGAAACTGGCGACGTTCTGTCGGGCTCTGTTGGAGGTATATCCCGTGTGGTAAAGCTCTCGCTGTGAGGCATCGATGAAGCCCATGCCAGTTGTGCCCTCGAGGAATCTGTCAATGATTGTTCCGACCTCCTCAGGAGAAGGATCCTGGTCAATAGCAGCCGTCTTCTTGTCAGCCGTCTTCCACTTCTTCTCGTACTGACCAGTGGCCCCCTTGAAGCCTGAGACTCTAAAGAGCTGGGCACCAAACTTCTTGGTGCACAGCCGCATATAGTCTCGCCACAACAACTCGAATCGTACAGCCTTGGTTCCCTCATTCTCGCCTCTGTCAAAACCTCTAGCCCGAGCATAGGCCTGATCCGTGCCATCCTCAAGCTTCAACAGCTCCTCGTGGATGGAACGAGCCGAGATGCAACCCAGAGCCAGGTACCCCGAGAGCTTGGTACTGTAATCTTTTCCAAGAAGTCCGTTACGAGTCTCTTGATACGTACACATGCCGCCAGTCCTGATGAGGTGTCGAAGACGTTCCCAGGCGAAGCTTTCACCGCCGTCAAAGGGGTGCGCAGACTTGGCATCCTGGGGCAGGACAGGGGGGTTGGCGAGCATGTAGTCGATGGGCTGCAGGAGTCGACGCTCAAACTCCTCGTAGGTGTCCGGCACTTGGAAGGGAGCATCCTGGGGCGGGGTCCAAGGAGGGAGAGGAGGGAGAGATCCGGCCTGGGGGCGGGGGAGGGACCGACGAGGGCGCTCACGGAGGGGTTCTTGGGTCTTGCGGTATGAGGTGAAGACATCTGGGAGTTCCTTTGGGTTGCTCAGGCCCGTGTCACGGCTTTATTCGTGTTAGCAGATCGTCAAGGGTGTCCTGTAGTTGAGATAAGGGTTGAGGCAACTCACTCATCGATGAAATACTTGTCATCCCGCCACAGCTTGAAGCCAACGCTCTTTTCAGAGCACACAGCAGAAACAGCATCCTGATCATCTACTTCTTCGGATGACACATCTTCAGTCATCCAGACAGCATCAACAGAGTGGTGGTTGTCGTTCAGAGCTTGGATTAGCTGTCTCACAACGTCGGAGAAGCTGCCAATACGCAACACCAGCCCGCTGCCCAGATCCTCCAGGCTGTCCTTTAGATCCCAGACTGACTCTGCGGTGAACTTTGCTCGGTGCGGACCACATCTCCAGAAGCGGCCAACCTGACTCAAGGCCTTGGGGTAGGGAGACTTTTGGTTCTCGGTAAGGAAGCCAGAGACCTCGATCTGGTGAGGCGGTAGGACGTAGACGGGGAGAAGGTGAGTGAAGCCATGATCAGCAGTTGCCAGGTGGTGAAGGATAGGGTTGTCAGTGGCTCTGAGGTCGCGGCGGAGGAGGTAGACGAGAAGTTTGCTCCCTGCCATGTTGGCTAGATTTGCGGTGCAGGGAGAGTTGAGAAACGGAGCGATGGTGAAAATGGTATAGCGGTCCTCTTTTTTTTCGGGTCCGATGAACAGACAGATCTCGGGAGGGGGAGGCAAGATATGAGATCTCCCACTAGGCTGTGCGGGAAAGGTCTAGACCTCTCTGTGCCAGGATGTCTAGACTTGATGTACTAGGATGGTGAGACTCGGGCCACTTGCTGGTGAGTCGAGTCTCGAGGTGATGGTGGTGGGCGGCACTTGGTTGAAACTGCTACAGCAGATGTTGAGGGGGAGGCTTTGTGCGGTGGGAGTTGAATGAGGGCTTGTACTTGAGGATGGTTGGATATCAAATGGATAGGTAGTGGGTCAGGGCCGGAGGAGGCTGGGTCAGGGGAACGTCCAAGTGAAGTGGTTTTGTCTTGGTATGAAGAGAGGCAGCCGGTAAACTTGTAGGTGAGCTAGAACTCGACTCGATAGTTGACCGGTGTGTAGATGTCAAAGGGGTCATGGATTTTTGGGTCTCTGGATCTCGCTACATTAGTGGCTCCAACGGTTCCTGGCTGAAGGCGAAACGAGACAACAACGTCGTCGATGGATGCGGGATATCGGTAGATCGCCACAGGGCAGGGCAGGGTGTGCATGTATGATGCGCTTGCAGCGTCCCCAGACGTCTTGTCTGTATGCTGGCTCAGTATGGATCTCTAGCGCCAAGGCGAGTGGACTCTTTGACGCCTCTTGAAGAGTGGATATGATGATGGTATCAACAGGGTCGAGACGGAGGACTTGTGTCAACTGCTCAGAAGAGAGGGGATATTGAGGCTGAGACAGACAGGGCTCTCGAGGCCTGTGGTGGTTTTGAGGCTACAGTTTCTGTAGGGATAGCGGGCGAGAGGTTGGCGAGGCAGACGAGGATGTGCAATAAACGAGAAGAGAGCTTGAAGGCGATGACGATGTTGGCAACGATGGATGACGATGATGATGTTTCTAGAGGGAGCTATGTTGCAGGGGGAGCCTGCAGAGAGAGAAGAGAGACGGGAGGTCCTTGGGCGAGCAGGTCTAGAAACCCGGAACTTGTTGCCCGTAGACAAGCAAGTGATGACGCCTTGGAAAAAAGAACGGAGGGGGGCGATGCCAACCGTTGGTTGTTTTTTGTCTCTTCACGGGCACTTATTCACTGACAACAAGACGAGGCGAGATGGAAACAAACAGAACAGGAATTAAATAATGACAATCAGGAGAAAATGAAGAGAAAAGAAAAAGTAAACGAAATTCAGGAGGAGAGAAAAGGGACCCTGATCGGCCCAGCCGGGAAGAACGGGCGCGCGCCGTCATGTTGGTTCTTTTTTTTTTTGTTTCTTCGTTCCTGTCTTTTTTTTCGCCTCGACTGATTTTCTGAGCGATTCCCACGACCCTACAACGAACCTCTAGATCGGACCAGACGCGGGAGGTTTAGCCTACAGGGGTAAGGTTCATGCGGATTCGCCTAAGCATCAGGACCCTTGAAGAGTCAGCAACGAAAAAAAACGGGTGGTCGAAAAAGTGACTGCAACCCAATTTTTTACCCTGTCAACCTGAGAGTGCGGGACGAGGCGCTGTTCTATTTTACAGGGGGTGGAGGAGGACGAGGCGTCCCCGATGAGTCTCGGCGCTTCTCTTTTCTTAGAGGGGGGAGAGTTTTCTTCTGCAGGGGGTGAGTAAAGTTGAGATGGATTGGATGGAAAGTGAAGCAATTGACAGGCAGGCCTGCGTGTGTAAGATGGAGGATGGTGAGGCCAGAATGTTACTGATTGATCTTCTTCACCGGCCAGCCTCGAATGGTTTTGAACCCATGCTTTTCTCTCCGCCCCGTAAATCTAGAATCATCCTTCTGTATCACCTTTTACACATCTCACTCTATCTCGCCTCACTTTTCCTCACTCTTTTTCTTAAGCGAAGTCGATCTTGCGTTGCGTTGCACCAAAGATGCGATGCAGCAGCTCGGGTATCGACATGACCATCGAAGGACGAGATCCGTTTTTTTCTCCCTCGCCTGAGACAAAAGCCATTGACTTTGACAAAGCGGGCACCGTCACCGTGGCGCCGGAGCTGCTCCCTTTGGCTTTGTGAGGCTTCGTCGTCAAGGAGCTTCACTCCTCCTCCCCGCCGCTAAGAGGAGGAATCAAGGGTCCAGCAGGTTTCCCGGCGATCAATGACATCAGAGTTGCACTCTTTAAACGACCTAGCACCAGCCACAAGATCCCCTGAATGATTTCAGATTCAGTTGCTTTAATCGAGGCTACTGAACAGGTACACTAATTTACTGCCTCCTAGCCTCGAGAGACTGTATGTCCCCATTCACAGCCCCGTAGATTGTCCTTTCTGATCTGCACGTAGGGTGCTGGCACGCGGCCATCGGCTGCTCCTAGAACTTTGACAGCCTTGGGGTCTGGCCCGCTCTAGACGAACACACACATAGACGAACACACACACATCCTTGTCCATGGTCTGACTGGGGGTCTGTGTGTGTGTGTTTAGTCTCCGATATCCGTTGGCAACGTGCGTTCCCTGCGATCGAGGGGACTCTTTGACCAGCTGACGGCCACCTTTTTTTTTTTCGCTCGCTCCCGTCCGCGACGCACACACACATGAGTGAAAAGAGGCGGCGCCTCAGAAGAGGAAAAGAAGCAAATATACTTTCGGAACATGCCGTTGCCCAAGTTGAATGTCTACACAGCTTTTATCGTTTGACCCTGTTTCAGCGCCATCTTGATCTTTGACAATCGAGACTCTGAGAATTCTAGTTACAGCTCCCAAGTGTGGCCATGCAAGCCTCTTTACCTAGGTAGTATCCAGGCAACACACTTCTCCCTCACCGAGCTCTGCACGTCTGCATCATGGTGTCTCTTTGCAGCTTGGCAATGCCTTGAAACACACACACACTCTCTCGCCCGTTCTATTTCTCAGCTTCTTATACCCGTACCAGCTGGGATGCATGTCTCAACTCTACCCTGCAGCACACACCACCCAAGGTTTCGTCCTTTCTTTTTTCTCGGAGCACGTTCCGTGCACCTTTGTTGGATTGCATGGATGTCTGTTGTCAGTTCAGTCACAGTCACACTGCACACATCAAAGCAACGCACTCATCCCCGCAAGACATGGCCAACGCCAAGAGGTCAAATGCAAAAAGGCCATGTTTTATGTTTTATACAACCTCGTCGCGAATACCTTCCCAACTCTTCATCATGTGCATCGTGGCTGCTCATGTCTCGACTTACAAAGCCGTCCGCATCTTGAGAGTGTGGCTATATGACGACTCGTCTCCAACCAGGACTTGCAGAGTCGACATGCTTGCGTTGCTTGACTTGCGTGCCATGTACTATACCGGGTTCCCGTCCTGTTGGCTCAGACTGTCAAAAGGCAACCCCTTGCTCGCCTGCATTGGTGCAACTAACTGCCTTGATCTGCATTCCTCAACCCCGTCTGCAACAACACGTGCAGGAGGATAATCCCGTGCGTCGGGCATTTCTCTTGGGCTAGTTTTGCAACTGTCGATTCTTTACCCACAGATACGGGCCCGTTGGTCGCACTAGAGACGATCCGCTACGATCTGGTGATGATGCTTTTGTGATCACATCGGTGGTGTTGGCTTTTCAGGTACACAAACCCAAACACCTGGGATGAACAACGGGTACAGTATGTAACCGGATATGGAACCATACGTAGTTATGTTTCATTCTGCGACATCGATGAAGGCAACTGTTCAGGCTTCCCTGTAGTTGAGATGGCTATACAGCCACACATGAGATACCCGGCTCGGGTTCTTACCGACTCGATGTACCCTGTGGTGGCCCGTGCGGGGTACGTACCGGCACATACCTGTACCATGGAGAAAAATGAACTAGTAGACTAACCAATCAAAACATTAAGACAGATTTCTGTCTAGGGGGTATCCCTATGAAAGGATGCAGGGCAGACCAAGCCCACACACCTGGAAACCGCCTATACCTAGAAGCCGCCTATACCTAGAAACTACCTATACCTAAAAGTGGTTTATCTTAAGATTATTATATTATATATAATTTAAAGAGTTATAATATATTAATTAAAAGTAATATAAATATAAGCTAAGAAGAGAAATATTATTTAAAAATAAAATAAAAATTAAAAATTAAAAATTAAAAATTAAAAATTAAAAATTAAAAATTAAAAATTAAAAATTAAAAATTAAAAAATAAAAAATAAAAAATAAAAAATAAAAAATATAAAAATAAAAAATAAAAAATATAAATATAAATTTAATTAATTATTAAAAAAATTATATAAAAATTATAATATTTCTTAAGAAAATATATATAATATAAGAATATTATTTTAAAATTAAATATTATATATAAAATTAAAATTTCTATTATTTATTTATTTATATATTAAAATTTAATAATTTTAAGGCTTTTTATTAATAAAATTATTATATAAACTTTAATATATATTTTAAAAAATCCTTATATAATATTCCTTAAAAGAATTTTTAATTTAATAAAACTTAATAAATATAAAATATAATTTTTTTTTTTATTTTTTTTTATAAATAAATAATATAAAATTATATTATATTATTTATTTATTTATAATTTTAATTATATTTATTTTTTTTAAAAATATTAAAAAAGTTAAGATTAAAATTTTTAGGCTTTTATAAATTTATTTTTTATTTAATAAATATATAATTTATATTATATAAGTTATTTTAATCTTAAAATTGCCTTTTTAAAGCTTATTAAAATATCTTTTTTTTTCTTATAGCTACTTTCCTTATTTAACTATGAATTTCTTAAGATTCTTAAAAACCATAGTTTTAGGTAGGGCAGGTTAGCGGCTTCTGGGCATGGACGGTTTCTGGGTGTGTGGGCTTAACAGTCAACGATCTCGACATTTTATTCCAGGCTCTTGATCAAGCTCATCGAGCCTCTGAATCAAGTTCAACTCGCCACAGTGACAGATCGATGGAATTGTATGGCAAAGAAGCAATGCTGTGTTACGCGCCACGCATCTTCAAAATGCTACTCTCGTCTGATGAGTTGCAACTCCTCACCACTTAACCACTTGCACAAATCATCTCTCGTCCACAAGTCTTGACCTGACGTAGGAGGCTCTGGCCTCTTTATGCTGTCTCAGCAGCGGGTCGGTAAATCAAGAATTTGACAGCCTGTTCAATCTTGCTGCAGCTGCGCCGAGTCAACCGTTGCAGTGTGCTACAGCGTCCAGTGAGATACCCGTTGGTGTTTCTGATCCTGATCGAGGAACCCGCGGAGATCGACCGAAGCTAAACGGGGTTGCTTGCCTTGTGAGACCTATCCTGGTACAGGTTCGATTGGACTGGATTACTTACCCCCAAAGATGCGGTAATAATGCTGCAGTGTTATTCCCAAGAGCTCAGATCTTCTTAGCCTATTGCTTAAAAAAATTGCCATCTCTGGGCTGTAGATGTCCACCTCGTCATTGACGCCTTATAAAATGTCATGTCTTGTCTTTAAGCCGAACAATCTCAAAGACTTCTACCATTGATATCCTCCGCTTACCGGCAAGCCACGATAGGAGTTATCCTCGGTCGGAGCATCGTTCGGTTCATCCGTCGTATGTCCGCTCGCATCGTCCGAGATGCACAAAGAGTGAGGCCAGCGCGGGGGGACCGAAGCAAGGGACCTCGGGGGGCGGAGGAGCGGACCCCGGATTCTTGTGGGCGCTCTGACAGGCTGGAGAGCAGCTGTGAGGGCTCCATCGTGAGGAGGGGAACCTGGGGTAAGGAGATGGGGTTCAGTGATGTGATGGATGAATTGGCGGTGATGGAGATTATTACGGTCAATCTGGTGTTGTACAAGTTCAATTAATACATATTCTGAGTGATACTGAGGGTATATTTCTTCAATTGAAGAGTATCAAGTCTGATCCATTGCTGATAAGAGAACTGTTGATCCTCATCTTCCCCGCGTTGCCTTGTCCAGAACTTTCACATCAGACAGAACAAAAACAGCACTCAATCTCCCCATTCCCAATCTCCGATCTCGCTCTCCTAAAACCAAGGAAAAAGAACCAATAGATAACGAATCCTGACTTCCTCGGCATTCAAATCTGGCGTGCCAGGGATTCTCCAACCATTGGAGAGCGTTCCCAGGTTCCAGGGGCGCGGCACGTCGTCGGTAAAGGGAAGCTCAGCTATGAACCCAATTGAAGACAGAATGGGCAAGGGAGGTGCCGTGATTGGTCGGTTGTGTTTTCCCCTCGCCAAAAACACCTGGGTCTGAGATGGGACGTTGACGTTACTCGACTGTTGTCTTGGGGAACACATGTTGGTGCACTGTATGCACTGTACATACCTCCTTGCTTGGGGCATCATCTACAGTGCCAATATCAAAATCTCTAGCTTGGCCGTCGTCAGGCCGGCGGCTAGCCGAGGGTAGCTTCGCGGTAACCCACGGCAAACCAAGGCCCCTACAGCCGAGCGTAATAAATACGAACAAATACCAAGCTCCAAAGGAACGTGAAGCTCCAGGTGTTATTAGCCCTGAGGTTGTTTCTTCTTCTCTGCTCGCCGTGATACCCCCTTCTCTTCTCTCTTCTCTCTCCCTTCACCGGCGACCTCAATTGACCTTCCATCTCCGTTTAATCACGAAGAGGAAGTCTCAAGCAAAAAAAGACAAGCTACCCTCACATCTCCAGCATGTCTGCCGTTAGTCGGAGTCTCCGGACGGCCACAAAGCAGCTGCGCTTCCAGTCCCGGGGCCTTCGCGTCGCCGCCCCTCTCGTGGCCCGCTCGGCATTCGGCGCCGCTCGCTCGTCGACTCCCGCATCGTACAGCGCCTTCTCAACATCCGTTGCCAGATCCTCCGGAGCTCCCAACATGGCCGCCGCTCCCCGTGAATACGATCCTGAGATCAAGGACATTGCCGACTATGTCGCCAACAAGACGATTGACTCTGAGCTTGCCGTGAGTTTTTTGCCTTTTTGAGCTTGTGATGATTTTGCAACCCCGCCATACCCCGCCTTGGCCTCAACCAAGCTCACTCTCACCAACACCACTGCCTCACCACAATACTAACACACCCAATTCAGTTCGACACTGCTCGATGGATCCTCCTCGACACTCTCGGCTGCGGTCTCGAGGGCCTGAGGTTCAAGGAGTGCTCCAAGCTCCTCGGCCCCATCGTCCCCGGCACCGTCGTCCCCAACGGCCCCAAGGTGCCCGGCACCCCCTTCCAGCTTGACCCCGTCAACGCCGCCTTCAACATCGGCGCCATGATCCGGTGGCTCGACTTCAACGACTGCTGGCTCGCCGCCGAGTGGGGTCACCCCTCGGACAACCTCGGTGCCATCCTCGCCGTCGCCGACTGGGTGAACCGCACCAACAAGGCTGGTGGTAACCTCGCTGGCGGCAAGATCTTTACCGTCAAGGATGTCCTTGAGGGTATGATCAAGGCCCACGAGATCCAGGGCTGCCTGGCTCTCCTCAACTCTTACAACAAGGTTGGCCTGGACCACGTTGTCCTCGTCAAGGTCGCCTCTACCGCTGTCGTCTCCAAGATGCTTGGCCTCAGCGAGAAGCAGATTGCCGACGCCGTCACTCAGGCCTGGGTTGATGGTCAGAGTCTGCGAACCTACCGCCACACCCCCAACACCATGTCCCGAAAGTCGTGGGCTGCCGGTGATGCTTGCCAGCGTGCCGTCAACCTCGCCCTCAAGGTCATGAAGGGTGAGCAGGGTATCCCCACCGTCCTGTCCGCTCCCGTCTGGGGTTTCTACGATGTCCTCTTCAAGGGCAACAAGTTCGAGTTCCAGCGTCCCTATGGCAGCTATGTCATGGAGAACGTCCTCTTCAAGGTCTCCTACCCTGGTATGTACTCCCAATTGATAGATGAGTGAGTCAAGACTAACATGCTCCAGCCGAGTTCCACTCCCAGACCGCCGTCGAGGCCTCTGAGAAGATCCACCACATCCTCAAGGCTCAGGGCAAGTCTGCTGCCGACATCAAGGCCATCACCTGCCGAACCCACGAGGCTTGCATCCGCATCATTGACAAGCAGTTCAAGCCCATGGACAACTTTGCCGACCGTGACCACTGCATCCAGTACATGTGCGCCACCATGCTCGTCTTTGGCCGCCTCGAGGCTACCGACTACACCGACGGTGGTGAGGCCGCCACCTCTCCCCTGGTCGAGTCCCTCCGCCAGAAGATCAAGTGTGTCGAGGACCCCCAGTACACCAAGGACTACCACAACCCCGAGCTGCGAACCATCTCTAACGCCCTCACTGTCGAGCTCAACGACGGTACCGTTCTGGAGGAGGTCGCCGTCGAGGCTCCCCTGGGTCACCGTCTCCGCCGTGAGGAGGCCAAGCCCGTCATCCTCGAGAAGTACAAGCGCCACCTCGGCCCCCACTACCCCGAGGCTAGGGTCAAGGAGCTCGTCGAACTCAACCTGGATGCCAAGAAGCTCGAGTCTACTCCTGTGGATGAGTACGTTGACCTGTACACTGTTGAGAGCAGCAAGTTTGTGCAATAAGCGGTTACTCTGGGAGAAAGAGCTGGGATGGACGGAAAATGGCATTAAATATTAACGATAGCGATGTCTATTTGACTCAAAATGTGTAGTCACGACGACTACTTTTCTGTTATCCTTGCTCTCACAGTGAATTTTTACTCTCAGATTAAGGTGACCCTGTGAGAGAAATATGGTTACTAACATAATTAAGCCACTACACATGCCTTTTAACCAAGAGTTAATATTAAACAAGGGCAGATTAAGAGGTAGGTGCAAGACTGGCAGTTGGACGGGGAGTCTCCCTGTCTCGACGAGTCTCTGCTGGCCTTAACTCAACGGGAATCTGGCAGTCAAATGGGGAGGATATCGCGCAGCGGATGACAAACATCCACTGGGCAGACTGTTGGGCCTTGAGATGACCATGACAAGAGCCTCTATAAGAGCGTGCGGCCTTGAGGAGCAACGACCCCTTACTCACATACCCTCAACTTTGTGACGCTCAGGTTGGTAAAACACTGTCCTAAACCAAGTATACTTCATCACTAATGGGCCAAGACACTTACCTCCAGTCTTGCTCAGTCATGAATGATCAGGATGCCTATGAGAGTAAGTGGGATGGACATCAATGTCACAATTTATCGTCGTTATGAGTGAGCGACTGTTCCCTTTTTCAACTGATCAATCGTAGCCCGAGCCTGCTGCAGCAAGCGCTGGATCTCTTCCTCGCGCCCTTCCACATTAAGATTGTTCTCATCGAGATACAGGGCAAAGCGGCCTGATACTTCTAAGCGCCGATCCACGTCTGCTTGTAGCTGTGCATCGTCGGGGATAGGAATGTCACACAGTCCAGTTATGTTTAGCATGACCGTTTCCCAGAAAACAAAGTCGAGCCCGGCTGGATCTATCAGTATATGAGATAATGACCAAGCGAGAGGGTCTCTGAAGCCCCATTCAGCCGCGAGCTGAGAGTGGTACTTGGACTTCTCTTTCATGGAAGAAAGAACACATGTGAACTCGGACGATAGGTTGGCTAGGCCTGTATCGTTGCCTGTGATCCATGTTGGGGGGGCCGAGGCACACTGCGGGACGGTTGCCGTGAATTCCCAATCGATGATGCCGCAAATGTTAAGCTCATCGTCCACCATGATGTTGCCAGGGCGAAGGTCGGGGTGTGCTAGAAAGAATGGCTGGGCGGTTGGGTCGATGCAAATTCTGTCTAATATCTCTGGCTGACAGATGAATTGTTGCGCAAACTCCTCTCGCTCAGCCTGCTCATGGTCTAGGTCTTTGCAAGGCAATGCCCACAACTGTCGGAGGATACTAAGTTGCTCATCGAAGAATTCTTTCGCACTCGTAGTCACAACGCGTGAGATTTTATATCCGGCTGCCTGGAGTTCGTTCTTGCGGATTGAAAAGGCACCGACAATGTCTGGGGGACTGTCGAGTCCGATATCCCCGTCGTTGTTCGGCATTAGCGAGCCTCCTCGTGTGAAAGGGAGCTTTCGAAGTTCAGCAAAGACGTCGACTAGTTGTTGAAGAAAAAGTCGACGACGAAGCTCCGGACTGGCTTCGAGAGCTTTTCTAGTTAACGGCTGGCCTTTAATTTATTCCATGATTACAAAGACTTGAAGTCCCGAGGCATGTCGACAGAGTTGACTCCTCCCGTAGGCATATACTCGGGGAACAGGAATATTCGTCTGACGTCGGATGTATCTGCGAAGAGAGAGTTAGGGCAAGACTGAGGTACGTTGAGACTGAGGGACACTAACTGCATTGTACAAACTTCGCTTCGTACCTTGTCCCACGCATCCTGCACTGCTGGCTCAAGAGGAAGCCGCACAACGCGCGTAGAGCCGTCGGTAAACTCGAGGATGAAGCAGCCATTGAAACTACCCCGGTACCGAGCCTTTATTTCACATTGTAGACCATTGCTGTGGTGCTGAGTCCCGAGTGCCCGGATGGCGTCTTCGTCAATTGAACGGAAGAAGGTGTCGGTGCGACGATAGATCTGTTGCTCCGTCAAAGGCCATGTGGGTAGATGCGTAATTGCCGTTGCCGACTGTCGAAAACCGGTGATGAGGGATACTAGGAATCGCAAGATATTATGAAAAAATCCAGTGGAAGATGTCCAGATCGTTGGGGGGAACATCGCGACGGGGGCTTGTCGTTCGGCATCGGCATCGGCATCGTGAAGGGGCGTCGCGGGTCACAACGCGTTGTCCGCCGAAGGGTGGAGATCAAGTCCGGGCCTCATACCCGGCGAAACGCGGGGCCCCACCTTGAACAGTCACGTGCCACCCACAGATGAAGTCAAGTGTTAGATTACATGAATATCACAACCTAGAGTTGGACATGTGTACTGACTGATCTATCTAAGACGAATTTCTTGAATTTCAAGAGTGACTTCATGTCCATTCGATTCAACATGTGTAGTCACCACTACTTTTCTGTTGTCCTTGTTTCCACGATGAACTTTTACTGTCCACATCCTGTGTCCATGTGATTGATTCGCCGTCGTACCTGCCTTTCAACGCAGCGCAAGAGTCAAAAATACTACGCCACCCCATGCACATTGGAGCGGCGATGGGGCGCATGGGGTATCCTCAGCCGAAGGCCGTGTGTCCGCGGGCCGGGAAGCTATTACTACTACTGCATTATCTACGTACTGATCCAGTGCCATGGCCATTCTTGGTATTATATATTATGTAAGGACTCCGTGTAAGAACCTGTCGTTTCCTAAGCTCCTGATCCCTCATCTTTATCTTTATGCTATCCGGGGGAGACCCGTAGACCAGGTGATTACGATCAAATGGCGCATCTAATATTAAACCCTTAAGCGTTTTTACACGAGAGATAGCCACGTAGCTTAAACCGGTCTGAAAGTCCCGGCAGGAGAGATCCGTTACGATTATATCTTCTATGATGCTTTGTGACTTATGCACGGTAATAGCGTAGTATACGATTAGGGGAAACTGCGTGTGAGCGCAGAGAGTGGCTCCGATGAGAAAGTCTCTCTTAATTAGGAGAATTGGGATAATCTTTTTGCCATCGGGGGTGGTTAGGAACACCGGTCCGTTGTACTTGTTAAACTTTATTATGATAATATAAGGAGGATCTTAGATGGGGTTAGCCCTGGGTGCCCAGCCGATGTCGTAAACCGTACCGCGAGCGCCGTTGCAGAGGCCAACGGGCTGCCAAAGGTTAGACGTCAGTATTAGACGAGCGCTAATGCATATAGGGATCTGCTTCGCAAGGTTGCCCGCCTTATCATTAGGGGCAGCAGCCGCACCAGGGCCGACGTTCTTAGCTTTGACCTGGATGACTGGCCGGCCGAGGCGGTCGAGGTGATAGTGGTTATACTCGTTCACCCTATCTTTGGTAGCGTATACTCGCAGGGCGCTAGAAAACCTCGCGACCTCTCGATCGTCTAGCTTTGCCTGCACGCGGGTGGACAGGAGCTTCCAGGACTCTATAGATAGTTAGAGCAGCCGTAGTTCCCTGAGAGCTATGCGAAACGCCTCCTGGTCGTCGCCGCGCTGCCTCTGAATAACCTTCAAGAATACTGATTTATCGAAGCGCCTGTATGCGTTCCTGCCCTTGATCTCTACTCCCTGCACCTCTTTATCGTAATAAAGCGGCTTCTATAGCACAGGGGGAAGCTAGAAGAAGTCACCAACTAAGAGGATATTTAGACCGCTAAAGAACTCCTTATTCCTATTCGGGAACGCCTCGCGGAGACGGTTATCGATCCACGATAGCTGACGCAGTCCTAGTATGCTCTTCTCATCGATGATGAGGTACTTGATATCCTTTAGCTTCTTCTGGAGCTAGGTCTTATTAACGGGAGATAGAGGCTTAAAGTCCTTATTGATTGGGAGGTATAATAGGGAGTGCAAGGTAGTGCCCGATATCTGGTTTCCTGCGACGCCCGTTAGCGTAGTACGCTAAATAGGTGTCCCCCTCCCCCCTGTCGCGGATTGGAGGTGCGCGGAGAGCAGGTTAATGAGGTATGACTTGCCAGTGCCGCCTCCGCTATCTATATGGAGTAGTAACTGAGAGGGATCCTGGGTCAGGAAGTGGCCTATCACCGTATCGTATACTATGCGCTGCTCTGGATTTAGGGAATCGCGAGCCTCTAAGGGCTGATCGTCTATATTAAGGTTAAGGGTGTTTTTCGCTTTGCGTTGCTTCTAGTAGTCGCTATTGAGAATGCTATTATCGGTATACCGCCTAATATGAGGGGTCTAATCGTAATTAATATTAATATCTCGGCGGCCGAGGATGTCGATATCCTCTTCCTCTAGTGGGCGGTTAGGTAGCATGCGGGCGAGTTTATACTAGTCCTCCTCCGCGATGGGCTCCTCATAGATCTTAAGCTCAAATTTATCCTCCTCTGCTATTAATTTATCTATATCTGGTTCCCTATAATAATCGTCTGCATGGGTATTATGGTGCTATCTGCAGTGTATATACGCAGCCGTGAAGGAATTAAACCGCTGCCCGCCCATAACGAGCAACTCTTTTAGAGAGCGATATGGATAAACTATTATTAATTTAATACGGCAGAAGTTATTAAACTAGGAAGAGGCCTCCATAGACTTATATCGAGGGAAGTAAGATAGGACTCTCTTCTTCGCTTAAGCAGTAAGTCTCCTCTACGTATTGAGATTATATGATTGCAGGTATTCGAGATAGGTTATATCCTCATGCTGGTCCTTTCTCTCTAGATATTTCCTATAGCTACCGATGGCCTCGTTGATATCTCCGTCTATACGATACGAACGTGCCTATTACTCTAACGGACGGTAGTCCACGGTAATAACCATATGGGTGCCTTCTTGCAGCGGAATATTAAGCAGTAGATAGGAAATCTCCTGCGCCGAGTAATCTCTCTCGGCAATCAACTTGTTCATTAGGCGAGAGGAGAAGGATAATAGGGGCTAAACATGCGATGTGTGAGGTAAGACCTGGTCTGTAAGCCTGGCGAAAGACTCGGTCTTCTTCTCAGATTTACTGCAATACTTCGCAGCGTATGTAATAACCGCCTGTAAGCTAGTGTAAGGAGATATGTCAATATTGGCTAGCTAGCCTAGGATAATCGCAGGATTAAAGTTATTTATAAGGCTATTATTCCGGGCCGCCTCAAAGATATAGTATGACTTGCCTTCCTTCCTAATCACTGCGGCTAGCTCCCGCAAGGCACGAGGGAAGTCAAAATGACACTCCCTCTCTGGATTGGCAACGTTTACCGCCTTGATATCCGCAGCGGCACCTTCTATATCCCTCGCTAGATCACTGGTTCTCTTCCTCACGCGCAAGTAATACGTGGTATTGCACTTATGGCGCTGGTAACGGTTGACGATTTATGAGAGCCGTAGGAATGTTATCTCTATGCTTAGGGGATCTACGCTTAGGGGATTACCCTTACCCTGAGGCATAGTCCTACTTGGCTTAGGGTTAATAGTAGTGACGTAGAATCCCTATATGCGTGCAAATATATCACGAGCCGCTTCGTCCTCTATATCGGCCCCTAGATAATTATCTATCTAGTATAGGCCGTGGTTATGTGGGCTACTACGGCCTTGCTATTCGTACTGATCCTAGTAATCTATGATGCTAAATTTCTTACTTAGCATGATATCCCGAAAGAGGGTATATCGGCGGTAGAAGTAGAAAGCAGCAATATGAGGGTTCTGCCGCAATAGGCGGCGCGATAGAGCCATCCTCTCCGGCTCGGTGGCGGCTAACTAGTCGTCATACTGGGGCATATACTAGTAGAGACTCCGCTAGTATAAATCTACCGGGCTAAATGTGATAAATGCACTAGGATAACTAAGGTTATAGGCATAGGCCTCGAGGTCTTACCTCTTTTTATTCTAGAATAGACGCATACCGCGAATAGATACCGCATGCCTTGCGATCGAGTTAATTAGCGCCTGCGCCTCGGGGTCCTCGCTATGTTCCAGCGCCTAAATAAGTTGCTCTCGCGTTAGCGGCTACTATCTCCCATTATATTGCTTCACGAAGAATCTAGACCGCGAATGTGCTTATGACCGTATTAGTGTATTAAAGGCGACGAAGCGGAAGGTCGGGTAGCGTGCAAAACGCCCGTCGTGCCAGCGCATTGCGTGCTCGATATAATCCTTGTAATCAATAGAGCGCAATCGAGGTTTAATAAAGTCGGCTCTACCGTTAGGAAAGAGGCAAGGAAACGCCAAGGAGAGTAGGGCATAAGAGCGATTAAACTTATTAATAGGTGTATGTCGTATATTCGGGAGCTATAGCTCGTGTTGCGCCTACGCCTAGAAGCTTATGGAAAGCTCTGAATTAGCTTCTGACTCTCCGGCGAGAATAGACCGCAGAGCATCGAGCTCCGTGTCCTTTGCCAATAGGTCTAGCATTGCAGCCTCGTCCTCTAGGTCAGGCTCTGCCTCCTAATCTTCCTCGGGTCTAATATCCGCAGCCTCCACCTGACTCTAGGGGATAGCATCTAGGACATTGCTATCTTAGGGCAATTGATTTAGCCTCTCTTCGTTGATAACGACGCATCGATACCTAGGATGATAGCGCCGGAGGTAGTCTAGCCATATGACAACCGGCTAGCAGCGGATACGGAATTAGCGGGTAAATTGCCGACTAAGATTTGCGTGGGACGATATATTGGCAGGACGTAGTAATATAATATTCAACTCCTGCGGCAGAAGCGGGAGCTAGTTATATACTAAGCTAACCTTACGGAGAAAGTGAACTACGTGCCCCCGATACTTATATTACTGCCCTCGCATAAGCATAATGTTCACGTAGATGTGAACACGAGTAATCAAAGACTCTTCGGTAGGCGTAAGCTAGGGCAACCGGGCCGGTATAGGGCTAAAGTCGAGCTAATTATCCGCAGAGAAGAAATACGGCTCATCGGGACGGCATTTCTTATCTTTTCGATAATAACGCGCATAAATGCCATCGCAATCGATCTTCATCTAGAACCAATACTCCTAGTATCGACTACAAAACTGCATTTAGTCATTATCCAGCTTTATCTAGAACTCGCGGAGGATTACCTTATCGCGACTAATCAAGGCGCAAGCCTCAAGGTCGCCATTCTACACCGGATCTTGCGCATAAAAGACCGCCGATTCTTTAGGTGGAATTATTACTAGACTCCGAATACGTCGTGGCGGCATCGATGATCGAGTTTGTATTCGAGATTTTCTTAGTCGCCCTCCTATACTAGGGGCAGGACCACGGCGACCATGCCTTGGCTGTGCGGAAGGCTACCGTAAGCGATAGCGAAGAGGGCTTCTATCCACGCAATTATTATCGTCGTTCTTATCTTTATCCCCTAGATCGGAATTAGACTCTACCCCTAATTATTTGAGGTACCTCCGTGGTCGAGTAGGTAAAAGCAGCAAGTTAAAATAATCATCGGCGTTAATATTAGATTTAGAGAACTATCCCCTGTCATCCCCTTCCTTGATTATCCCATCCCTATCTAGAAACCCACTCGGTCGTAGTTGATCTTAACTCCCATCTACGTTCCATAGTTAGCCTAAATAAACTACTAGGGCCATAGAATAAGGATACCTTCTCTAGGACCCTCAAAATCTTCCAAGAAGCCAAGTTAAGATATTATGGGAGTTAGTGACATAGTCTCCCCTACATAGCGTCGTGAACGATAGTCGCGCTGGATAACAGCCAGTTTAGCCCTCGCCCTAGCCTTCAAGGAATCATCTTATGAGTCCTTCCCCCCCTTATGGAACCTAGTGGCTAAGTAAGAGTAATCCATACTAGGTGTGCTACTTCGAAGAGTAGATAGATTAGAATATGAGACGAGTGGATAGGTCGTTAGCTATATAGGCGGTGATAGAGCTAGAGCCCGGAAGAGCCGCGAGCTTTATTGGGTTAGTGGAATTGGCGTCCCTAGCACTATATGCGGCTAGCTAATTAACTCTCCGAATAAACTCCTAGCTATATGAAGTTGTCGTAGCTTCTCTGGCGATATAGGCTGGGTTCCGGATCTCTCGTTGGGGGGCGATAGGCCAGCATCTCCTTCGGTTCTCTTCGTGGCAGGTCTACCAGGTGAGGATAGACGAAGTGCAATATTCCGCAGCGTCTAGAGCACGACTTTAGATCTAGAATGCTTCATTTGATGAGGGTTAAGAGACTTATAGACGAGGAAGGCAGAACTTATATAAGAAACGCGCTAGTTACGGCAGTCTATGCATTACTTAGTTTGCCTAGCAGACTGCCTCTTTGCTCTAAAGGCACTCTCCGGTCTCTCCTCCCCACAACGAGCACAAATAACGAAGAGTAAATCAGTAGAGAGCTCTTCGGGGTTAAGACCGAAATCCATTACTCAATCAACGAGGCCATGTCGAGACCTATCGAATTGGGGAGATGAATTAAACGCGTAGTACTAGCATAGTACTAAGTAAACAAACAATTCCAAATAGACGTAAGCTGCCGTAAGCCTTTTGGGGGCTAGCACCGATTAGCCCCACTCTTTTGGTGCCATCAGCCAGTTACGCGTTCTTTCGTGGCTAGCCATACAAAATCTAGACCAATTAGATTCCGAGAAACTTATTTATCCCTATCTACACTAAACCCTCATTATTCGGGAAAACTTATGAATTAATATAGAGTCAGCCTTCGGCTAAATAACGAAAAGCTTAATGAATGCTTCCACGCTTAACACTCTGCCTCAACAAATCTTATTTCTTCATGAACACATGGCCGAATCGCAATTATAAAAGGAGCCTACTCTCCATCCTGGCAATCCAGATCAACTTACCACCATCAACAACAGCGACAACAGCGACAACAGCGACATTGTTTATAATATCATTAACACCATCATAGAACATCATCAAAACACACAAAACAGCGATCCAAATCGCCCGCCACATTCTCCGACTCGACAACCCAAGCTCAGCAGCAAATCGACACGGGACCACACTAGCGTGCCTCCCCGATGCGCTGACCTTGTCAAGGCCAAACCTCAAAGCTCCCCTAGACTGCCCGGGGCAGCCTGGCCTGATAAGACTGCCAGAGCCAGAGAAGTTTTTCAGTTGCTTCTTGCTCTGACTACAGAGCAATCTCACCAACAACGAGCGGGACTTCGATCTTCTGGCTCAGTTACCCATTATGGGCTGGGCTTCGGCTACAACAAAGAACACATTGACGAGCGAGACTTTATCGAACACCAAGAACACCTCCTCTATGATTTCATGCCATTAATCAGCCTTACAACTGGCCCGATAGAAGCGCTTTGTCGCCATGCGGTTGTGGAGCTGTGCAGTGGACAGGATGCGTCGACTATCTATCCCATGGGTTGCGGTCTTTCATACGAATTTCAGTACCCTTCAACTAGCGCAGACAGGGATCCGGTCCCAAAAGCTCCTTGGCTGACCAGGAGATGGCAGGGTGTTTTTGGGTGGGAAATCCCAGCCAGCCAGCCGAGCGTTGGTTATCCCATTGACAGCTGATGATGATTTCCCGACGAAGTCATAGGGCGAGACATCCCGCGTCTGTGGGCCGTCTATTTCAATTAATACATCATCCAGGAACTGATAGTACATCTGTCAGGTCTTCCCATAGTTGTCCAGGATTCACATAGTTGTCCAGGATTCACATCATCAAGACTACTTTGGACGTTGGGTGGATGCTTCACCCCTCCCGACCAATTCGGCGCCTTTCCACCATCAACGCAAACGGATGTCCCTAGCCTTTGTAGGGATGTGTACCCGAATGGAACACCTCCTCTTCAACATCACGGCAATGTTGGACCCGCAGTCCAACGGCTCCTTCTCAACTGCCTTCTGCAGTTATGGTTGGCACCAGAGGGCTGTCAAAGCACCGGCCTTTCGAGTCTGCACATATACGCCCTGTCTTTGACGTGCTAAGCCGTCTTGAGGATTGGACTGAGCCGTCGTGTCTGGGATCGCATGCCAGAGCCCGTTCCAGGGTCCTTTGAGGACGCCCTCGTCCGCCGAGAGAAGAAAAAACCCTGGGAGGTTTTTTGTATGTTTCGAAGACATCGCGTCCTTGACACCCCGACATCCTACAGCTACGGTGGTCTCTGTTACGGATGGCCTCAATCACTGATGCTACGGACGCTGGCGACAATGCCGCCCAAGTCTCCGAAAACGGAGGCACTGATGCCATTTTTCCCGCCCCGCCGACCTAGACTCGCTCTCAGAGGATGGAAACTCGCCCTACCAGAAGAGCGAGGACTTCAACAAGGGGGCCGAGTTGACCAAGACGCTCAGGTCTCAGGAACAAGATGCTACTTTTCACCCCAGCCAACGGTGAATAAAGAGGTCAGAATCGCTTCCATTATCCTCATGAGAGGAGGTTCAACCACAACCAACAACATCCAGAACCAATCAGTCAACCAATCTACGACCGGCCAACTGATTAATAATACGTCAACGAGATCTCGATAGCTGCTTTCCCCAGAGACCTTCAACCAAACGATCAAAGCAGCGCGGCCAATGCCTATCGACACACCTTCCTATATGACCAGGATGACCTTGCGAAGAGGTCCGCAAGCTTCGTAGGGGCGCGAAAAGCACCCACAACAGGCTACGAGAGACAATATCGTAGGGGGGAGCCATGCGGATCACTGCGGTGGGCCTCAACGCGGCGAAGAGCGGAAGTCATCTCTGGCAGACGTCGCTCAGTGACGCCCGAACACAGACGGACCAACTGGATCTTCGATCTGTCCTCAACGAGGCCTGGCCGTCTTTTTTGCCATTAGAAGAGACGGATTATTGGCAACACTGCCCTGTCACATCTTGCCATTATCATGGCCGACTTCTCCTATGGATTATTGCCTCAGCGATAATACATACTATTACCTGTCAAGCCACACATGACTGGCGTCCCTTACCTACAACTACTACAGAACTCCAGTAGGAAAGGTGATGTATTCCAGGCCCGGCGCCGCCACTGGCACTCCATCCTGGCGCTGCGCGCGGCCCAGGCCGCCTTCGCCCAGAGCATGGGCACCCGTGCCCAGGTCTCGGCCATGGTGGCCTTCCAGGGCCACTGCAATTTCCTACAGAACAACACCTGGCTCGCTGGGAGTTGTTCCCTGGGCAGGCTGAGCGACGGGCGCTGAGTCGGCATGCATTTCCTGCTCCAAAGCTCATCGTGTTCGGCCCTTAGTACCTCATACCGGCACAACCCGACAACGACGCCCTACACATCCACGACAGCGGCGACAACAGGGCCCGAGCATAGTGCAGCAGCCCCCAGACCAGCGAGCGGATAGCGACACATTGACAATGAGCGGTGGCTCCGAGTATTTCACTCTAGCAACAGGAGCGCACGACCTGCCGGGACAAGGGCTGTACCAGGCTTCTGGGGGGCGAGGGGACTCACCTGGAAGATTCTCGCCCAGGATGAGAAGGTCAGGATGCTTCACAAAGGCCTCAAAGAGACGCGCAGAGCATTGAATTTATAACTAGCATACTGGACAGGATATACTAATAGAAAATGGCCGGGACGTCTTCTTTGAAGCTGTTGAGCATTCGACGGAGCTCCAATGAAAGAGTGACTCTAGGCCCTCATCTCGATGTTTGATCACCAAGAGACACGCTATCTGTCTTGCTGGTGGACTAGTCCTACTCTCTCCCAAGCTCACCGTCGCGCCTATGTCCTCCATAGATACTAAGAAGTCGTCACAGTCTGTTAGTAGGGGGAGCCATTCGGACGCCCTGGCCGTCGCGGAACACATCCAACAACATGTCATTGTTAGCAAAAAAAGGCGCAATACAGTGAGATCACAGGGCATAACAAAGCAAAGTATAGTGGTTGATAGGGGAGATCATAGGGTATAGTAGAGCAGAGTATAGTTAGTTGCTCCTCTCGACAATATGTGGCAAACCCCTTTCGAGGATGGTGACGGATCTACGGATAGCTAGGTATCAGATTGTTTCTGGTACTCTTGGTCAATTGACGTTTGTTCCTATCAAGCATTGGATGTGATAAACTTGACGTTTTTGTAGTTGCTTGCTTGTAACCCACTCTTCATTGGAGATCAAATACTCCAACTTGCTGGATCAAGAGTGATCCATATTAGGCGATGTTGTTTCCTTTCACGTAGGCTTATGTTTACAGTGTTATAAGCAGAGTAGGAATTGCAGCATCATTCAAGCCTCTTTTCTATTTACAGATGACTTCATACAAGCAGATAAGTCAATTAAATGATACGCGTACATCGGAATGAAATACCGACTCGGTTACACCGCATCATAGAGCCTCGCGGCGTTTACGAGTGACCCAACCCCGTGATTGGGTCGGGAAGCCGGCATGCCAAGTCTCCCCGTCTCGGCGAGGGGCAGCACCGCCTCAATCCGCCCGCTTTATTTTGTAGGGGTCTGGTCCGTTCTCTTGTTCGTGCTCTTCGGACTTTGAACAGGTCATGAAACTCTACTCCGTCATCTAACTGGCTTTGACGTCCCTGTCATCACTTTCGCTTTCCGTGAAGCAATCATTCATCGCTGCGACTGATACTTCTGTCTTTGCTCGCATTATCCAGCGATATATCCATTTTGCCCCGGCGCAACTCCTGCAACCATGGCTGCTGATCGCCAGACCATCATCGAGGTGAACCGGTCGCTTCGGAACATCAAGAATGTGAATAGCCTCCCTTCCCGTCGGTCATACTCGCTACATCCCCTGGAGCAACGCATGGCCATTCTATGCGACAATCTAACACTGTTCAGGAACTCGAGAATCTTCTCGAAAAAGGTGTGATCGACGACTCGGTCTATGAGACCATCAACACCGCTCTCCCTCCCGAGTCCTCGCTCTCTGGCCCTCTCCGCACCGCAACTGGCGCCTCCAACAACAACACTGCCAAGGCCGCAACTCCCACCCCCTCCCACGAGCCCCCGACCAAGGCCTTTGAGGCCCTCAAGGTCGACAAGGCCCCCTCTCCCGCGCCACCCGCATACGAGCAGACGCCTCCTCCCGGCGTCCCCGCGCGCAACGTCAAGCCCACCGTCGCTCAGGCCCGCGCCCTGTACCGCTACGCTGGCTCTGATGGCCGCGATCTCTCGTTCGAGAAGGATGATCAGATCGCCGTTTACGAATATATGAACCAGGACTGGTGGATGGGCCGCAACGACCGCACCGGCCAGGAGGGTATCTTCCCTCGCAACTATGTCCTTGTCGAGCAAGAGACCAAGAAGGCCGCCACACCCCAGCAGCCTCAGTACGGATACCCTGCGCCATCTCACGGCCCTCCCGCTCAGCAGAACCCCTACAACTCGCATGTGCCACCCATGGCTGTCGCCGAGGGTTCAGGCCAGCAGCAGGGACAGGAGGGAGAGAACAAAATGGGACAGTACGGCAAGAAGTTTGGTAAGAAGCTGGGTAACGCCGCCATCTTTGGTGCTGGTGCGACTATCGGAGGAAACATTGTGAACAGCATCTTCTAAGCCTCGACGGCAATAAAGAGTAGGGGCATTGAAAGATATTGCTTTGTGGGTCAGGCGCTGGTATTACTTGGCGTACGGGTTCTAGGGATATTATAGACGCGCGTCAAAGAGGAGGATGTTTGGTTTCTTGTTGTACCAAGCAGGGGGAATTAATGACCTTGAAGAGGTTTTAAGTAGAACAAAATCTGAACAACTATCTACTATGTAATTAAAGCGAGGTGAATTTCATGATTCAACTTGATATCAAAGAATGTGTTTTCACTCATCATGAGCCCGTCAATCTGCTTCACTCATGATGAACTCTTGGTGGATCTGATGTCCTAGATACAGTGCCAGAAACAGTGCGAACTCATGTCCCCTAGCGCCATTCCAGCCATGATCAAACTCTAGCACTGTGCAAAACGTAAAATTTCTTGACGCCTCGACCACGACGAACTCTTACAATCTTGCAAGGAAACACCAAACCACAGAGACAATCACCATGTCGGCATCAAAAAAGAGACAGGCTGAGGACAACCCTTCTCAACCCAAGCCCAAGAAGAATAAGAAGAGAAAGGCCAATGCTCCGGATGATGACACCCTCGACACTGAGCTTGGTCTCAACATCCTGTTTACAAAAATGGACAACCAGCTTTTGGCGGATCACCTCGCTCAGAAGCTGAGTCGATTCGGCAGCGATCTGAGTCCTGTTGAAATCTCTGATCTGGCCGTATCAGGTACTACTGAGGTCTCACTCTTCTGTCGAATGCACCTGCTAACGATGCGACAGCCAACGCCATCCAAGACACGACTTCATGGCAGGAGGCGAGGACGTTGGACAAGTTCCCCGACTTTCTGGAAAGCGTCTCGGAGAACCCCGAGGGTCTGAAGAAGTCGCCCAAGAAGAAGGGTTCGCCTCATACGCTCATCGTTGCAGGAGCGGGTTTGAGAGCGGCTGACATCGTGAGGTGCGAGGCGCATTGCCATCTGAGAGCCGAGACGTGAAGCTGACAGAGATCAGATCGATGCGCAAGTTTCAGAACAAGGACAACACAATCTCCAAGCTGGTATTTTTCGTCTTGTGTCTTGTCTATATGATCAATTGCTGATATTGGATGGAACAGTTCGCCAAGCACATGAAAGTCGAAGAGCAAGTCAGCTTCCTCCAGGGCCACAGAACTGGCATCGCCGTCGGTACACCTGCCCGACTCATGGACCTCATCGACAACGGTAAGTCGCTTCCACCACGCCAGAAAGAAACAAGGGGCTGACTCTCGCAGGCGCACTCTCCCTCGAGAACTTGAAGCGGCTCGTCGTGGATGCTTCCCACATCGACCAGAAGAAGCGCGGCGTCATGGACATGAAGGACACCATGATGCCTCTTGCCAAGTTCCTGGCGCGGAAGGAGTTCAAGGATCGGTATGGGGATGAGAAGAAGCCGCTGGCGTTGTTGTTCTATTAGATACGATACCCATGCAACAGAATTGACAGCAATCTATTTGTTACTGTTTCTGCTTCTCTTTCTCGTCAGTTCTCTGGTCTCAACGGCGTATTCATTTGGCAGTCCACATCTTTGCCTGCTTCCTCATCTGAGTCTGCTCCAGTTGGCGATGGTCACCGGGATTCAAGGAGGATGCTCTTGCCAATTCCTCCTCAGTCAACTCTGCACCTTCCCAGGCGGCAACGCCCACACACCTCCTTCCACCCTCTGAGATCAGCTCTTTCCCTCTCTCACGATGGCTTCGGTGGCCATTTATTCTCCTCTCTCCCACTCTCTCCCCTCTCTCCTCTCTTCTTCTCTCCATCATCCACAGCCTCACCTTGAGCTCACAAGCCCGTTTTTGGACCATTTCTTGCTTCCCTTTTTTGGACTCGCCGCGTTCTTCGCTGGCTACTTTTTTGGTGTGTCGTTTACCTCAGACTTTCTTGGTGACTGTCGTTTACCACCTCTTTTTTGTGACTGCGGTCAATTTCAACCCCTTTGACAACTCTTTTCTTGGACTTTACTCCTCTTTTTGGCGATTGTCGCTCCTGACGACTTTCGGTGCTCTTTTTGGCAACCTTCTCCCTCAACAAGCCGCTTCTTTTGGCCATTGTCGTTTACACAACCACTACTCCCTTTGCTTCAACTCTTCCCTTACTCAGTCTCTCGAGACACGAACACGAACACGATATGAAGCCTTACTTCGCCACCAGCTTGATGCTGTCAAGCCTTGTCACTGGCTCTGCACATGGTCATGACAAGTCTGTACCAGGTGAGTACCTTTGACCCTCTTGTTGACAGGCTTAATTGACAAGACCATAGAATGTGCTGCTACTTGCTCTCGCGGCCTTACTCGTTACCGCTTCACCAGCCAGCACAACATACCCACCAAAGCTGTCTGCATGGACATGGCCAAGCAAAGGGTACGTCGGAGACTGGTCGTTTGCTGGCAATGTGCTGACTCCAATCATCAGGAACTCTTCTTGTGCTTGGCTAGTTCTTGTGGGGAAGACTATGGTCCTGCTCTGGCATTTACCATCTCCGCATGTTCCAACTACGGCGCTCTCATTACCGACCTTCTACCTGTCGAACTACAGCATGGGAGCCTCGCCCCGCGAGAGTTCTCTCATTTGACTCCTCGACTTGACACAGGCCGTTTTGCCTTTGGCAACCAATTCACTCTTGCTGTCGACTGCACGGCCGGCTCCAACGGCGTCCTGACCTTGTCACTTCCCGAATCTGTCCCTTCTGGTATTCCCCAACCTCCTCCCACTAGCGATTCTCCTCTCGTTCCCGGGTCTGGAGCTGGTGATCCCAATCTTGGGTCCAGTCCACCCGCTGGCAGCACAAATCCCAACCTCGATTCCAGTCCACCTTCCGGTAACACCGACCCCGTCCTCAAACCCCAGTCAACACGTCCTTCCACATCACATGGTGACCAGCCAGGGACGTTCGCGCACGCAGCTTCGAATAACCCCGGGGGTAACGACAATCTCAGCAACGGTGTTGGCAGCCCAGCAGCCGCAGATGCAGACTGCGACCCAGCAACTGAGGGCTCAAACAACAATCCCTCAGGGGCTCCGAACAACGGACAGGCTCAGCATCCTCCTGGAAGCTCACCCAACGGCAATGATTCCTCCCCAACTGGCCAAACCAACGGTCAACCAAATGCTCCATCTCCCAACCCAGCTGACGGTTCACCTACAAGCCCAAACACTGTGCCGGGTAACCCAAGTAATGGTGCTGGAACCGATGCTGGTACTCCGCCTCTTGGCCCCAATCAAGGAACATCGGGCAGCCCAAATGATGACTCTGGCGCTGGTCCTGGGGACAATACCGGAAGCTCACCCTCTGGTCCCAATCAAGAATCACCAGGTCAACCCCCATCTCAGCCTGTCTCTGCACCAGCGGCCCAGAACCCAAGCCCGTCGACTCCTGCTGGCGATTCTGGAGTGCCTGGCCAAACAAGTTCTCAAGAAGGAGCCGGTGAGGACTGCGAAGATGGCGTTGTTCCTGAGCCTGGCTCTGGAACTCCAGGAAACTCTCACTCACAATCACCTCCCGGAAGCCAAGGCAACAACCCAGTAGACTGCACCATTGGTACCGACAATCCGGCTTGCGGGAATCAGAATCAAGGACCTCCTGGGACTCCAGTTGTCCCCTCTCCAGAAGCCCAGAACCCAGGAGAATGCCCTGGGCGAGCTGATGGTTCACCTGGCTGTGGTGCCACATCAAGTCCTCCAACTCCTCCAGCACCCCCAGCACCACGAGAACCTGTGCCAGCACCTAGCCCTGCCGTTCCTGTGCCAGACCAAGGTAATCCAACCTGTCCTGCAGATGGACCCTCCCCATGCCCCGTCCCCGGTCAACCTCCAACAGCCCCAGCACCGCCTTCGGTTCCCAACCCCAACTCTAGGCCTAGTAGTGGCGACCCTACAGGAAACCCAGGAAGCCCCCAGACCGGTCCATCTCCAGATGATATGACTGGACAAGCCTGTTCAGAATCCGACCCAAGTGGCAGTTGCAGCTCTGCCGAAGCGCCGCCTGGGTCACAACAGCCTTCGTCTCCGGCTGGATCTCCATCATCTTCTGTTCCCTCCAATGCTCCAGGGGGCTGCTCTGGAGATGCAGAGAGTTCTTCTTGTCCTGTCCCCGGCTCAAATGGACCTGACCCAGGGGCTAGTGGTTCTTCTACTGTCCCAACACCACCAGGTCCTCCTCCTGCAAGCAACACTGCTGCACCTCCGACAGATGCTGGATCGCCGCCCACGCAAGGAGGAACGAATCCTCCGCCCAATGGTAATGGCCTCCCCTGTGACAGCAGTCTTGGCCCATGTCCTGGAACCCCATCAACACCCGAAAACGGGCCTATGCCTTATAGCCAGGAGTCCTCTCCAAACGGCCAAGTACCCCCCGGCCCTGGTAATGATGGCGGTCAGGGATCTGGTTCAGTACAAGAAGACAACAACAGTGGTGACGGTGTGCCTTCATGCAATGGCAACTGCCCGACGAGCCCTGGTAGTGGCAAGCCACTTGACCCTGGATCTGCAAACTCTCCTGCTCAGTCTCCCGGTTCACACAACAGCCAGCTCCCCAATGGTCCACAAGCTCCTCCAAGTAACGGCAACCAAGGGCAGAATGATGGGAATCCTCAAGCGCCTGGAGATCCTGCAGCATCAGGACAGCCCTCCCCTCCAGTGACAAGCCCAAATCAACCTACCGAAACATTCATCCGAGCAGATCCTCCCTCGGAAACGTTCATTCGAGCTGATCCTCCAACAACAACCAAGTTTGTCAAAGCCATCCACCCCTCGGAGGACCCTAGTGCCCCGTACACTGATCGTGGACCTCAAGTCATCACGGTGCTTGCTCCCACGAAGGTGGAAATCACTCAAACGAGGATCATCACTGTCTAGCCAACGGACGACGCCTCGTTGGACCGATTGCCACCTCAGCTCGTAGCAAACGCCGAGGTTGATATCGCCCGAAGACAGGAGAGTGATCAAGAACCCAGCGACTCTATCAACTCTGAGGCTCCGAATCCTGACTCTGAGCCTGATCTGACATCAACATTCATTCGAGCAGATCCGCCATCAGGTGTTACTCCAGATCCCCTAGTTGTCACAGGCTCGGCAGGACGATCTCACCCTTCACTTTGGTATTGCGCCATCGTCCTTCTCGCCCTCTTCACCTTGAGCTGTCTGGCGGACAATGATGATTTCTTGTTAATGGAAGGAGCACGATAG